GTAGTGTGGGACGTAGCCCCATCCTGCTGAAACCAGAAGTGCTCTGAATCATGATCTTGAAATTCTGCCAATTGGGGCTGGAAAAAGTTCTGCAACATGCCACAGTAGCGGTCGGAAGTCACAGTTACGGTGACGTCATCCTCTTCAAAGAAATAAGGCCCCACAACGCCCAAACTGGACACCGCGCACCACACGGTCACTTTCGGGCTGTGAAGAGGTCTTTGGTGAAGCTCTCGGGGGTTTTCTGAAGCCCAGTAACGAAAATTCTGCTTGTTGACTGTGCCACAAAGATGAAAATGAGCTTCATCGCTGCTCCACAAAATGGCGTCGGGAGGCACAGCTGCAAGGATTTCCTAACACGAAGTTCTCCGCCTTTCCCAGTCCTGCTGACCTAATTCCTGTACAAGCATCATTTTGAGATATGCTGAAGAGAGTGATGCAACACTTCAGGGAAGCACTTCGGAAGTGTATCATCTATGACGGCCGCCATTTGCCCGACATAATTTTCAAAACCTAAGTAAATGAAACCTTATTACATGTACTTTTCAGAAATAAAAGTTTTATTTTTCGTATCTTTTACCGTTTCTTTTTTTTATTAACCTTTTAAATGTGGGACTCCATTCTGCCGCACCCTGTATAAACTCCCTAATACTTAAACGATTTTAAAGGTTGATTAAATTAGCCTCTATTTCTAGAGTCAGGGTCAACTTCGCAATTTTGAATACTTCGTTATAGGCAGTGTCGTTACCACAAAATATTAGAATAGAGTCCGTGAAAAGTTGTTTAGGTTATGATCCCCTCCTTAGTGCATTTCTTAATGTTTAGCACTTTTCGGCCTTGTCTTGAGTTTTGTCCACTAAAATGGAGATAAAGGAACTTTTAAGCTAAAGATTATTCTGCTATAAGAAATACGAGTTAATGAACTCTTTCTAAAAGAGTCAGGTAAGAAACCAACTTCATTTCCTGGGGCCGTATTCCATTACGTTCTTAAGTGCGATTTTCCCCCTAGCAAGGTGCTTAGCTGGTATTTGCTCCATTCAAATGCATGGCCGAGGTTGAGCAATTTGCTTAAACTAAGTTTAAGATTTTAATAGAATACGGCCCCTGTTTGGAACAACTAGCTTTCCATCTGGGAAACTGTTTAGATTTATAGATGGGATCATCTTATGTTTCCAACTGGAATCGACAAAAAAACCCAGTTGGAATTTTTGACTGGGTGATGGTTTAAACGTCAAAACGGTTCAAAACTGTTACCCTCATGTGGTAGGATATCCCTGTCTGTCATGGCTGCCTAAAGTCTCCCAACTTGTCAGTATTCTTGTTTACGTCTCTGTTCCTGAAGAACTGTAACTAGAGGCGACACTCCACTCGAATTCCACTCATTGATAGGATAGCAATATAGATGTCACTGTCGATCCACCACCTAGCGCACACACAATAACTCCTCCATGACCAAGCAGCGGACTCAACAAGACACTTGCATTCCATTGAAGGACTCCGGATTGGTCGAATCCAAATTCCGCTGCCACGAAGCAGACTCAAGGAAGTACTGTTGACAAGGGGCCACCAGATGTCTCTGTAGTACTGTGAACCTCTACAGGGTGAATCTCAAGTCTGGAAACATAGCTTTTAGAGCACTTACTCAATGTATTCTCCCTTGTTGTTCGCGCACTTTTGCAGTCTCTTCGCCCATTAACTTGGTGCACTTTGGAGAAGCTCAGGGATGATTTCTGAACATGCCTAGGAGATATGTCCCTCATGATGTAAGCAGACAGTTAAAAGTGTAAAGTTGTTTCCAGACTTTAAAGATTCACCCTGTAGTTATTCTTTACTCTCTGCCTAAGACTGAGGGCTTGTTGCTATTTCAGTTATCTTGACCGGTTTATACGTCTTTATGCTTTGCATCTCTTGCGCTTTTATTAATTGTCTTCCAATATTTCATTATTTTTACACTCAGAACCTTGGTACCAACGTGGGGTTCCAGAAAAGGGCGAGGCAAGCAAGTCAAAAGAAGATGCTCCAGCGGCACTTCCCCCGTACTTACCATAAACCAACACTCCTCCACGTTTCATGTCCTCGTACACCGTGAGGAGGAATATCAAGAGCACTTTGAAAGACCCCGTTGTAGCGGAAAACCAAACGTACACCATGGGGCAACTGTAACTGAAGCTCCCAATTTGGAAATGACTCCTCGAAGAGCTGGATGGGCTTTTCCGTTCTATGTAATCCAGGGCCTGAGTCAGGAACAGGATGTCCAGAAAAGGCAGTGACGATAATAATGGGGTTGTAATGAACATGAGTATTGAAGAGATCAATCCAGCGAGAGGGAGGGGGACGAAGAAAAGCTGTTGGAAATTGTGGATGATTTTGTACACCGTCTGTGACAAGAAAATATCGCTATCGACTAACGCACGAGAATGAAGAGAAACCGACCCATTCAGTCACCAATTGGGTCAACACGCGAGAACCATGCGAGATTGAACCACAAGGGTTAAAATTGTGAATGCTGTGAAATTACCGGCAGGTTCATTGCATTCTCTTGAAAGCCTTGAACCTAAAACCGAATCAACTGTAACAATGGCAAACGGATTCACAGCTCTTTCCATACTCAAATACTAGGATTTGACGTCCAAAAGCCAAGCTACTTGGAGACATGCCTGTCCTCGTGTCAAGTCCCGGCTGAAGTTCTGATATAAATATATGTGATTTTCCCCACTCTGAACGACATCGGGTGCATTGGGTGGATCGCAGGCATTTCGCGTCTCACAGAGCTATGGAAATGTGCTACCTCAGTTCACTTCATACCAACACCTGGCTCCTGTTCATCGCAGCGAATAATGAACACTACAGATTAAGATCAATTACGTGAACATTTTCCAGATGGTAAAGAAAGGGCATCTCAAGCGAGGCCTAGATGGTCTAACTGGCGTGTTTTGGCTTAGGAATCAGGAGGGGCAGGGCAGCATAATCGGGGCGCCAGGTTCCAGGCGGCCGCCCCCCTGCTCCTCCGTAAAATACACCACTGTGACCTAGTCATATGAACGTCCATGATAGTATTTGTCACGGATTCGATGATTAATGCATTCAATGATGATAACTTAGACTTCTTTCCCGCTTCTGCCAGGGATTATTCTGAAACAAATCTGCAAGATGGTTTGGGTTGTAAAAAAAGGATATATTTATGATAGAAATGTCCAGTGTTCTCTTTGCTTAGTCAATGCGGAAGATTGGTGTGGGAAAAAATTTCCTACACGAATGACTTTAATCTCTAAAAACCAACAAAACTTTTGCGAGACACTCAATATGAGTAAACAGCTGCATGCAAGATGTAGAAAGAAGTGCACTCCTTACCATGAAAACAACTTTATTGCAGAAAACCAAGGTACGTCTTCATTCCTTCAGGAAAGCTAGTACATCATTATCCAGTCCATTCCCAATATGGATACCCTTATTGTGCAATGAAACACTTACACCAAGATAGTCAATACTCATAACAGGAATAAAACCTATAGAGGTTTCATGTATGGGTTTCCCCTAGAGTGATCCCTTGATAAGAGTGAAACTTGAGCTTCTTGCTCACCATATAAATAATGATATAATCTTTAAGACTTGAAGCAATCGGGTGAAGACATTAGATATGCACCATCATTCTTGGGAATATAGTTGGATGCACACCAGAAGGAATGCCTCGGAATGTAAAGATATAGAGGACAAAAGGGACTGCAATTCTTCTGCGGTTCAAAGAAGGAAGCATGAGAAAGACACAGGGTGAGACCAAGTATGGATCATGTCAAGAACCATGAGCCTGGCTGTTGCTACTCAGCAAGTATACTGTAGTGAGAGGCAGAAAATAAAAATAAGGTGAACCTGTAATTTCCTTGGGATGAAATGGGTTCACAAGATGTGAGACCAGCATATGCCAGACTGGTGGGGTATATCTTTTAAAAGGCCATGGCTACAAAGATGTGAGGAATAAGGCACAAAACAGGAATCATCAACATACACTTTCATGCATACATTGAGCTTTCGGCACAAACCATCATTGGTGCTTGTGTGAAAATAATCCTCCTCTGAACAAACTATAACAAAATTCAGCCATAGAATCTGAAAGGGGATCAGTCACTCTTGATCCTCATAACAGAAATATTTAGCTCTCCAGTGAAATTTCATGAGGAGAAACGGCAGCAGATGGACATATCTAGAGACGGACTTTCCCTGTGATGATGTTGTCATATAATTGCTGTGTGATGGGAACATATTCATTCTTGGATGGATCAAGGAAGAAGAGGGGATCAGATACTTTGTTTGGATCAAAGCCTTCCTTCTGCAAATCCAACTTCTTCAACTTATATGTCCCTGAAAAAGTAATTTCCTCATGAAACAATGACAGACTAGTCTTATGAGTGAAATTAAATGATGAAATAAGTTTTTCACAGAGAGAGTGAAGGGTGTCCAATAGGAACTTAGGCACTAACCAGTGGCATCAAGTTGCTTGACCAAGCGTATAAACAGGGGACGTGCATATGGAGCAAGGCTTTTTTTCATGCCTCCCACAAGGCCAGACAAATCTACTCCTCCCTCTGGATCATGAATTGCACACATCCCCGCCCTTCCCTCCACACCTGGAACCTATTGCATGGAATATGCAAGAGATAAACTTTTTCATGTCATTGGCCATGACATTTGTGCACTAATACCAGCAGTGAACCAGTATCCTCATGTAACTGGTGTATATATATTTGGGAATAGTATACAAAGAAGCCTGCGCAACCTCTTCCACCTCCTGGCCACTGTTGAAACACAACCAATGCCCTAATGGTATTTTTTAAACAGTGAATCATCAGAGCTTATTATAATGTAGTTTTGTATTGATAAGTTGACCTATGTCATGCTGAGGCCTGTACCAACATGCAGGGTTTTCATGGAAACAATGAACAACCTTTCTCATCTCATTCATGCTCTTTGTGTCTGCAACTGGCATTGCAGTTTTAGAGCATCTAGGACAAGCTACTGTTTTCACAGATGCTTTATTGCATTTGAGCTGCCTGATCAGCTTGCACATTTTACAACAGGGTGGCATTTTCCCCCATAAATGACAGATTCACCTGCATATTTCAAAACCTTTCAAGTTCTTTTGTTAGAATAAATCAAATCCCACAACTTTGCCTTTCAAACAATGTCAGTGAAAGCACCAACTGGTTTCAATGACATATGGGATCATTGGATGCATTAACTGTTGACAAATGGGGTAGAATGTCACTGGGAGATATTATTTTTGATAAGGGGGAATCAGTCTTACTGCACCTACAGCATAACCTGTAGTAACTGTACCTTTACTAGTGATATCCCCTTGTAATATACTCCCACACAAACTAAGCTGCTCTGTATTTTTTATGCCTTTCCTATAAGCATGCCTATTGGAAATCATGCCGGCTAGGTTTTTCATGAAGGACTTTCCTCAGATATGGTGGAATTACCACAATTCTCAATGAAAGGGTTTGAAATTCCATTAAACTTGTCAAATATTCAGCCTAGGGTGTCCTAAAATATGTTGCATGTGATATGGAAGTACAGTAAGATTAAAACTGCATGTTCATGTTTTATAACACCTTGTGTAAACATTTGCTCTCACCTGGACACCATAGACTACAGAGTCTGCTAGACCAATGATGTTTGATATGACTGCTTCCACCTCTGAAGTTGAAACATTTTCTCCTCGCCACCGGAAGGTATCACCTGTTCTATCTTTGAAGTACAGGTAACCATACTCATCCATGACAAGCATGTCACCTGTCAAATGCCCAAAAACACTTTATGATATGCAAAGAGGCTGACAGAAGGCCTGTAATGAAGAAGAAATTTAGACACACCTGAGCGAAAGCAGGTGTCACCTTGTTCAAAGACATTATGAATGATCTTCTTGGTTGTGGATTTCACATCTGCATAGCCTTCAAAGTCTCTGATGGGGTGATTCTTTTGGATCTTCCCAACAAATTCTCCAGGTTCACCAGGAGCACAATGGATGCACATGCCTTTAGAATTGCGAATTGGTTCTCCAGTGGCTTCATCCACTCGAATCAATGTGACAGGGAGGATTCCAGGCAGGATGAGGGATTTGAATCCAATAGCACCAATACGATTGTCTACATTGACTGTGAGAAAGTACATGTGCTTGCATGATCTAAGAAAACTGGCATTATAACATTGCAATTATTATTGTTATTAAATATAACTCACTGATGTTGGCATTTCCCTCAGTTGATCCATAAAACTCTATGATGTTCTTGACTTTGAATCTGTTTTGGAACTGTTCCCAGATTTGAGGTCTCAAGCCATTGCCAAAGATAGTATGCACACAGTGCTGGGTTTCCTCTGGCTTTTGTGGTGTTGACAACAGGTACCGACAAATCTCACCAATATATTGAGCAACCTGTGTTACATTCAAACAGAGGAATTTTTATAATTCCTTCATATCTGAACTTGAAAATGAGCTGAACCTAGGATGTACTTGGGGAGGCATCTGCATCCATTCAATTCTTCCATTTTTTACTTCTATTCTCACAACATCCATTTGGCAAAAGTGCATATGGCATTTTGACAACATTTGGCAACTGTACACATGGCATTTTGACATTTGGCAAAAGTATATATGGCATTTTGACTAATTCATTCATATCATGAACACCAAGAAAGTTTCACAAACTCAGTCATAAAACAAGGACAAGAATATTCAAAAGTCAAACAGTAATTCAATGGAAAGGTCAAAGAGTAACAACAATCCCTGTTCTTGGAGCAGAGCAATGAAGAGGAAGCAACCATGCACATACCAAGAAAAGCACAACCATCCTCAAGAAAATTGGTTCCTCACATGCACTAAAGAATCCATTCTAAACACTGCCCCAGGGTATGATCCAGACCAGAATATGATTACTGTTTGTTTTCTTCGTGAGATGGCTTTAGGACACCTTTCACCATTAGTTGGGCTGCAAATTTGATTAGATTAATTGAATTCATTAATATTTTAATCTCAATACAAAAATTTTAATAATGTACATTAAATGAACAAGTACCTGAATCTTAGCTTAACCCACTTTGTTCGGGAGCCCTAAAAGGTCCAAGATTGACAGGTAGAGGGTTGATGGAATAAAAATTGCAAATCATCAACTAGGCATATTTCTACTAATGAATGATTCCATAGGTCCCAAATCATATCAAAAGGGTGAGATGCCCACCCACCCACCCATCATTGGCACTCTACCAGGAAAATACATTAAGTGGAGTGGGTGCAGTCCATCAACTAAAATGAATTACAAAGCTATTCATTTAACAGGGTTAAATGAATAGCTATGCAATTCATTTCTGCTGTAATTTCTGCAATTCATAGTCCTAAAAAAGCCAAAGAAGGAAAAAGGAGCTTGATTGTTTCAGACACAAGAGATACCAAATCATATGCAAGGTATGGCAATGACCATCAGTCTATATAGTTCTTTGCTTTAACCTATACATCACTGTGCATAGATCGGTATATTCCTAAACTTGATATGTAACTTGATTGATATACAGGGTGCGCAAAAATAACAAAAAAAGCTGTCATTTTTACTGAGTTATCAATCTGATTGTAGTCAGCCAATTCTGATGAAATTCACTCATTTTCCTTGCACCATATCCTTTTTCAAGTCCAAGTTTTTAATAAGAGCAAGATCTTATCGCTTATGTTCAGCACTTTTGACAATGCACCTACTCCTGAAACACAAGGATAGAAAAATTTAAAATTTAAAGAAATTTTGAAATCCCACTTGATATTTGGTGAGCTAACCTAGGCTTTCTTTAAATGCATTTATTGTAAGTAGGTTGGCCTTAGCCTAGCCTAGCTTAGCTTAGCTTAGCTTATAAATGAACTTAGCTTATTGCAGCAGACAATCATGCATTTCATCAATACAGACCTAAAGTTCATATTGATATTTTCAACAATCCATTTTGTGGTGGGTCATTAGAAAATAATTACAGTTCCCATAATTTTAGAGCTAGAAGGCTGAAATTCAGCACACAAACCCCCAATTGTGTAACTCTATAGGCCTATCAAATTTCATCAGAGTTGGCAGCCTAAAAAAAGATTGAAAACTCACCAAAAATTACAGCTTTGTTTTTTTTGGCCCACCCCTATATATGTCTCAAACTATATCTAACTTTGTTTGGTCAAAGCAAGGCAATTACTCAAAGGAAATCATAAATTGAAAATGGAGAGGGCATTCTAGTCCCTTTGAAGTTACTACATTCCTCATTCCCTGGTATAGATCAAGGGAAAATCTGAATGAACTTTGTTGTCTGTGCTACTTTGATTCATCAATCGCTAATTGTGAAAAAGCTAATCAAAACCACCTGCAAGAAAAGGCCAGTCAAAGGAATAAATTTAATTGGATGAGAAGTCTGATAGGGACTAGATGAATTACATCCATGGCATGAAGTGACTTCCTTCACTTGAGTATCAGCACAAGCTCTTGTCCCTGTTCAATATTCAGCTTCCTTTGCATAACTGCTCATGGCCTTACCTTAGCAGAACAAATTTGAATGAAGCTTCAAAAACTAGTAGGAAGCCTATTCATTAATGCACAGTGCAAGGTTCATGAAAGCAACTCCAGAGGGAGAGGAAATATATAGATGAAAAAGTCATGTCTTATTTTTGCAGAACCTTGTATGATGTGCTCATATTCCATTAATAATGACATGACAGTATTGTCATCTGACAGGTGAGTACCAAATGATTTTCCTTGGTCACCTCAAAAGTTCCACTTTTCCATTGCTAGATTCAGAGGGAAGTAAGGGTTAATTAAAGATCTCATCATCATCCTAACAAGTCCATGATTATGATTACAAGTTCTAATTGAATTGCAGCAATATCTTTAGAAAATGTGATATAGGGCCTCATGAATTACATGGTACAGACATACAGGGTGTAGCAAAAAAATACTTCAAACTTTAAAGTATTAGATCTCTACACTCAAGGGAATTATTTTCATGAAACTTGGAATGTGCATCAGACTAACATGTTGCAACAGTTAATAAAATTTCATCCAAATTTGTTGTCACAGCAATGAGATATCATTCATCATCATTCTGCCAGGCTATGAGCAATCCTTCAAAAGAAGTTGAGATTTGAAAATAGGGCAGGAGGACTGGAGCCCTTTCAGTGATTGGATAAGGAAAGTGAAAAAGTAAGAGCAACCTCTCAGAAATCCTTATTCACTGTTTGTCACTTATTGCTAAGAGGCATTTCAACACCATTCATAACAAAATGCTACCTCAAAGAATGGATTTAATGGAAGGTGTTCATTGTGGTCTCCATGATATACAGGGTGAGCCAAAATTACCTAATAAACTGTGACATGCACATTTATTTGGACTTTTAAGTAATAAACACTTAAAAATAGTGCATACTGTCATGAACGACTGAATTCATATTGAAAATGGCCTTACAGTTAGCTGTACAAATGTTCAAAAAGTTTTCCTTCAACAATGACACATTCCTGGATTCTGTTAATCACAGAGTGGCACATGGTTATTGGAATGGAGTTTACTAGATAATTTTGGCTCGCCCAGTACAATCACACAGCAAAGGCATTTTCCCCATTCTACTACCTTCACAGGCTCTCATCCACTTTTAAGATCCAAGTTTTTATGAATACTTGCTTATAGCCTTGCCTTGGAACAATGGAATTGAATGAAATCCCAGAAATCTCTTGGGAAGGCCTAAGCACTTTCATGAAAATAACTGCAGAAAGGCCGAGACTTACAAGTTGAAAGTCATGGTTGTTGTGTTTTTTTTTCCCTTCCATACCCTACATATCAAATGATGAATAATGCATGAATTGGAGAAGTCCCATACCGTGCACTGGTACTTGGCTGCTTCCTCCCAGAAGTGGCTCGCAGAAAATTTCTTGCGGATGTAAGCAGAGCACCCGAACAAGATAACCTGCCCAATCCCCAATGTGGTGCCAGCAGTGTGATAGAGCGGCAGTGGATTATATATCATCTCTCTGTTTGATAGATTTCCTAAGTAGTGCACCCCTGAAGCCATGAAATGGTATCTGTGCCACCAAAGAAGAGAGAGAGAGAAGAATGTGGTACTAATATGTGAAGCCTTTTGAATTTTTCATAGTGTACATTCATTTTCCCCCTCCAACACATTCACCCTATCTTCCTCATTCCAGGATGAGTTGACATGGTTGGAGCATGGAAATTGGAATGGATTGGGAACTGTATGGAGTAAAAATTCTGAATTACAGATCCAGATCATGATCCCCTTTAAGGTAGCAGACCTACTTTAGAATCATCACTTTTGAAAAAAAACTGCTCTGAATGGCATAACTTCTCGTATAATATAATACCCATATCATTCATTTTTGGCTGAGAGCTACCTTGAATATTCCTCCAAGGAATGGTGGTAGCTTTCTATGTTTACCCAATCCTTTAGCACTTTTTAGTACCATTGAATGCGTAATTAGGTCATAAAAATCCCAAACATTTGGAAACTTTTCATTTTTGAAAAAATTCACCTATTTATTGAAAAACTGTTTCCCTCAGGACAGTTGTAAGGATTCAAACTGCAACACTTTTCAATTCCATCAAATATATGTGAACCATCTGTGAGAAATACTGTTTGAAAACAATTTCACTTTTTTGCGCTCTGGTGGCCATATTGGGCCTCATTAACATAATTATGCAAATTACCTAAATGAACGCAATATTTGCCCAATCAGCTTTCATATAGTCAGTTTGATTTCTGGGAAGGAATAGAAGGGTTTGGTTTCTGGGAAGGAAAAAGTTGCCTTAAAGTAGGTCTGCTACCTTAAACAATCAAAATGGCACATTTAGTACATACCTCAAGTCAAATGACCTAACATAATTGCCATCATCTTCAAAGCACAATGATACCAAAACCTGCACAGGATTGGATGATTGCATCTTACAAATCCTCTTGATAATGCCTTGGTTAAGCCAATCATGTTGAAGATTGGATACTGATCCTAACATCCACTTTTGCTAGAATGCTGTATTTCATACAAGCCCATCATGCATATGCATAGTTCCTTGTGTTAGTGGCTTAACTGGGAAAAAGTAGGAAAACCCATGATGGAGACAGCTGCTGAAGAAGCTCTGAAGTGCATTCCAGAACTGTAACAGCTCCATAGGAAAAGATCCCCATGCAAGCATGATGATGAGAAAGTGATCTAGCAAATCGCATAACTGGTCCTTTCTTACCGTGCATTTGTATTTCACACAGTCCAACCAGAAGTGAGTAACTGAAAATTTCTTGCGAATGACGACAACTGCTCCATGGAGGAGAGTCAGACCAATGCCCATGACTCCTCCAGCCGTGTGATAGAGGGGAAGTGGATCATACACTACATCTGATGACTTGAGTTTCATCATATAATATGTAGCAGAAGCAGCCATGTGGTACCTATAGCAGTCAGGGACAAGAGCAAAGCTATAAAACAAAAAAATCCCCACCCTATGCTGTCCCCTGTCTCAACATTCACAGGTTAGTCATTTCCCACTTCTGTAGAGCTTATGGAAGCATTCCACCTGCTGGGATTAGATGTAGTTGAACAGCAGCAGAAGTTCAGGCATGAGTTATAGTAAAGATTATGAACAATGATTCACTTTTGTAATTTGGCGCTCCAGACAGAAAATGGGTAGATAAGAAGCCACTTGGGAACCAATGCCTCTTTCAGACAACATAATTTACAGCAAAGTTTATGATGAGCTTGGGCAAGTGACACCAAAACTTCACATTTTTGAATCTCATAAGTTTATCTTGAGCCTCTTTTGAGAGTCAAGAAAGTGATGAGGTACTGTATGTGTCCAGACTAGCAAAAGAAAGGTGCAATAGGCAGGAGACACTACTGCATAAAGTTCAGAAGTTTAAAGGGAATGCCTCTGGTATGAACTAAAAGTAAGACAACAAAAAAATGCTAGCAGTTACAGGCAATGTTTAACCAATGACTTCTCCTTTCTGCTATCATGGTAAATGAGCAGATATCAGTGAATATATTCAATAATTACAGGGAAGAACGACTGGATGAGTTCACCAATGCTAACATACAAGCACTGCAAGTTTTAATATTGACAGAGAAAGAACAGCTCAGAATATCATATTTGCCACAAAATGATGTGAAATGGTGCAAATTTGGGATTAATTGGAGATTTCATTACAGTTATGAATGGCAACATCTAGTCTGGATCAAGAAAGAGAAGAACCAGCAAAATGGTACTCAACATATGCATCCTGGACAAACATTTGACCAGGCACAAAACCAGTATGATGACTAATCAAGAAAAAAACATGAAGGGCAATGTATCACTGCTCAGCATCCATCACAGCTAGTAGGATGAATGCATTTCCAATGAATGACCTATACCATAGGATGCATTCTCAGGTTAACCCTTTCCCTGGCAGGGATATCTGAATGTTTTGAGAATATAAATGTAATGTTGCACACAGACACCAGGGAAGGGGTTAACAAGTTATCCAACTACCAACATCCATTGTAGCCAGCAACAATATTCTTGGGATGGCTGCAGATTGAGTCAACTGACAGCTTTTCCCAAAGGAGAGTAATTTAACTAGCTGACTTAGCTCAGAAATGAATGACAACTTTGAGGCAAAAGCATGGACAGCTTTTTGTGAAGGCAGTGACAGAGGCCAGGGTTTTGTCCACTAGAAGACTCCAGAGGAAAGGTTTTCTTGCAAGTCAGCAGTACTTCTTTAGGAAGGAATTTGGTGCAAGCAATAATTCACAAAATATGTACATGAAAATAACTCTTCTCTGCTGAATATATACGATGCTGACCAGCAGGTTTTGGTCTGCTTTTGAAATAGCAGTTGAATGATTTTGTGAAAAGGCATGGATAGGTTCAATGTGCCTAAAGGCATGGACAGGTTCAATGTTCAATATGCCATTCCTAAAGTCAAGACGAAAGAACACTATCAGCTCAAACTTTGTGAATATTCTGAACTTCTACAACACAAAATATTAATAAGCAAGGTAAGGGAAGCAGAAAGCAGTTCTCATCAACTTTCTCCCAACTCAAAAGGTGACCTTTATCCACCTTCACATGCAATAAATCTGGACTCACCGTGAGTGTTTTATGACAGCTGCTTTCGGAAGACCAGTTGTTCCAGATGTGAAAATGTAGATGAGTTTGTCAGTGAAGCCAGGCTTCTTCTCTGGTGCAGGTACTTCTTTGGATGCCTCTAACAATACCTTGTCAAGCCTTACATCAGAATGCACTTTGACACCTTCAGAAGGCTCCCCATACATATACAGGGGATTCCCGTCCAGGTCTGGTCTGATCTCATTGATGGCTAACAGGGAGAAAAACATTTGAACAATTAACTCAACTGGTTCTTACTGTTTAATCATGCCATACTGGTATACAGTGTTCTTCAAGTTGCAAGTTATTTCCATTTGCCAATTCCATGCATGCACTACAAGAAGATGCACTGCTGGTTCCAAGAGCTGGTTGATGCTAACCTTCAAGAAGTGATGCACAGAAGATTACAGCCTTTGATTGAGCCACCTTGATACAATGCACCAACGGATGCTCCCTGAGATTGTAGTTGAGTAATGCAGGGACTACACCGATTTTGGCAAGACCCAGCCAAGTTGCCACATAGACAATTGAGTTCTCCATGAACAGACCCACCACATCTCCCTTCTTGAACCCCTCGTTCAGAAAATAATTGGCTACTTGATTGGAGAACTCATCGACCTGGATTGTCATTAAGAAAAACACGTGAGAAACACAATTCAAAACAGACAAAAAGACAACTTGATTGTGAAAGATGACACCCCCCCCCTCCCACCCACCACTTACTTGCTTGAACGTCCATTCATCATCTTCGAAAATGAAGGCCACCTTGTTCGGGTGTTTTTTCACGTACGTGGCGAACATATCTGGAACACTCATGTTCTTCTTCTGCACATTGTAGATACGTAAGTTCAACTTCAGGAACCGCAAAGCTGCCCTGTAGCAGGAAAAAAAGCCAATTTACTTTTCAATAATTCATGCATTCTCTTTCAAAGGCAATTGTATCATAGACTTCCAGACTGCTGATCTCCACGTAAGTAGTACACTTTCATACTGGCATTTATGAATTGAAATGCGATCTTAAAGTCAGAAAGGAGAAATAAATTCGATTTTCGAAATTGGCATATAATCGCTGCCGTAAGAAACAGCCATTCCATGATTGCAAGCCAGGAAGAGCATTATTCACTGTCTATTGATCAGAAGAGAAAACGTTAGTTCCATTTCAGCGGAGTACGGGAACGGAAATGTACTTACTGCATGTCTCGAGGGACAGTTTTTCTGATCCGGTTGAACCAGTTGTCATTTCCGATCATCAGAGCCAAGTCCCCGCTAGACATATTTTTTGAAACCATTCTACACACAAGCTCGCATTTAAGGTATTGCAACACGAAGGGGATCACGAGAGGAGCATGAAATGCGTTCCAAGTAAAGAAGCGCGACTCTTTTCCTCTTCAAGAGAAGGTTGGATGCTCCATCACCAATCTCACTCCTGCAAGTTCTATCCCGACTTGATCGCACTATCTGCAGCGCAGGAAGGTGACTTAGAACAATGCGACATCATGCTACCATAAGATTCTCCTTATTCACCGCCGGGATTGGCGGCCTATGCCTAAATGACCTTCATCTCAACTTGACGCTCCAACACACGGAGGAACGCATTCACAATCTTGAACGCGCTATGCGACACATTATGGATAGGACTTTTTTGTTGCAAGAACCAGTGCGGGCTGGATAGAAGCCAAGGAAGTGAACGAATGGAGAGGAACATGAGCACGGGCACTTGAACTCCTGAATCACGGCGGTCATTGGCCTAGGAAGAGACACGCTCCCGTCAAAGACGACCGAAACGAGGAGTGAACGGCGAAAGAGTACGAGTACTTGAAAAGCACATGAATCACTAAGGATGGGACCTTGAGGATCTCCAGGGTCGTGCGGAATGAAGCACAAGGTAAAAACATACACGTGCCCTCCCTTTCCCTCCAGCCTCCTACTCTTGGGAGACTGGGCCTCCGTTACGCAAGGCTCACCTCCCATCCATTCTTCTAAATTCCCCCCAACTACAGCCTTGAAAAACTTCGAGTAGGTCGACACCGCCAGCTGGATATTTCCATCGTTCTTCACCACAAGAGACTCGTCCTTGGGTGCAACAATGACCCACTGCTAAAGCGTTGACATCAATCACTCCAATTTTTTTTCCCTATAATAGGAAACTGCGAAGACCTCGTGTCTTCATGCTTCTTTTAGTCTCCTTCCTCCATCAATTGGGGGGGGGGGGGGGCAAATAAGGCATAGTCGGAGGTCAATACTGTACAGAAAAAGGTCTCCTAAAATAAGGAAGATTATTCAAAACGATGTCAAACGCTAAGGGGTCGAGTCATCCATCGCCCGGGACTCTAGTTTTTGCATTACATTTGTTTCGAACCATCGTTGCTAAAATGCCGTAATAGCGCATATGACAAGCGTGGAATAGTCGTCTACATTTAGCATCTGAAGCCTGGTTCGGATCTCAACCGTGGCTACGACAGGGTTGCTTGCATTACTCGCCTTTCTATTGCCTTCTTCTTCACCTTGCGCGAGCACTTTTTCTTTGGAGACGTCTTCCCGGAAATGAAAGTAAATGCGAGTTCCATTCATGGCTGATATTTTTCGTCACCATGCAGTCAAAGCAAATTAAAAGAAAGGCAGAAGAAAAAAAAAATTCGTGTCAGAGGTCGGGTCCAATTCAAACGGTTAAAAGCTACGAAATATGCGCTCAAATGATCCAACGCGCGTCCTAGTCCGCGTTAAGTCCTAGTTCGCACTACCAGGCGACCTTCGTATGAAGAACGTCCTTTTCGTAAAGAAGTGGATAGTCGCGTTAGGACTGCTATGTATCACTAAAATCGGCAAGAAATCATGGTTGATCCATCATATTTCCCATCAGTAGCACCCAGATAATCATACAGATAATGAAGGTCTCTCCGTTTGCACTATCAACTGTCTTCTTCATCTAACACATGCTTGGGTCCTTAGGAAAAGAATTCTTTCAGAGAAGCGTATTGAATGACATGAATGACAAGGCGAACGAGGCACATTCCTAGCATTTTCCCGTATTTATTTAGCCCGACTGCTTTTCCGCCTTTTTGCGGTTGGGCTTTCTAAGAAAGAGAAATGAAAGTTATGAATAAAGCCTTTATCATCATACAAGGAAGAACCAGCCTCTTCCGTGCTCTCGCCGTTTTTTAAGCACATTTTTTTAGAACCCCGAAGAACCCCTGCCAGAATAACACGAGCAACCGTGCCATTACTATAGCAATGCTCTACACCACCCACCATATGAGAAGTGTGGATTACAACTGTACGGTTGTCATCTACGCTACTACCAAAACGGTCTAGATTGTCAAATGTTGAGGATTTCCAAAATGCTGATGACATTTCTGCAGCATTCAATGGAATTGAAAATGAGGGGTATTCTACGGCGGACTTAGTCACAAGCATCACTGAACATCAGGAATTATATTAAATTTCCTCCGTTCAGTTACGTCAGACATGATCATTAGGCATGGCACAGGTGGAACCTTCAAAAGCAAGCATTGAACTACTCCCATTTATCTTCTCCCAGTACCGGTATGGTGAGTCGCCTGCATAATGAGTTTATTCATTTCAGGCCCCAGGGTTCACGTACCAAGGTCTACCGTCAAGCTACGTTCACACCAACCGCATAGCATAACACAAGTGCCCTTATGCGATCAAAACCTGGGCTCTAGGGTCTGTGCGAAGAGTTGAGAGCTTATAGAGCCCATCCAAAGCCCATACTCTTCTTCGTCTGACGATCTCTGCCTCTGCCTACGACCGTGACATGCCATGGTTGAAAGGATCGATGTCAAAAGCAGGGTATCAACATCCATAATGGGGAATAACTAGATTTTATTAAGCATGGTCTACTTGGACTTCACCCAACCCGCTGCCTAGAGGCATGATTATGTGATGCGCCATATTGATGACAGGAACCGCATAGCGCGACGCCAGTGTGAACAAGAATCTTTAGGAGCTGTGCTATTTTATGTCAGTCATGTTATGCAATGCGGTTGGTGTGAACCAAGCTTAACTCTTAGGTTTTCAACATACTGGTAACACAGGTTTTGCCCAGCCCGTTTCGCATTTATTTTCCAGTTCTGCTTGCAGCTCTTCTTGTTTACCTTGGGATAGTGGTCGGTCAAATACCTGTTACTTCGTACTATTTTTCACCTTTCCAACCACCATTGGGATAAGCTTTGCCCTGAGAAGCTTTTTCCTCTATCTTCCGGATACTAAACCAGAATAAATACCTCCACCAAATAACATGGTCTCTTCCATCAGTCTAACAGTAATACCTAGAAACGCACATATGATACTTTTTTCGCATTTGCAAAAGTGTAGGTATCTCCAGCTTGATCTAAAATATATATCAGCATGAATTTCTCTGCCTTTACCGAATCGTTTGGGAATACTTCCTATGGCCAAAATTTAGGTTTTCGTCCATGGCCTCCATCTTCCTCAGGCAGTCTTCCACTCAAAGGGACCGACTTTTGCCTGACTTTTGGATGTCTAATTTCCTGACTTTTCAGGCTTTCTATGCCTGCGGAACATCTGTTGTGTAGCTACCTCTTCGACCGGTTTTTTTTCTCCCTTCATTCCCAAGTGACAAGGGAGAAAGGGTCTAAAACTTTCTCCAGCAGTTAAAAAAAAAAGATTATCTGGCATTCTACAATAGTTGCTGCGCGAGATCCATACAAATAAGCTGGCGAATATTCGCTACTAACATATGATGACTGAATCAGCGACATAAAAGACTGAATTCGATTACACCTGAACCTAAGAACTTAAACCTAACCACTGCAAATAGAAACGTAAGGAAACAGCGAATCTTCGTTGTTCCCTACACTGAAGGCTCTTCTTTTGCCTTGGCCTCGAGCAAAAATAACAACATAACAACATTCGAGGGTCTCACAGAAAGGAGCAGGCTGCACGTGGCGGCATCAATATACGGTACACAGACGAGATGCCGCTGTGATGGCCGCAGCACGAGTGAGACGAGGAAGGAAGCTTTGGAAGGATATATTGAGGGAACACCCTCCGGGCCCGCTCGGAGAACCCTCAGAGGGGACAGGCCCTCCAGTGAAAGTACTTTCTATCTCCTCTTACTGGCCCCTTCTCCACGCGGGCCACATTTTTGCTCTTGTTTCTTCGTTGGCATCTGTAGGAATTTCTTACGCACGCACTGCTTTTACACTAGGGGTGAATAAGGTATGAACAATCGCGGGCGTAATTCACCGAGAAGTTACAAAGTTTGAATAACGTCTTAACATAATGATGTATGCACGAAGGACGAATTTAATGCTATCAGGGGATGGGATAGGGTAGGGGAGCTTCCAAGTGCTGTTTTGATGTCAAGTGTCTTGGGGAAGATAATATCAAGCGAAACACGACTGCACTCCGGCTTCGCACTCAGAGAAGAAAGGGGTATTAGGTGAAAACAACAAGGGTTCCTAAGAGAAAGTACAGTAAAAAAAAAAAGGAAGTAAGTTTAATTTCACAATCCGACGATGTATATAAGGAAGTCATTAGCGAGACCTGGATGTTATTCTGCGAATATGATACGAATTTCCTTCATTCTGGGACTTGGGGAAACGAGTAATACAGGTGCAGGTGTAGGAACGTTCATGAAAAGTGGTGGTGGATGGTATGGGAGGGTTTCCTAAATGCACCTGCCAGAATTCGACCCAGAGATATGCATCCAACTGGAAAAAGTGAGGGAACAAATAAGGGTACCTCTGCCAAAACACCTAGAAAAGGGGTAGCATTTGCCACCCCTGACCCGCACATTCTATGCATTTGAATACGAGACTCAGATGCCAAGGAAAACTACATGAAATCCTGGTCTTCGTGGAGTTTTCTGGAACCTCCCCGAGTCAATTCCATGCCTTTGCTTTATCTTTAAATAAATTTGAATCTAACCAAGATGTGGCCAAAACCGCCAAGGGTGATCCACGCTAGTGCTACATGTTACACATATGAGGGATGATCCAAAAGTGTCTGCCCTGTGATAAAAAAAAAGGTTAATACCAATAGTTGATACTTGTAATTACCAAACAAGGTGAAGGAATATGGGAACAAACTTTCAGACTTCTCCAATCATTTCTATCACCTCAGAGCAGACAATTGTGGATCATCCTTCATGAATCTAATTTTAGTCTAGAAGCAGTATAGAAAGATGGAAGGAATTGGCTCAAATTTAGTTGGATTTGAATTTAGATTTGGCTTACACGTAGATCAAGCTTGAACGTAGCTGAAGTCCAATGAAAATATTCAGGAATGCATAACATTTCAGAATGCGGAAATTTTTCATCCAAGAACCGGCTAGGAAAAACGAGATAATAATTTTTTTTAAAATCCACTCACTTTATGTCCCTGGGAAAAGTGACGATCATGAGTTGAACATGCTTGTGATGGTAGAGAAGGAGGATGAGGATGGTGACGATGAAAGCATAGAGAGCAGCCTGGACAAGGGTGGTGGCCATCATGTACGTGAAGGAGAAGAAGAGCAGGAAGAGGGAAGAGGTCTGCCACCCCACCCCCATTATGCCCCGCACTGCTCTGCAAAATGGAAAGTGGATGGTTCCGTTGAAGTCCCCTCTATAGACCCTCGGGGATTTAGCATGGTGCTTCTGAAAAGACAACTGGGGATGCTTTTATTAGGAGTTCGCTGTCTGAACTGCGGAGAAAGATTTTTTTGTTGTTTTTCTCATGGAGAATGGCGGTGACGTTTATCCGCATTTCTCCTCGTCTTCAAGGTCCGTTTCATTCAGGACATGAATAGTTTTCTTTCATAATAGTTTTCCTGCGTCGTATCCCTGTCGAGATAGCTCATAAAAGCGTCGGGAGCCAGCTAGTTCAAGAGTAATAATATTCTTCATGTTGGGGTTACAATGATTCAAATGTAAATTGTTCTATACGACGGGGATCAATCACATATTGACTTTTCCAACATATGATTGCACTGACAATCAAGCGATGTTCAATCTAATATTGAATTGGGCAGAGTGCTCTATTTGGAACCAGTTGTTTGTACAGAACACTCATAGTATGTAACAGAGCTTCGTTCATTCAATTTACATAACTGAAAGCTTGCGTTCAGAATCATTCCTAAGGTATAAAACACAAAAAACAAAAAGGAAACCATTCACTGGACTCTCTCCTCTCGCTCTCCCCTCTCCATATCCTAGAGCTAGGCTTTAACATTGACCTAGATACGAGAGAGCGAGTGAAAGCGTACATCCTCGTCCAACTGCATGCTAGAAAACCAAGGTCTTCTGAAGAGAATCGAAAAACTGGGTCCCTGTGCCAGGATACCTTTAATCACATACGGCCTTCCATCTTACCACAGCTTCTCAGTTTCAAGTTTGCACAATAGCACTGTTACCCAGACGTGGGTCACTCTCTCACCTCTCTGAGACGTTTCGTCGGGCACCAAGAACATGTTTTGTACACTCGGGATCGTTACTGCAGGACTCACCAACGACCGGAAGCGATGAGAAGGCAGAGGTGATGGGAATTCACCGGATTCGTGACCACGGATCTAGTTCATGCGAAGAATGCGCGGCAGAGGAGAAGGCATGCACTTGGCCACAGGGACGCCCAGCCAATGCAGCGCAATCTAGGAGAGATGGTGGGACTTTGAACTTTCACTTGGTACGGAGGAACATGGAACCCCTAGTCCAGTGTCCAGCTGTGCATCATTTCACGTGGCTTCACGCACACACACACTCACTCACACACAAGAGACACCTGCAGCACAAGAAAGTAAATAAAGGGGATACGCCGAAATATAAGGAAAGTAATTGTTCCTATCCCTAGGGTAAGAGAAAATGCAGGAATGAAGCAAATAGTGAGAAGGAACACCAGGGTACTCAAGTGTAGCCCCCGTCAGAGCCAATCGAGTACCGCGACAATCAGAGCCCAGGACGAAAACACTTATATCCAACAACGCTGCCAGGGTTTGCATCTAAACTCTCGCACGACCTCGAGTCTAGAGATATGGGGATCTCACTGTCTCCAATACCGTTACGAGTCCATCCATCGTACTCAAAGCAATCCCACGGAAGTAGAATGGTGATAAATCACCGACTTTTATGATACCACCACCCAGAAAATGATCTCGATAAAGAAATTCAAAACGTGAATCACCCGAGCGATTATAGTTCGAGCCATGTATCAATAGTAAGCATTCAGGTGGACTCTGGTCTGGTGATCGAAGTTCACACAGGACGTCGACCTGCTCGCTGAGACTCGGCACGTCGACTCCAATGCAAATCGTGAGGAGAAGGAAAAACTTCCACGTACACCTTCGCTCTTCCACGAGGAAAATCCGCTTCCTCACTACGCGTGAGGTGAAAACAAGTTACAGGAAAACGTAGGCGGGGTGAAGAAGATGGAGGAGACAAGGCGTGCAAGAAAAGTCTTTTCTTGTTACCGTCTAAAGTTTTACAGTCACAACGATCAGCCCACTTCCTGAGAGATATCGAGCATGTAAGAGGAAGATGAAGTTGCGAGGGCTTCGCACTCAACAAGGGAAAGCTGTACCTCTCGTCCTCTTGAGAGTCGGCATCGTTGCTTCTCCACATGCTGAAGCCTTAAAAGAGGAAGAGAGAGAGAAAAAAAAAAGCGACTTTCCGCATCCTCCTATGCCTTGTGCAATTATGGTTCGACGTCACCAAGACAAAAGACAAAGACCAAGTGTGGACACTAGACTATTTGTTCCTTTTCGCAACTGGCGCCTTTCCAGATGATAAATTTCATCATAGATTTCACGCGGTTGACGAGCCTAAAATCTAGTTTCAAATTCCGAGCTGGTGTACACTTCTGTCACGGTCTCAGTTTCGTTGCCGTCGAGTTATATATATAGTCAATGATTTTCTAACACGTGGGTTAGCAAGCCGCGTTGACGAGAGTTCTGGATTCGACGGATTCCTAAATATTTCAGGGAATTGATTTCACGACATGTGCGAAGGGTATGGGGGTAGGGGTTCCACCTTACCTTCCTCGTAGGACATTGTCCTATAGAATCTCTATGGAAGTGTCGCGTAAAATACATGACAGGTGGCAGCTCTATCTGGGAGGGGGAGGGAGAGGGAAAGGCAGGAATGCAACGGAACAACAACGAGGCTCTTATTATTCGCATTACTCCGAGGTAAGCCGAGGCTGATAAAAGTGGGGGGGGGGGGGGGGGAAGAACGGGCACTCTTCCATTCTTTCGGTGACTGACGCCGGTNGGGGGGGGGGGGGGGGGGGGGAGGAAGAACGGGCACTCTTCCATTCTTTCGGTGACTGACGCCGGTGATGGAAATCCCCGGTGATAGAAATCCGTGCGGATTTCCATCACCGACGTCTCAGCTTGCGATGTAATTACGTTTTACTAAACGAAGCCTTTATGTCGCTCATAGCAGACAGTCAGCAGTTTTAGGTTTGGGATATTTTAGTCCAACGTGTTTACCACCGGAGTCGAACTGTGGTTCGACTTAGCGGAAAACACGTTGAACTAGTTTCTATCCGCAGATCTATGACTATACCTAACCGATGCAAACTAAAACTGAGACTAAAAACTCACGTCCCACCGAAGTCTAGTTGAAAGCAACTATGACTACATAGACCAAAACCGAGAGAACAAACAGGTGAACCAAAACCAGACTGCAACTGGATTACTAAACTTGGCTCATCCTTTAATTATGCTAGAGGCCGGATTTCAATCCGGCCTATGGCATAATCAGAGGATGAGCCTAGAATGATGCGGAAACACCGGTCCCTGAAAAAGCGCCTTTCAGCGTAAACTAGAGGAGCCGCGCTGCACTTCAGGGATTAGATGAGACTGCGTGCTTATATAGTCAGTCGGGCAGGGCCAAAATGACATTAAAGGCGACTGAGGCCATTGCACCCCGGTTCGCATTCTGCCGACCGGGGCCGAGAATAGAGCGGGTTTCCCTCATTGTGTGAGATCGGACGAGAGTCACGTCTCCATTCCGAGGCAATCACAATGCCTCATCGGACAATCGAATCTCATGAACTCGGTCTCATGATGGGTTCAAGCAGTTCGGGGAGCCTTCACCGCCTCCACGGCTATAGTATTTCTATTGCCATCGGAAAGAGACAGGCACGGCATGACACACAGCAGCACCATCCCGAGAATGACTTGGCTCCAGCACATGTCCCAAGCCTCCAAGGTCGTGTCCTGCTATTATCCAGCTCCCCGCCTGCGAGCGGTCGAGTCCAAGCCGCACCCGATGAGTACCGAGAAATACTGGCCTGGTACACTATCACCAGGGGCGCATCTAGAACACTCGAAAGGAGGGGGGCCAACAATCCATACCGGGACCTAGCATTATCTAAATATTATGGCGATTCTCTAAAAGCTGGTTCTTCTGAATGTTTCTGATGACAGTTGCTATTCCGTCCCAATCTTAATTTTTCCCGAAATGAAAAAAGCGCGAGAACTCGGTAATATCCTGGAAAAGTATCTGAAATTTCCATTAAGTTACTTTGAAAAATGAGGACTCTTTAAACAAAAATGCATTTAATGAAAATCCCGTTTTGCCACGATTCCCCGATTCTGTTGGAAAAAAATCTAAGTAAGTAGCCATCCATCGATATTAATTGCATCAATCTGCGTTCAATAATTTGGAAAATATTAGCTCTTAAAACGGCTAAGTGAATTATTTGACACCCTGCATACTAACAAATTCTTTGGCTTTTTAAAATATAACATTACATCGACGAAATGAGATAATTTACTTTCCTTTGTATACAAACGAGAGCGGCAGTTTGAATTATTGCCTGATCAGCAAAAATAATATGAATTGGATTATAGAATATGATGCAACGGAATTCGTGGCGAACTCCAACGAGGAAATCGACAGGCAGGCGAAATAAAAAAGCCACTCTGTTATCAACGGGCTAAGCAGCTATTTCCAGTACAATTATCGTCGGCATTTTATTGACGTAATGCCAGTCAAGTGAGGATCAAATAGGAAAAGGTGAGAAATGAGAGATGAGACAGTCAAAAGACTCTTCTGGGTTTTGTTCACGATGCGGAGTAGGCTTATGCTAGACAGATTCCTAATTTAAAACTCAAAAACCGAGAATCACCAAAAAAAAAGGTAGTAAGGGGGCGTCGGTGCCGGTGATGGTAACATGAGGGCATGAGCGAGCGGAAACCATGAACCCTCGATGATAGCTTTCCACTGGAAGAGGCTGGTGAGTTCATGGCTGTCAGTACGTGTCCTGCTTCTGATGAACGGGTATTCCTTCGACCTCGAGGTTACTCAATGCGACAGTCGGCACCTTTGGTACTGAAGGAAAACAGCCGGCAGGAAAACAGCCCTATTGCGTTGCTATCTGCCCCTGGAGAATCCCCATAAATACAGATGTGAAGGACACGCGTGATGCTATACGAATGAATCCTTCAAATACAGTCCAGTCCTACTAGAATAGGATTTCATGGATTCTTAACGTTGTATCATGTCTTCTTCGAAAAATGCGACCTCGACGACGAGACTTCACAAGGGCATTAAGCATTACCGTCCTTTCGACACAGCTGCCTCTAATAATTACCCATGTTCTCACATACCTTTAGAGCTACTGGGATTCAAGTGAATGAAAAAATACATGCAACATCATATTATTTCGTACGTCGGTAGACCCAGCTCCTAGGGGTAGAATTTCCAGAAAAATCGAGATTGATAATGCACCATTGAACCACTACGGTACGAGGTAAGGCAAACCTTAGTTGCCCCAATTCGCATAATATAGGTTACCAATGTGAAAACAGTTTTCTTGTTTAAAAAAATTGTGCTGATCAGGACATCAGTTCGAACATCTTCGCTTCGTGCTCAGTAATGTAATACAACATGTAATGCAATCTAATATGAAATGAGAATGTAACCTCAATTACCTCTAGATAATTATCTAACATTTTCCTCACTCTGCATATCTAGGATAAGGAAATAATATTTCCATCATGGGCATATTACTATGTCTAATACGTAGCTAATTACAGTCACGTTCTAAAAACGTTTTCCCTTATGTAAGCTTTTTGTCGTAGTTTCAACCCTTTTTTAAATCGGAGAATCCGTACCAGAAACTGGTCGAGTGAACTGGAATATGAGAATACAAATGAAAAGGTTTTTGAATGGGGTTGTGCAGGTAGACTATTTTCAAAGTAAGATGACTAAAGTAGGGTTTCAAGTTAGTAGAGGGTTTACCTTATTCATTCATGCCCTCAACTAAAGGCATTAATCAGCATCTTCCACGTCCCCAACTAAATGCACTAATCAGAATTAATTGGAACGCCTAATTGCCCGAAGGAGTCACTCAAATAAGATGACTAATTAATAATAAAATTGTTCAAGCTCTCTAAAACACGGTAAATTTCCCTTTCCTCTCTTTCAAAACCAGGAGAGATCAGAAGTACCAACTTATTTCACGTACGTATGACGTTGCAAATAACGTTTCGCCCGCTCATGCTACATATTAAATTTCACCGATATTCATCATCTCGTCGGGAAAGGGGTGACGGGGATACATTAGACCCTTTCCATCTTATATAAAGTCTCACCTGCACTTCAAGACAGGATAGAGGATGGAGAAATACACAAACACGCCAACGCTCCAACTCCCAAGGGGTCACGAAAAAGACTGCTGAAAGACTGACTGCCCTCCCCGCCGAGAAGTGACTTTCAAGCGTCTTGCCTCGTGAAGTCACGGTCACCTTCACATATCCTCATTTTCACAATACATTATTCTCATCAAAGAAATCTCAGGCAGCAACTTCTTTTCAGGATTGTTTCTTTTCTTTGCTTCGTCTGTTGTCTCCCTTCAGCATGCAAGCATGTTTCATAAATTAGTGGAAACAATGAGAAGGTGAATGATCAGGCTGTTGCCGGATAGAGGTTGAGCTGCAGTTGCGCTAAAACCGAGCCGAGAAATACGATAATCGTTTGAAAATGTCTAATGGTAAAATGCGAAAATTCTCAAAAGCGAGAAATGAAAATCTCTAAGCGCAGGAGGCCCGAGCGACTGGTCGGACGCTAGCACGCTTAGCGAGTGCCTTCCCTTCTGCGCTTCCGTCCCAAGGAAGACCGAGCAAGGGATGACCTCCATGGAGTTTCACTTGCTCATTGCTCATTCACTGTACTCATTTGCTGCGTGAGGAAACGAGCTATGCCTGACCCGGAAAATCGCCTACTTTTATGTGGTGATGCGCGTCTTGCTGCCGCAGATGCACCAAAAACCTGATTGGATGAGTCGTATTGCAGACGAGACGAATCGGCGCCAAGGATTCGTCTCGTATTCGTCTCCTATGATTATCAGAGGGCAATGTTATATAAACACACGATCATGCAACGTCATACTGTTATGAGCTTCGTCGTGCGTATGGCATGCTACCACATTTACTGCATGAAATCCAGGAGTAAAATAAGTCATTCTATATGTTCCCACCAGGCCCTTTTACACATTCTACTCCCAGTTATACCTGTATTACCATTGTCGCGATGCTGCAGTGACTTTACTGTTGCATGCTGGTGATGAAATGCTTCTCTATTCAATATTTCATGATGTTTAGGAGAAAAACACTCATCAGAAACCCCCATTTAAGCACAAAGCCCTGATTTACGATCAGGGGCGAAGGAAAAAACTCCAAACCGACTTCTTGCACGATTAATTCAATTCTGCCACTACAGAAAAGATTAGAGAGAAACAAACGCCTCTCTGCTTCGGCTGTATCAGCCCTCTTTATTCTTTATGCAAGGCCAATATTGCTGCCTGATATTTCTTGAAATACGAGAGGCGATCAAAAAGTTTCAAGCCTCATCATGACTTTTTTTTCATTCTCCCAGGTATATTAGGTCATATTAGTTATTTGGGTTTCATTTCTTGGGGGGGGGAGGGGGTCTCCAAGTCACAACCTAGATCAGTGGTTCCCAATCGTTTTTTTATTTGCGGCACACATAAGGACACTTGAACTTTCCACGGCACACCTAGCCATGTACTTTCTTTCAATGGAAAACGTGTGCTTGCTTCGTTGAACACAGAAGTTTGATACGAGGCGTGATAGTGCAACACTAAGCTCGTTTTTCAATAAGAGATGGCTTTCCCTCGTTTTTAGTTTTTTTTTCAGTTTTAGTTTTTCATTTTTTTTGTCAACTCTCAAATCTCACGACACGCCTAGGCCTTACTGGCGGCACACCGTTTGGGAAACACTGACCTAGACTGAGGTTCAACTAGGAGTTAGGAAATACTTGCTTTTTTTGGGGCTTGGGATAATTAATCACTCGAGATTGCTAATGGTGCCACTTTCACGTCCTTGAGGGCAGGTCAGCTAGGACTTCGATATCGTAACGCGTCTGTTAGGCTTACATATATTTCTTTCGCGAAAACTCTCCATCCCTATCAGTGATTTGGCCACAAGAACGTGAACCCATGGCTCTTTAGAAAATATTTCCTAATAAATTATTTATTTATTTATGCTGCCGGCAAAAAAAAAGGAACACCAAGAACGAGCGATTCTACAACAACCAAACTGAGCATTTATTGGAGACATCGAGGTATGCATACGATCACTCACTCTCCCATACGTGACATCCCGGTGTCGCGATACAATCTCGGCCACGTGGTATCGAAGGGTGCAAGGTCCCTGGGAGAGTCGTTTGGGGGTTTGCATCAGGCCATACAGGCCCAAAGTTTTCTGGTTGCAGCATAACTCGTTCTTGGCGTTCCTATTTCTTTTGCTGGCGGTGGAGGATGGCGCAACAAAGAAAGAAAAAAAAAACTCGTCCTGTTAGACGCTTTATAAAACCCGTTGTGAACCAACTGGGTTGATGATCGCATTGGAAACACTAAGGGTGGATTTTTGAACAGAGAACTATCCGATAATGCAGCTTTATTCCAGGGAAAATACTAGGTTGTAACGAAAGTTTTTGTGCATACAAACAACACAACAGTCCGCGATGCACGATTTTTTTGTCACACATTCTGAATGCTGTAATTTTTCTAAATTATAAATTTAGCGGTTTGTAAAAAAAAAAGGCAACATATACGTGGCATAAAACGCGCTTTCGTTCAGAATGTGTGACGAAAAAATCGTGCTTCGCGGACTGTTGCGTTGCTTGTATGCACAAAACTTTCGTTACAACCTAGTACATGATATTTCCTGGAAATAAAGCAGCATTATTGGATAGTTCTCTGTTCAAAAATCGACAATAAAAAATTTGCTTCCAAAGTTTCATGTGCATAGGTTGTGAATAAAAACATCAAAGTGGAGTCATAAAATAGACCTTTTCGGCGCATGGAGTTCGAGCACAATTCAAATAATTTCTCTCCCTTGACGCCATGAAACTGCTTTTTATGGCATATCCTCGTCGAAGTATTCTACGTCGCATCGACACTACGACTTACGACACCAGTACTACTCTACAACGACATGACATACAAAGCAGCTTTATGGCGTCGAAGGAGAGAAATATTAATGAAATCCACTTTATACGCGGAAAAGGTAAATTTTATTACTCCATTTTGAATGACTTGCTTTTTTTCAATCTAGACACATGAAACCTTCAAGAAACAAATTTTGTAATGTTTTCAATGTGAAAAAAATCACGAATATAGATGATCCACAGCGTCACCCATACAAAACTTTACTCCCTCGTTTGTTCGAATTTCATCGCTTTTCCCCCTAATCTTTACCTGAAGGGTCTTCTGACAGGTTGAGAGACGGGGGAAAAACTTTTTTTTTTTTTTTTTACCTCAGTTTCACTGTCCCAATTTTACATCAGGGGAAAATTGTCCTGTTGCAACAGGACGCTTTTTTTTGCCCCCACCATGTATATAGAGCAGGTTCTTTCCCTGGTCAGGGGCAAGAAGCTTCTGGTTAATTATTCACGATCGCGACTTGCATCCAAGAACATGTTTGACTATATCCTTCTAGTTTATTACCAGCAGTCATTATCTGATGACCTGACGCCCCGTGCACTCAAAGGAAGCGAATTCTGTGCCACGATTCCCTGCTCCGAGAACGGAAACGCGAAATAAAAACTCTCCCACGCACGTCACTCTTCTCGCCCTACTTCTGCAACCATTCTATGTCAACGGCGTCTGTATCTCTTGGCGGGAGAGTTTCAAAATCTAAACGAAATACAGTCGTGCTATTCCAAGCAGAGATACGAGAGCATTTTTTTCCATGCTATCTTCCACGTGTCAGTGTTTCTTTGTATGCGTGAAAGCATCGTTGCGCTAGAAAATTACTCTTCCCCTCCAATTACGACCCCCTATATCAGTCTAATTCTCACCTCACGTTCTCCTGCAATTTCAATCGTCTTACATCCCTCTACGTCCACTACGTCAAAAAAACAATTGGTATTGCGATTAAAGAGCGGGGGCTACTCGCACTTTCACAAGGTCCGTGGAGAGCAATCAATGAAACCTACCTCCTGTTCTCATCGATAAAGAACTACTTTGTCCCAAAGGCCATCATCAGAGCCATGAGCTCACCACCAATCGGCACCAAGGGAACTAAGGTAAACGACTGATCCTGTGCACATGGCTTAGTATCATTATTAAAAGCCTAAGTAAATAAAAAATACGTGCTTATCAGTAGCAGATGTAGGGCAGACTGGATACAGGGAAACTGACCCATCACTGCATCATACATTTTGAAATCTGTTGTACAAATGGCTTCTTGGGAAAAGCCGGAGTACTTCAGCAGTACTTCCAACACATTTTGCTTCATTCACTTTCTCCTATCATACCAAATAAAACAAAAAACCTGTTATCAGTTGATCAATATTTTATTTTCCAAGACTTCAAAGATGATAAGTAAAAATATCCATTTCATGACAGTAATCACATGCAACCAAGACCACAAGGTATGCTATCAAGTCCACTCATGGCGACCCAAAGGAACAGGGAGAGGATGATGCTTTGCTGTTAGACTTCACCACAGCCAACGATATGCCTTCTTTCTCTTGGAGGAGAATAGTCTCTGATGGACATTCAAGGGATAACACAAATGATGAGGTTGGATCTGGATTAAGCAGCTTTGCATCTTCCATCAGGGAAGCAATGTAACCTCCACTCTGGCTGGGGACTCGTCCAGCGCAAGTTATGATGAGACCCTGCTTGTCAACACACATTGCACCGTTCACACCAGGTGCGCCCATTAACTCCTCCATGGTTTTATTCAAGGTTGATTCCATCTTACATCTGCTGCAAAAGAATTGGTCAAATAGGATATTATCAAAGGCCGCTTCAAAACCTGGAAAATAAAAACCTATTCAGTTCTCCAGATGCCATGGGACTTATCTATTACAGAAGATCCACCTGAGGCAGTATGCCTTATATTATCTGCAATTCAATGTCTCGTTTTTGTTGTATACAGGGTGCGTAAGAAGTTCTGTTACAAACTTTGGACTCACATAGAATGTCTCCCGGGTAGAATCTTTTACAAGCCTATGGGCGTGTGACTTGTATAAAGGACCAATGGCCTCCCAGCTCCCTTGACCTGAACCCTCTGGATTTTTCTATTTGGTCCATTTTGGAGACAAGAGTTGGGGCTAGTGCCCACCGCAACATCGAAGCCCTTAAGAAGTCTTTGGTCCAAAAATGGAAGAATATTCCACAGCATCAGCTGCGTGCTGCAGTATGCGCTTTCCGCCCTCGATTGAAGGCTTGCATTTCCAAACGTGGCGGACATTTCGAGTAGCTATGGTTCCTAACATTGACTGACACTTTGTAATAAATAAATTATCACTTGAAGTTGTCGTTCTTGTTGCTTTGGTTGTTTTTGGCAAAGAAACGTTTGTAACAGAACTTCTTACGCACCCTGTAACATCTGTAATAGCAGATTCTCTTGTAGTAGCTTCAAGAATGAGCAATACTCCTGTGACAGAAGAATATGATCCTTCTGACTGCTAGCATCTCACAGCAGTCTAGGAGATATGGCTTCCCTTGAAATTTAAAATTCTTAATATTCACCCTGTTGCTTCAAATTCACAAAAAATGCAATATGATTCAAAATTTTTATTCAAATCAAAAATTTTCATACTTTTTTTTTTTTAGCATCCTGCAGAATACTTCTTAAACCATACCTCACATAGTAAGTGGTTTTCTAGGATGGTAATGATCCAACCACACTTCACATAGTAAGTGAATAGATGATTTCCATGGAAAATCCGAAAAAGATGAAATTCACCCTGCATCTCTCACTCTGTCGTGTGCAGTTCCACAAATGCAATGTGCATGTAAACAGAACGAGCTATAACAATTACATGCATGAATTGTCATGGTCTGAGAATGCAATAAACACTGAATCACAGTAGGCAAAGACAATTCTCCAGACTGTTACAATAGATATTTCTCTACAAATGCTATACATGTGATTATGCACAATAGGAAGTAATTCCCTACTCTTCAGTATGACAGTGCATCATTTCAACAAGATCGATGCAAATATTTGAAATATTTTCAAGACAAGGTAGTGTTGAGCACGGTGAAAAGAGTGGATTTACATACAGACTACCTCATTACTTCAGGTTAAATCATCACAATGACACACCTGCAGAGTAAAGATTCTGACAGAGAAAAAAAAAAGATCTAGATAGCACATCTATGTTTCCATGAGGAATGCCTCCAATAATTGTTTGAGTGAAGAGTTAACAGGAAGATGCAGACCAGAGCTGCAATATCATTTACCAGGGTAGTTCTTGCCAACTACAACACATGCCAAGGCACCTTTTCCATGAAAGAAAAAACCATATCCTTCAAGAAAAGAAAAAAACAAACAGACATTAGGAATTCATAGGGGAGCAGATGGAATGAAACAAGAGGACCATTATGTTTCTACACCAGGTCACATAGTGAGGGCTGAGATCCTTCTGTCCCACTGGCAACCACTACATATTGATGGTCATCACATGAGGGAACTGCACACTTTCTGCACAGATGATATGCAGATTAATGTCCCACTTCAAAACCAGTGGCACTCAAGAATACTTTTCTATCAGAATAATCAATCATTGATCAAAGTTAGACCTTCATATCCATAAAGTTATTTGAGGACATGAAATAAAGACCATGTCTGGCTTCCAGACAAATAAGACGTCAACAACGCTGCAATTGGCAACGCCCAAGCTCCAAATACATTAGGTGGACCAAGGCTGATAGAGACTGCAGCATGATGGAGAAGCATCTATTATAGAGCAGGAAAGTGTACCGTAGCAATTCAATCAAAAGAGACCTACTTGAAATGAAAGCAAAGGAATACAACTACTTAAGACAGATGCTTCCATGACTAAGTGACTTACTCTTTTGTAGGCATTTGATGTTCATATGATTGTAATCTACAAGCTTCAATCCAACAGGAACCATTTTTAGGGCCAAGAATCTGTTTATCTTGCTTAATGAAAGACTGCCTAGGCATGTCAGAATGTGAATTGGCAACAGTTAATATTCATACATGTTTGAGAAGAGACCCTATATGGCCAGGGATATGGAGAGTATTACCACCATCATTACTGCACCTTGTTATGGTGAATAGCAACAGCGGAATGAATAATGGATTTTGATAGTATGGATGAATTCTTAATTATGAGACATACATAGCAGCTTTCAGGACTTTACAGAAAAAAAGACTTCCAAACAGATATGGAATGACAATTATGGTAGGAGTCAATCAATAGGAATTAATTCCCATGCTCATTCCAGAAATAGTGAGCAGCAAGATATTGTGTGGCCTTTTCAAAGAAGGAATTACCTTTCCTTCATTGTCAGAGGATGGAAAAATCAGCTATGTCCATACCAGCCTTGGGAGAGTGAGAGATGAATATGTTACTTTGATGATTTTTATGAATGATGACTTACAGTAATTTGATGGTTTATATGAACTTGGATCATGACTCTTGTTCTCAAATGCCTGAACCTTCCCTCATGAAAGATGCATTACTTAAGCATGAGGAAAGATTAATTTAGCCAGAGATGTGAATGGATGTTATGAAAAAGAACAATGAGTAAAAAAAAAAAAAAGACATGATAGGAAAATAGAGACAACAATAAACCAGAGACAGAGATAGAATATTGAAGAATGAGGCATGAGATTCATGGAACAGTAAGCCTGATGAATGAAGGAATCCTGAGTAGGCATGCAATAGAAAGCCTGGAAAACGAGGACACACGAGAACTGACATGGGAACAAAAAAAGCCAGGAAAATGTATGGTACCCTTCTGCCCTTGAGCCTCAGGTCCACAACACAGAACCAGTCAATCTCACAAAAACTCATGACCATAAAATCCCATCTTGATAGGATGCAAGGTTTAAGAATTTGTTGGCATTCATCAAGGAAGGAAGGGTTTCAGAATGACATGAACCAGGAACAAGAATTCATGGGAACATCCTGTTCAATACAATACCACCTGAATTACCTACAAGGAAAATAGAAAATGACCACATGAGATTCAGACATTTTGCTCATGATTCTGGTATGACCTGAACAGCATGGGATTTAGAGGTATTCCTCTCAAGTGCAATTCACTTCCAAGTACCATATCTCATGTGGATCACAAACTCCACTGTGCACAAAATCAGTACAGCAATTGATCCACAAGATGAGTTTTTCTCCTTGCCAAGAGAGAATATTTCTCAATCTGGATGAAAATAAAAGGAAGTGGCCAAAAAAGGGAAAGAAAAATATTTCTTGACACAGCTATTTTCATGAGGAAAGGAGCAGGATTCATGACTCAAGCCCATAGCATGAGCAGTTCTACACTGGATGATGGTTTTGTGCAAGCACTACATGTTGACAGACCCAGAAAAGAAAAAACTGACGTTTTGGCAAAAATAAAAGCTCATCCCTGGCATGGACCATCAAAAGGAGGGAATGATTCAACATAGAATGAAAAAATGACAGTTTCACAAACAACCAAGGACTCGATCACCTTGATTATTATTAAAATATTCACCAGACTTCTGCCCAAAATAAAAGTGATGAGCAGAATGAGGACATTTCACTTTCAATGAATAGAATTTTCATACCAGGTACTTTTGAGCTGCAGGTAAAGCATACCCAATTCACACCTGATGAAACTATGGGCACTATGGGGAGGCAAAAATTGACACCTGAATTCAAACTGAAGAGAATTCCATTCATGCAGAATTTCTCTTCAAAAATGTGAGTGTTCTGGGACACGCTGTGATGTCTCATCATCTGACCAGCAGCAGCGCTCTGTTTCATCCAATTCCTTCAGCCATTGTTCTTCCATCTCCTTATAGTGCTCATCATATTCCTGGTTGAAGGAACCACTTCAATGTATCAGCAGACTTCAACTCATTCAATATTGAAAACTTCCCTTTCCTTAGTATGGATATGAGGTTTACTTACCTCTTCCACAACTGGAGCTTTATCCAACTGAAAATGTGATCTTCCATCCTCAAGCTCTTTTTGTTTCTCACGAATTCCAGCTTCAATTGCCTTGAGCTCCTGTGTTAAACGCTCCCCCTCACTCTGGAGCTGCAGATTACGCACTCGCTTTTCCAGTTGCTGAATCTCCATGCGCATTCGCTCTGACTCAATCAGGAGTGAGCTGTGGATCACCAAAGGGAAAACATATAATATAAAGTTTGGAAACTGGCTATATAACAGGTCATATGACTCACTTGTCCCGCAGGTTCAGAAGAGGAGATGGGTCTGATGGCCTAAAACCAAGAGGATCAAGATGTGCCATATGTAAATGAGGTGGATCTACCATTCCATGACCAACAGTGATGAGGTTTCCAGCAATTGGATACAAATTTGTTGTGCAGGTCATTGGTATCCGAGTTCCCACTGGCACTTCAAAATCTGGAAAGCAGTACCTTATAACTTTTCTGGCACCTAATACAGTTATAGGCACAGACAAGCTCACACAACATAGTGCATGCTAATTATATCCATCTTTTTAAAGGCTGGAAGGAGAAATATTTTTTAAAGTTGAAGGAAAAAAAATTTTGTTTGCTACAAAAGTACTTTAAGACATGCAACTTCACAAATCAGTCCTCACAAAATATTGTTCACAAGAGCACTGACTGATGGTGCCCAATGCTCTCTCCAGCATGAGGCTAGCAAACCTGCACCACAGCTCTTATTGCTACCACAATCGTAGTTCAAATTACTATCTTTGTTGATGACAGTGTCTTAATTCAATTTCACCTAAAGGATGAGAGTTGGAAGTGCAGGAACTGCCAGGTGAGAAAGTTAATTTCCAAAAGATAAAGGGACCTGCAAACTTTTAATACTTTTGATAATCATCTTTTAAGGGAATAGGGTCAGCAGCCAACATCGAAGTGAGTCTCTTCATATTTAATTAAAGCATGAATGCAACTTACACCAGAAAGAAATGACCCAATTTGCAATGATTACTGCAAGTTAAAATTATTACCTTCAGCTCAATTAGTAGAGAAAGAGAAAGATGTTGATTGTCCTAAGCAACTTTATCATCTGGTAGCCACTTCAGGGGCACTGCCAATGCTGATTCAGGAGAGTTGGCATTAAAATGAAATTTAGTAGCTGGATGTCTGTGCAGATAGGTTTATCCAAACAGGCTCACCAGACAGCATAGCTTCAAGAATATGTCTCATCATGCCAAAAAGTTTACTACTGAGGTCCAGTTAGATGTCCCAGGGGCAATGGAATGACAAGTCCACCCTTTCAGAGGGGAGATAGAAGTTCCCTATGTGGCATTTAGATATGAACACTGGATATGTTTTGCAACTGATGTGGGAAAACATATTTCAGGGAGAAAGCATTTTCAGTTAGGATACAGTAGACACAGCTTTACCTGCATGAACTAGGGCTTACTTGATTCAGAGGTGAGTGAGGGTATAGGCTTCACTGCAATAAGAGGCTGCTGGACAACAGGTGTGGGGACAGTGTGGCATCCAGCCATAGAAGCAGACACTTGCACAGGATTTCCAATATGATAGCCTGGTCGAATGGAACGTGAGATTGGGCCAAACCGACTGACAATTGGTGGTCCGAATGGAATAAACTCATCTTCTGGATCATCACTGTAGGAACTGATAATAATAAAAAAATACATATAGGATTTCTACAGAGTGCTTTACAAGCTAAGCATATTCAGTATGAACAAGCCACAAAGTGAAACGAGATCTTCTAAAGCTCAATTTTCCAAGAACAGGGATTGTATCCTGTCAGAACCAACAGAGACAGGGAGAAACTTGCAGAAGGTCAGTGAACCATTCAGTCACCCATTTATACCACTCCACATAGAGGAAAGATTTTCACTCTCTCACTTTAGCATTTATTTAAGCTGTATTTTCAACCTTTTCAAATAATGCAAAAGAATAAAACTCTCTGCACTCATATTTGGTCTTGGTGATCTCTGTGGTTAATTTTGGTAGTGCAACTTCATCGATTCTGAGAATTTTGTGACAGCAAATTCAACCAAATAACAGACATTACAATTGGTTTTATCATAACCAATACACTCTGTAAAATGACACTCATATTTGCACAGATACAGCACTAAGCAAGATACTTGAGGAAATTTCAGCAGTTAATTCCTCCTGGTTTGAGATTTTTTGGAACAGCTGTGGAACATATACAGAGAAATGTAAGACTGTGAATATTGGGCACTGGTATAATTAGACTATGAGACAGCTGATGAGCGCAAGCAAATCAGGTGATCCAGAGCTGTAATGGCATCAACATCATGCCATATCCCCTTCAGTGGAGATAAAAGCTACCATGAACAGGCATCCTGAACAAAATCCCAGGAAAAAAAAAAGCATATACCTTGAGACCATTTTACATTCAAACCATTAATGTAACCCTGTTTGAGTAATTAAGACTATAATGTAATGTGTGAACGTTTTCACCATACACATACTCACTTCTTGGGAGAAATGTGTCTCACCATGCAAGGCAACCATTCTGTGTTGGATACTAAGCAATTTTGCGCCATCTGCACACAGAAACTATACCCGTCCTCTGATGTTCCTTGGATGCCCATTCAATGGAGGTTGCCATCTTGACCAGGTTATAGTGCATGCAATCTTCTGCAAGCAGTGATGCAAATTACATTTTCAATGCTACTCCAGCATGCCTAAGATTTATACACGATGTCATGAAGATGTGTCCTTCGCATGATTTTTGGAGCGAGTTTTGCAGTTTTTACTTGACTGGCCCAAGTACATTATTGTGTATGCTCCACAACTTCACAGAACAGCAAATGTGACTTTTGGAAGATCATGTAGGCATAGGATCCCTTACATTACTAGTGAATTTTCCATGGGTGTTTACCAATGATTAAAATTTTTTAAATGCAAGATGTTGGATACTAATGAACTATTATTATGTATGCAAGATGGAAGATTACCAGAGTAGACAGTACATGAACCTTCCATCCCATACTCCTTTCAAACAGAGCTGGATAAAGACTAAGAGCAGTCTCGTAGAACCACTTTCACCACACTGGCTATGAGCATCACATGTGAGGGTCTTACCGATACCCAGTGTGATCAGAGAAGTAGAGACAAGTTGGGAAAGTTGAAATGGTGGCAGTTGATGGGGTTGCACAGGCTGGAGATGATGCCGATGCTCGCACAGTAAGTGACTGCGATGTAGATGGCACAAGTGATGCTGAAGATGAGGATGGAGGAGATGATGTCAGTGGTTCTTGAGATGTTACAGCACTTGTCAGAGATGACATGGAGGCACTTGATGCAGATGAGTCCAAAAAACCACCAAAATCCTGAAAAACAACATCAATGGGTGTCTTGAGAAACTCAAATCCTTCCATAGCAAACATTTTCTCCTATAAGAAACAATGAATGCAAGGACATCTTTGGAAATTACAGTAATCCAAAGATGAAAAATAACACAAAAGACTGGAAAGGTGTGATAAAGCTCATTCTCTTCTCTCCACATGCTAAATCCTTTAACACTCTCACTGCTGTGGACATATCAAAACATCTACCACTTTAAGGGGGTATCAACTTTACTTAAATGTCACTAGTGTAAATAAATCAAAACTTGATTCTGAATGCAAGCAATAAGAAATAGATTGACAAACATTTTCTGGTATTTATTTATTTAAAGCAGGGACTGTTCCACAGTACTTGTCCTACTGTGCCCAGGGGGTGGGGTACAATGGAACACATTGATGGCTTTTGAAATTTCACCATTCAGCAGAAAATTCACTTTGAATGAAAGAAGCCTCAACATTTTTTGCAGGCAGAAATATCCTCTTTAATCCTTTAAGACCCTAATTTAAATATATAAATCTTGTAAAACAAAATTTCTTCACTCAACCATCCACAATGAAATATCATTGACAATACCAAATACACATACAAATACCAAAAAGGTGACAGGGACTCAGAAGTTCAATCAGGCTTCAAGGTTATGTATTCCCATATAGCTCTAATTAAACAGGCAGGACTCCTTAGTCCTGCCAGGCCTTCATTGCCAAGCCGTCCTTTCATTAACCCTGAAAAAGTCAAGGGAAGGAAAACTTGAATTCCAAAAATTGTCCCACAGTACCCCAGTCTCCTTATGTGGTCCAAATTTCATTGTCCCACACTAACTCACAAGAGGAAGTTGACATTTTGGGCCAGCCAGGTTCTGAAATATTTTTTTTTTCCATTGCAAAAAAGCCATTTGCATTCATCTTATGCAAAATTATCTTAGTGCAAACAATATCTAAAGATGGTAGGCAACAAAGTACCAAGAATTCATTCCATCTCAGCAATATGCAAGGTGTCACTTGCTAATAGCATTTGAACTTGTTATGCATTTCTCAGAGATGTTAAACATGATATCTACTAAGAAAATGAACATATGCATAAATATGCACAATGTATTTAAGAGAGTGTTAGCAACAGTGTATCAGAGAGCCAAATTGGCATATGATGTGCAACAATGCCTTCCTGATTTACAAAAAAAATGAAAGTAATTGCCACCTCTGCATAAATTCTCTTTACAACAAGTGTCTCCTGCAATGAGAGCCATTCTCACCTAGGTATTACACAATAAAAGTTTTTTTTTTTTCCCTAGTGACCCTGGCAATTCAGATATGCAAGGTCTAAAATTTAGATCTATTCAATAAAGCCATATAAGAATCAGCAGCGAAAGTCTCCTGGAGACTGGCTGTGGACAAAGAGAATGGCTGTTTTGTCACTTGAGCAATGAAGATTTTCCCATAGTAGGCAGTAAACTCTAGGCATTAATCTAAGCATCAATCCAAATACAGCCTGACACCAATGATATGAGCCAATAGTTCATGTAAATACTCATTTCAGCACTAGCAAGCTGTGGAGAAAATGACACCTGGAAAAAAATTCAAACTTTGTATTTTTTCCATTTCTCAATGAGGAATAATACAAAGTCAGTACAGTGCAGTACAAAGTCAAACACATCTACAAACTTGACCAAAGAACAGCAAAGTAGCAGATGCTTAGATGGCCATGAGTTGATGTGGGTAGTGCTCCTTCACCAGCCAATTACAGAAGCAAAGTGAAGTTTCCCATTGTTACAATTTTACACCATCATTTTTTAACTTTCTCTGTTCTATCTAGCAGCCATGCATGCCAATTAATTTTTTGATAATGATTAAAGCTGGAAAATCAATGCTCTCCAGCAGTATGAAAGATGTTAAAAAAAATACTATCATACTAACAGAACTTGAACAGAGAAACTCAGCAAAATGCAAGTCACTTAAGATGGATGGACAAGGAAGGAGGATAATGCATCCCATAAGCTAGAGGAACAATAGCTTCAAGGAGAGGATAGTTGAAAAGACCCACCTCTGTGGTCCATAGTTAGAAAAGTCAGACATCAGTAACAAACAGGAGACTCACGATGTCCGAGAATGAAGGTAGGGATGCTGAAGATGAGAGTTGAGGATGGCTTCTGGTGGCTGATTGAACAGATGTCTTGACAGGGGGTCCAGGCTCATAGCCATTTCCACCAGACATCTCCAAGCTAAGAGTATCTGCAGCACTTCCAGCCATTTTTCTAAGCTGAATCAGTATTTCTTCTCGTCTATGCTGTAAGGCTGCTAGACTCCGAGTTGCTACACTCTATGGAGAAGAAAAAATTGAATGGTCAAAACAGGATGGGGGACGTCATTGTGGCTAGGACTTCTTGTCCTTTCTACCCAATGGATTTGACTTGGACTTTTGGCATTTAATGTCTCTGCTGCCTGACCAAAATACACAAGATTCTAAAACAAAACTTGCCAATCATGAACCAGTGTAAAGGGGACTCGTGTTTAGAGATATAGAACTGAAAGCAACAAGAAATCTCAATCTTTGTCCAATCAACAATGGGTTATAGTTTGCCATCTACCTGGGCTATATGACTTTTCACACAGCATTGCTCCTTGTCAGTTATCAATATGGACTTCAGTCAGTGTATTACTTTCAAGGAGTTTACTTAAATTTTAATGGTAGGGAGAATCCTTTGGGGTTCACTGCATCTCCTGATGCAGTGAACCCCTTTGGGTTCACTGCAGGTGAGATGCATTCATATTCTGCACAAGCACTTGGAAAAAAACCTTCATAAGAGTGAGGTCAACAGATCTGTCCACTGTATATCAGTCATGAATACTGCCATTCTCTGAATCAGGGATTTCAGTCACTGGTGGATACCTATAGGCACAGCCTGGATTGTAGCTAGAATCTTAAGTCTCACATTCTGATTTAGCTATACAGCAAAATATTCTCAATATTTCTTCTACAATGTATGATTAACCTGGAAAAAAAACTATTTGAAGCTTTTGAATAAGAATCTGAGTACAAGCTACTTCATAAGACATTATGCTTTATAAAAATCAATATCTCATTACTAGCTGCAGTGTAATAGAACATACCATGGGGGCAGTGATAATGTTAATGCCAGAGTTCCTTCGATCAAGACTTTCTCCTATAGTCTTCTTGTTCACAGCTGAATCATGCTCTGTAGATGAGCATACAATGCCCAATGTGGAGGCATGTGAAGTGGATGGTGCTGAAGAGGTGATGAGTCCACGAGCATTCCCTGTGTGACATGCAGCATTTGCTGTTGCCAGGTGCATGTGGCTGAATGAACTGTCAATATAAAATGGACACTGTTCCATTTGGAGTTGTGCAAGTTTTGTAATCACATTTGACCAATCATAAATATAATACCATCATATATACATTTTTTAGGGCTCTTGCATGAGGGGGATTGATACAGATTCAACTACATGCTGAATATACAATCATATCCAAAGACTAAATATCTAACTAATCTAATGAGCATGGAATACTTATATTTTTTCAAAGGATGGAGATAGTGGACAAAATAATATATTCTACAGATTTATTAGACTGGTGGAGCTTTATTCACCTATCATGAGACATAATAGCTATGATTTTGTCACCCTAAAACTCAACTACATCACTGTTGTAAGAACAATGACTGACCAAACAATGGTTCAACTTGCCTCCAAAAATGGGCACCCTTACCAGTTTTTTTTTAAATATACATATATGGGAATGAAAAGTTTAAAAGCATGACATTTAACAGAATCATAGTGAAGTGGATGGTGATCTGGTCTGCCAAGATGATGAGTTTGTTCATAATTGAAGTGCCTATGCCCAATGAAATTCAAACTATTGTAAAATGAGGGCTCACTTACCCCTGGCAACTATACTGATTTTGGTTGCAATAAAAACAATGTTTTAGTTTTTATTAAATTTTTGTAGACTTTTCTGACAACCTTTGAAATACAAGGGTGGATCAAAAAGTAAGGGCCAATAAATTTTTTCTCATGTGTCTTTCTATTGATGACAAAATGATATTGAAGTTAGGTGCTACTATTTGTCTTTGATGCCTGCATGCAGTAATTTTACCATTTGCCACAAGAGAGAAAGCACACAACAAATTTGAAAATGGTCACTCCACTGGATATATGCACCAAAATTGAACAGTGATCTTTGATTTGTTTCCAGTGGTTTGAACACTGCTGAAATTGACAAAAGATTGAAGATGTTGCATGGGGACATGTGTACGAATGAATGGGAAATGTGATTGGGTATGAATGTTCATTCCATTCCAAGTCAGAAAAGAACTAATCAGGAAACACATACCTCAAAACATCAGGATGAACAGCAGAGTATGGATTGGTGTAGAGACCTGCACCATACACATGAGAGGCTGCATTGTAGATGGGAAGTTCTGCCATTGACAAAGGTGCACTTGTGGATAGAGATAGATGAGTTGCTTGATTGAGTGCAGCAGCAGCTGCTGCACCAGACAGACGTTGATTCATCAGGTTTCCCATGTAAACTGAAAAAAGATGCAAGAATCAAAATATGAAATAACATTGAAGGCTTTCATCCATCAACACACCATCCAGAATATTGAGTTCTGAAGCTATAGTAAAAAAGAGGTTGACTGGAATTGGTTCCAGGATAAAACATGATGCAATTGACTCTCTCTTCATGTCCCTCCAATTACACAAACTACTCAGGAGCTCAATTCGGTCCCTTTGCTCACCAGAAATCATCAGGTGTTTTGTGGCATTTGAATACCTTGACAGAAGGAGTCCTAAACATTAGTGACTTACAGTGAAAGTGATTTCTGATTCCCTGGTACTTTCTGCTGACATTTCCTGCTTAACCTTTTGCAGTCCACTATATGTGTAATGCTATGGAGATAGTTGGATTATGTCTAACAATCAAAAATCAAAAGAAACAATTGGCTGACGAAGAAGAACAATTAATGGGCTAACATAGGAAAGGAGCCATAAAGGCTCTTTCAAAATCAGGATTACAGAAAATGCTTCTTATATCCTGTATCCTGTATAAAGGAGGGTCTTTGCTCTTGGATGAGCAAATAAAAAAACCAAGCAGGCCGTAATTTATGAAGATAAGTAAATAGTTTCTGAATTTTCACTCCCTATTGGTGCTTGAGATCTCCCAGGGCCAGGCTCACAGAGCATAACAAGTTCATCAGAACCTTCTTATTTCAATTTGGTTCAGTTCATTCATAATAGGCTGACCTTGGAGTGCCACCTCAGTAAGTAATGCAATGACTGGGTTCAACATTTGTACTTTTTTTTTCACAATAATATGTAAAAAAAATTTATTTGAAAATGAACTTACGATTCCTTGCCAGCATGGCATCTATATGATGCTTGGGGAGAGATGAGGCATGACCAAAATATAAAGGCTCATGTGGGAGCCTCTTCTCTCCAAGGCCAAATGGATGTGTGCCTAGTTTCTGAGCCATGCTTGAGGGAACTTTGACACATGTGCTGGCCTTTCGACTTCGAGCACGAAACCTGTTTAGAGGAGAAATGAATTTTGTGGTAAATTAAATAAGGTTTATAAACTTCTTCATTTGCTTGTGACAAGTTTTGAAAGATGAACCTTTCTAATTCTTCCTCAGAATGGGCAAAAGTACAAGCATTTCCTCTTGGACAGGATCCTCTCTGCACCAAATCTCTACACATTGATGTCTTATATTTGGCAGTATGAGAATGGTGCTGATGGGTGCCCTCCAATGTGCGTCTGATAACACCATGTTGACTGATGAATTCTACTAAGCCTTTCACAACTGAGCACACTGCCTGCAATGTCTCCAAGAGCATCTGCCAGCTTGGTGGAGGAGTATCTGCACAAAAATCAAGAGAAAGCATCAGGTTACTAAAAAAGTAATGTAGCTTCCTCTCAAGTTTTGGGTCTACAGTGTTCACACTATCGAAATGCCATACACATTAAGTACCTTTACAGTGATGATTCAGATTCAAACAGGTAGATTTCTTTAGAATCTTGCTAGCCAAAGCTTAACAGGTAAGAAGTATTTCTATTTTCTGAGACCTATTTTCTGCATCATGCTGCAAAGTTGTGAGGCTTACTGAGCTAATCATAAATAACATTTAGTTTTATGTAGATGCTTAACCTAGTATTGTTGCTGATAGGGCTAAGTAATTTCAAAGCATCTGAAGTGAAATGGTAAAATGGTCTTCTGCTTTTACTCTGGAAGGCAGAGGCTTCCTCCTCCAGAAGAGCTGCCCTCCTTCAACTCTTTCACTGCGTAATACAATTGATATGGGTTAGGGAGGACTAGCTGCTGTGTGAAAAAAGTCGACCATCGCAGCAAGAGAGTTGATAGTCTAGGCCAGGGGTGTCAAACTCAAATTGGTTGGCAGGCTGCATTCCTTACCCAGCAGATGCCTGTGAATTGTACCCATAATTTTTCATCAAAATTTGTACAATCAATCCAAGCAGAAATTTCAAGAACAGACAGCAGACCAGATCCAGCCTACAGGCCATATGTTTGACACCCCTGGTCTAGGCTTTACTAACTACCTCTTCATTTGATGGCTCTTGCCTAACCAATTTCATTTTTACATGGCTACATTTCCTAAATATTACAAAACCAGCTCTGAGGCTGCTGCATTGTAGAACATCCTCAACTGTAAATTTTTCCTCTTCCAACTTTATATGAGTTAGACTTTGGATAGGGATGTTTACCAGGCTCTGCACCTCACAGTTTTTATGCATATGATTGGACTATTACCCATAATTATAAACAGGGTGCATAAAAAGTCACTAAATAATTTATATTTTTATGTGGAATTGCTATTCCTGGTTGCTGTACTGCAAACATCAGACCTATTTCACCAAAAGCATCCAATCACCCAACATCTTCTCTGAGAAGGATAATTAAATTAATGAAATATTTCAAGCAAACTAGCAGCATTGCTGACAAGCCATCAGCAATGTCAGCAATGACCACATGACATGGGGATTACTTCAGAATCTATCCACTGCATACTCAAAGTTCACAAAGTCTATCAGGGAAAAACTCTGCCTTCAGGAATAAATGGAACAAAGACAATGGCAGACAAATGGCATGCATTTTTTAAAGCGATGATAGAAGTAGTGAGAAACAATTCTGAAGCAGATTTACAGCATTACTGCTTGCCAGTCAATAGTGCCCACTTTGAATACCTGATCTGAATGACAAGTGACTGGAATACTAGATAAAAAAAAATTAATTGTAGCCTTTCTATATCATGTGAGGTCAAATGAAGCAAAAATATTTAACTTTCAAAATTATCTCGCATCATTTCCCAGTGTACTCTGAAATCTGAGACACACTGTATAATTCACCTTGGTCAGAAGTAATGCATAAATTACCCTTCCATGAGTTCTACAAATGATTATCATCATTTCAAGTTCACTATATATAGTGTTTAAAAAAAAAACTGTGCCAATTCATTTTTTAAATAGGAATGATAATAAGTTTCATCCAATCGACCCAATAGTTCACAAACTGCATATAGATAGATGAAAGGTTTTTGTCAAATTTGAATGATATGATATTGACTCAATGTGTCATGTGCTACACCATTTAAAAGTTGAAGGTTAAGAAAATGTACCAGACATCCTTGCTGATGCATCTGCCTCTGCTGTGCAGCAAGTGAGTGTCTGTACATGCCATACAGAACAGCCAAGGAGGTTAGCTCTACTAGCTGAAATGAATGCATCAGCTGGCTTGTAGGGCTCACTTTTTATCTATCAAGATTGAACTGATATAGAACATGATACAATGCATTTTCTTCAAATTTTGCATATAACTTCTTTCCTCTATCTACATGCAGTGTTTACAAAATTAATTCGATCTGATAAAATTTACTGTCATTAATAGTGAAAAAGATTTGACAGTTTTTTTTAAAACATCATGTTTACAGGGTGCGTCAGCTATTTGAGAACAAAATTTGACTTTGAGGAAAACGAAAATATTCAGTAGAAAAACCAATATATTTTCATAGAATTTGGTACACATGTGCTTACATTCACAAAGCAAAAGGCTATTCAATAAAACCATCTTCAACCTTGATTACGGCCTCGATGCGGCTTCTGAAACGACTACATGCGTTGATCAGGTGATCCTTATTAATGTTTGCCATAATGTCCCGATGGCAGCCTTCAACGAGTCCTTGGTATTATGGGCATGCTTGTTGGTCTCCCTCTCAAAGACGCCCCAGACGTAGTAGTCCAGGGGGTTTAAATCAGGAGAGCTAGGAGGCCAAATGTTAGGGGTAACATGATCGTGAAAATTTTTGGCCAGCCACTCCTGGGTCGTGCTAGCTGTGTGAGAGGGAGCAGAGTCTTGCTGGAACATGTACGGCCTCCCCTGAGCCGAGACGCTGTCAAGCCCTGGATTGAAGGAGTGGCTCCAGCAAGACTCTGCTCCCTCTCACACAGCCAGCACGACCCAGGAGTGGCTGGCCAAAAATTTTCCCGATCATGTTACCCCTAACATTTGGCCTCCTAGCTCTCCTGCTTAAACCCCCTGGACTACTACGTCTGGGGCGTCTTTGAGAGGGAGACCAACAAGCATGCCCACAATACCAAGGACTCGTTGAAGGCTGCCATCGGGGACATTATGGGAAACATTAATAAGGATCACCTGAACAACGCATGTAGTCGTTTCAGAAGCCACATCAAGGCCGTAATTGAGGTTGAAGGCAGGTTTATTGAATAGCCTTTTGCTTTGTGTATGTAAGAACATGTGTACCAAATTCTATGAAAATATATTGGTTTTTCTACTGAATATTTTTGTTTTCCTCAAAGTCAAATTTTGTTCTCAAATAGCTGACGCACCCTGTATGTGCTAAATTTGATATTGACAACAAAAAAAGAGCTACAATGTTATGGCCAACAAGGACAAATCATACAATTTCAAACTCTAGATTTTATTATATTTTTTCCTAATTCTTATTTTACTTCCACACAGTAGCAAAAAAATAATTGGTGTAGTCAAAGGACTTTGAGAAAGATGTCAATAGCTATCATGTATCAACATATTCTGTAAGTTTACATTCAAAAGAGCTTGTACTCCATAAGGGTCATTAAAAAAGAAAAAAAAAAAAGTACTGTCCTTGAATTGCTTGCAAGTAGCCACACACCACCAAGAAAAAGTGATGACTTGGAAGTCATAATATTTTTTGCAATTAGTAATTAGGCTTCATGAGCCTCTTGAAATGTAATCACATCAAGATGATGTGGTACTATATCAAGAAATAATGTTTCTCATAGAAACATGACTATCATTGAGAACAGATATGTACCAATCCTTACCTGGACTGGGGTCAATGGCAGCTAACTTTTCAAAATCAACACGGAGAACAGAAAGATTTCCAGGATCTCCAGTTCTCTGCAAAGCTATCACAAGTTCCTGCACAGACTGTGCAAAGCTAGCAGGGGTCTGCAATTTGTCAATGATACTGGAAAAGAAGAGAAACCATTCAAGGCCCTGTAAATTTTGAGTGACATGAATGGAAGAGGTAGGCTTCGGACAAATCAAACCTCTGCATGTGTGACTTATGACTGGAGTCACCATAAAGCAAAGATGACCATTGATCAGGAGCAATCCGCAGACCAGCCTCTGTGGCTATTTGCACTATCTGTGCATCATGTTCCCTTCGAAGGGCTTCATATGTCCGGAACTCTTCTTTTAATTGCATCAATGATGAGTCCCCTTCACGCTTGGACACCTAAGATATAGAAATGGAAAAGTACCCAAGATTTTCAATTTGAAAAGTATATGGAAATTTCAGCAAGTAATGAAACAGATGGCCTTCCAACATTTTAGATACACATTCAGCTAGCAACAAGGAAAATCCAGCAGTATTTTCAAAATAATAAACTACAAAATAAAATGTATAGTAATAAAAATAAAGGTTATAGCCATTTTCACTTCTTGGGAGCAGAGGTTTGGAGACTCATGTACCATTGTTCTCACTCTTTCTCCTTTATCTCCATTTTATGGTCCATTGATATTATTGGCATGGATTAAGGGAAATATTTATGAGATAAAATTATTCTTACCAAGGTAAAAAATTAAGTTTAAGAACGAAACACAATATTTCCACTCTCCTACATTTCATAGTCAAGTGAAGTCAGGATTACCATGCTTTTAGGATGACCTATTCTGACTTATCAGGTGCTGAACATCACAAACCTTGAAGCATGATGCCCGGTACAGGAGTTGAACCACATGTCCAATACTTGTCTTAGACGCTTGGGGGAAATGCGGTTCCAAGCGTTGCACAATGAACATCACCAAAACCTTCCTGCTCAGTGCAGAACCATCCTCCAAGGCAAGCAGAACCAGCTTAAGAACTTCTTCTTGCATAGCTGAAGGATGAAGCAGCAAACATTACCATCAAATAACACAAAAGTCAAGATTCACTTCTCTAACACATACCTGGACCAAGAAATTGGCATCCTCTAGCTCTGACTGCAGCCCAAAGGTTTGCAGAAAGTTGCTGCGAATTTTGATGCTGTAATATCAACTCAGTGACAGTACGTTCACCAAGGGATCTTGCTGCACGCATTGCACGTGCCCTTCCCTCAGCCTCTGCAAGCTGACAATTGATGAGTGTGACAAGTTTGCGCTGCATTGGTCGTGAAAGTGTGCTGCTTGCTGATGAAATGGATTGACTAGTGGACAAAGCTGCACCACCCTTGAGTGGTGTGCCTTCTCCTCCACTCTCCACAGACGCCTCTCCATTGCTTGCTAGAGCTAATGAACAAGATACATACCACCTCCATGAGAACATCATGCTTTAAAACTGCTATGGTATCTACTGGGAGGTGCAGAAAAAAAATAATCATGTTTGACACCTTATAAAATCCATTGTGGATGATCTAAGTTCGTGATATTTTCATATTATGTTGGAAACACCACAAAATTTGTTTTCTGAAAGTTTCACAAACCTAAGTTGTCTTAATAAATATCAAGTCACCTGAAGTGGCGTCATAAAATGGACCTTTCCACACACAAGGAGGATGGAGTTTCAGGACCACATGATTGATTTCTCTAGCTTGACGTCATAAATACCGCTTTTTATGCCAGTTCTCATAATATTATTCAACACATTGTAGAATAGTACTACTGTCGTATATTGTAGCATCAGAATCAATACCACACAGAATACTACTTCATGTTTCCAACATATGAAAATATCACGAACCTAGATCATCCACAGTGGATTTTATAATGTGTTAAACACTATGCATTTTTTTTGTACCACCTGGTATAAATCAGTTCTGGAGCTTCTTAGGCTTCTCATGAGATACCCAAGATTGGCCAATGAAGTGAGTGAATGTTTCCTTGTATTGTACAAATGACAAATGTATCAACTAACGAAGACCTCATGTAAGGTCTTCATTAGTTGATAAGGCCTGATGGTTTCTAACCTTGGTGCTGACAAGACCCTAAGAGAAAATAAGCACTGCCTCAAGATTAGTGAGTGTTTAGCTTATCTGTAATTCTGATATAGGCCTATAATGTCAATGTCAATTCATGAATAGAAACTTGTAAACAAAAAACGAACCATCTTCTGCAAAATGAAGTTTTATAGTCAAAGAGGCTATTGAAAAAGTGTATTACATACTGAAAAGGAAACAAGGATCAGCCAAAATGTTCTTAAACAAATGCTATCACCACCTCTCAAGCTAAGAATTGAAACACATTGGAGTTACCATCTGTTTTGCACAGTTTGCATCCCTTTTGGAGTGCTTGTCACCTTAGATGTGAGAGACTCCAACTTGGATGTTTTACAGGCTGGGGTAGACTATCAGAATTCTTAAGAGTCACTGTGGGAATTGAATGAATGAGATGAAGGTTCATCATTCACTTTGGCTTTTGTGGAAGCAATGGATTCTGTAAGAACTATAAAACATTCATGTTGACTCTTGCAATGCAAGCAAGATCTCCACTACAGACATCCTACTTCCACAACAACCACATGATTTCCTTCACAAAATTGTATCAGTGATCTGAAATGCATAGCAGATGATTGGTCTATCGCAGCTTACAAAACATGAAAGCAAACACTTCTATGTACATATTGTCAAAAACTCAGATTATAAGTTACAGTAACCGCTGTATAACTTAGCCATAACACCCAAGTGAGTTAGTTATCAGTGTATCATATGCAATTCATATTAATATAGGGCTTAATATCAAAGGATATCTCAGAGTTCTTTGACAACTTAATAGGATTTCTGTCTTGACACATTGTGACCAAAAATATTGCATCTTTCACTCACTAGTGATGCTACTTCCAGGCAGAGGTTTCAAATATGCAGCCAACTGTTCCACACATTTCCTGGAACTCTCATACACCTGCTGCTCTTCTTCAGTAAAATCAGGAAGTGGAGGAACAACAGGTGGAGGTGAAGCACCAATTAAACTCAGCAAAGCTCCATTGATTGGGAGAACGTCCACATCAAGAGTGATTGATGTCTGGAAGAGAAAAATGCATTCAAATTATGTGATATTTCATCACACAGTTTCATCTGATCACTTATTAATTTTTCAGATTAGCTAGTAGAAATTGACTACCCCATGGAAGCTACAAGGGGTACTTTCAACTGTGATGTAATTATCAAAGACAGGATGTCTAAAAAAAAAAAGTTCACAATGAAACAATTACTTTCTCTTATACTATATTAAACTTTAATACATTTTTTGTCAGTTAAAAAGAGCAAAGATTTTGCTTTCTTCTACTGAAAACTACATGAAAATTGACTATTTCAGACATGAGACATGGAATGAAGATTAGACTCAACTAAATTTACATACCATTACAAAAGGACACATCCAAGGTGTGTTTTTCCTTGGTGCCACCTCACCATCGGATGCTTAGCAAGATTTAGCATGATATAAGTGAGTTTGGCCCATAGTTCATCATGAGCAAAAACCTGGATCATTATCTGTACATACTTTCTATTTTCAGATAGAAAAGCTATACCCATTTACAAAAGAATCCAAATTGTGCATCTCATCCTTCAGAAAATATTGTCTTGATATCAGTACCAAAGATGTAAAATAAAAAAGTACTCTGCATACCTGGTCAAATGGACATTGCTTGCGGTGTAAGTTCCCCAGGCACTGCTTGCATACAGTATGACTGCATGCAAGGCTAATTGGTGGTCTATTTGTGGCATCAAACTCATGGCAGCATATGGGGCACGAAAGAAACTCTGTCCACTGAGGGGCTTGAACTGGCATTTTTGTAAACTACCAGTTGTTTATATGACACATGGGCCTGACAGGAAGGCAAGTTTTTGAAGTACAACACGGCAGTGGCCAACAGCCGTGTCTCTCTCATCGGCATGACCACCTTGTGATGACAGGGGAGCCCTGATTTCAGGTGAAGAAGAAAAGCACTCCTGAAATCACAGCATCCTCTCTTGGATACAGTAGTCCCTCAATTTGCTTGCTGACCCCAAAGGGTCTTTATTGGTGAACTCTTAGCGCAACATTTTCATGTGACAAACCCAATTATATTTCTCAGATCCAATTTAGATGTATCCACCACTCCAGCCCATCTCACATGTTGAAAATGGACTGTCAGGCAATCTATGTCACATTCTGATGAGAATACCACATGATGGAAGGCTGGGTCACCTATAGTTCCTGTCAGGAAAATGAAATAAAAATATTTAGAAAAAAGGAGGCATAGATCTTCACAATGGCCATAGGTTAGACCTAATAATGTAAAATCTCTACATGTCCACTTGCACCCCATACCTTACTTCTATGCTTATGTATACTGGGTTAGGCATGATATAGGCTTTTGGATGTCTGTCCTGACAAAGTCACGGCACTAGAAATTTGGAAAGTGGAGGGAGAATAAAAAATAAAGAAAAATAAGCTATTCAGATTCTTGCAGGCAGCTGTTTGTGGATCAACTTCTCACATCAACAATGTAGATCTCTATCTACACCTGACATTTTGACATATGCCATATGCCATATTATATTTTCTCTTCTGAGAAGAGGCACATCACCCAGTCTCCTTGATCTTCTAATACTGATAGTCTCATCATGTGTTTGCTCATCAAGTGGGAGGCAAGGAAGGAGGATGTCAACTTGTTGACATTTTACTATCTCTAAGGAGGCAACCAGTCAAACTTGCTGACAAACTGTAAAAATCCAAGTGCTATGACTAAGACCTGAAAATCTCTGAAAGAGGTCTACACCCAAATATGAAGGGAACAGGCATTACCAAAACCACAAAATATGGTTGTGGATGAAAATACCATCTAGGGTAGAGGTGTAAGTTCATAGACAGGTCCCTGTTTATGGATGATTTGCATGGTATGCCACCTTAAAAAATCTATGCTGGAAATTAAGTGAGAAATTGTTGAAAGCAATCAAATGCTATTCCTTTAGAGTCTTTATTCCCAAATTAAGTACAGGGTTACTTCTGTACTTCCTACCTCGCCAACTGTAGGAAATATAGGGCTAAAATATATATATAATTGTACTTATCCTCTGCATGAAAATGGCATTCATATTTAGACATGACAATTTTTACAGGGAAATGATCCACATGTCAGAATATCCATCACATGAAAAATACATCCATGTTATGCATTGTCTCCATTATCTTGCTTAAGAATTAGGTGATGATAGCACTCCAATTCACATGCAATATGAAATTTAATTATTAAAAACTTTCTAGGTTTTGCTGATTATGGACTTACGAAAATTATACAGATCAAGTTAATTCATTACTTAATACAGGATAAAGACAATGAGGGACATTCTTGGCCCCACCAGAATTCAAAGAGTTCAATATGCATCTCCTGCTTCACTCAAGATATGGAATTTCCTTTGCTTCAACAGGTCCTTCCCTTTTCCTCTGAACTGTGACCTCAACTTTATTGTCTATTTTACCACCATTAGAAGCTCAGTGGGTGATTATCAATAAGTTATGGCTTCCACTTAAATAAACAGAGACCTATTAGGGTGATGAACAAAATGGATCCATAAAAAGGAATGTAGAAAGTGCTTCCAAATTTCAATATGGGAAATCTTTAAAACAATGCACTTATACATTCCTTTTGGCTAGTAATACTTAGGAGTATTAGGCAAAGCCTTGCTTAATTCATTGTTTGGAGGAGTCAAAAGAAAAACTTGTCAATGGTGAAAAAAATGATACTGTCACTGAGCTGATGGAGTAGTTGGAGTTTGCAGAGACATGGTCTCATAGCTAGCTTGCTATATCCTTGAGCATAGTGAAATGTTGGCTGATCAAGACAATTAAATAGAAAAGAGGATATGATGCAGGAGCAAAGATATTGTCACGCCTCAAGTTGATTTTCAAACTGCTCACAAAGAGTACCAAAAAGCTGATTTTAATAATTTGACCTGAAAGGTAAATTATGAGGCTTTCACGAAAGAGCTGTTGTGACATTAGCAGAGGTTCATACAAGGAAGAAGTAGCAGTTGGTAGTGATTCTATGGTATTAATTATTGTTGCATGAAACAAGAAATCCCCTTCCTTTTCATTCATGGTTATAGGAATTCGGTACCTATTACCTGCTTATCAGATTCTGGGGGGAAAGGGAACCACATAACTAACCCATCTGCCTTCAATGTGTCATTCAAGGTAATGACTGTTTTTGCTACAGGTTGACATGTCCAGAAGTTGGTAGAGAGAGCCCTTCATGAGAAACATAGAGAGTTAGTCAAATGACTCCAAACAATTCACCATTGCTGGCAGTAGTTCTGAGCTAGTTACTTCCTCTGAGAAGCTTATCATCTCACTGCTCTGTAACTTGAACCATCCCTTGCACTGTGATGGCTTGGGATAGGTTGGCCTTACAGCTGTATATCATGAGCTGCTTTAGCACATAAAGATACTTTCTTCCCAAAAATGGCATTGAGCATCATATCATCCACCTTCATATCCACATACTTTCAAGTCTAAGAAAAGCCTGCACCAATTGGTGGGAGTTTACAAGCCCATGGAAGATGTAATTATTTTTTAATTACCTATTCCTCTGGAGCATGCTGCATCACTCAAAACATATAAATCGATTGTATACATGACTGATATTACATCTACAACTGAAAAATAATGATGTGCGATTCAGGCCTATTTCATTTCTCTTCCAGCATTGGCAAGCCTAACCTGGCCACGAGTACTTAAACTGCACAAGGTTGTTTACGAGAGGCCGAGGTTAATTGATTGCGATCTGGATATATTTACGGTGCAATGATTTGCAGATTAATTCGTGCCATCTTTCACATGGGCTCCTTCGGCCTCATGTCACGTTTTCTAGTGAAGATACAGATATTCCATACAAACACCGAATAATTACTACAGACAATGCAAAAGGAAACACGGATGCATTTACAAAGTACTGCTAACTAGGCCTATAATACTATGGACGTCGGGTAAACTCCATTCTGGAGGATTGTAGTGTGAGCATCTTGTCGACCATCTTCACACACTGCTTCACATGAATGTCGCCATGTTCAGCACTGCATACCGGTATCATTCCTAATCCCAAGCTGAACTCAGCCGGTTCAGGTAATGCACAGCGTAACCGAGGCCTCTAGGTAGACTGGTACGAACCGTACATTGAGTGAGATTACATCACTGCCTCGTGGGGTTGATGGGAACGGGTAGGGATAGGCATGTACCTGAACATCGTTAATCGCTGAATGCATCGAAGAGCCTCGAACTCGACGAGGATGGTTGATATCCTCCAGAAGTTCTCGAAGAAATATTCCTTGACTCGAAAGTGATTGGATGTAATTATGCGAGCGCAGGGTTTGATGATACGACTCAGGCAGACGGGATGGACTCTCTCTTTCCTTTTCGTAAGGGGAAAAGACAGGAAGCAACAAAATCACATCTTGTTTCTGTGGGAAATCGTGTCGACTCCAAGAAAATCGAGTTGGACCGTGCAGAATGGCGGCGTCCTGTGGGGCATTGAGACAATTTCTTGTAATTCAATTTTAGTCTCTTCATATTTCAAATCTGTTCAGTAGACAAATTCTCATAGAAGGAAAGTCCGATAGGCTAGGTCTAGAGGGATGTCGGAATCATTTGTGAAGACCGAAATACTTAAATGATTAGGAAACCCGGGAAGTATACATGGATAGCTGGAACACGTAGTTACTAACCCGAACAGCTGAAGGCGAGCCTTAGGCTCTTGGGGAATATTCCAAGTAACGTCTGCCAGATATTTTCCCTTTCCGACTAGTTATCCCCTGCTTTTTTAAAATTTAATTATGGCTGTTTTTGTGATAATTATTTCCTGCCAGTCTTGGGGGCAGGTCTTACATCTTGGCCCGAGTGACAGTCTATGCAGTGTCGCCACGACGTACACAGGGGGGCTTAGACCGAGCCCCCCCCCTAGTTGTCATTCAGCTACCTTTAACTCTGAGTGTTCATAATGTGTCTTGGGAGTTCTGTAGTGGTTCATGCTGGCATAAACTTATTACATAAGCAAGGAATTGTATTCCATATAGCTCATGGCATGGGGTTGTCTCACTGGGACAAGACCTTCCCATTTTGCTTTTCCTTCATCAATCCTTATCTTCATAGGTCTAGTAATTTACAGGAGTGGCAGAGAGAGGAGAAAGCTTTCATTCATAGGTTTTCCTTCCTCAAGCTGCCATGTAATTGTGTCAAAATAATTGTAAACAAGTATTTTTTTTTAATCAATTGTCTGACTCAAATAAAAAATATTGTGACAAATATACTAGAGGTTATCATGACAGACAGACATGTCACCAAAACAAACATTGATTACTAATATTAATTCCATGGATACTTTTTAATATTATAATTGAATAATTATATATTTCTTCTATGTTTGTCTATGTTTTGGATAGAGGTATTTTAGTATTCTTCATCTTAAGTCAATGTTTGAGATATCTCTCAGCATAATCACCTCTTGAGTGAGATGAGGCCAACTACACACAACATGTAGAATAGGAATCAACCCAATGGTTTTTACTCTTTTTCATTCTACATCTTGTATTATGAGTACAGGCACATTTAAATTTTATTTTTCATAACAGGTCAGTACTCGAGCCCAAAAGGCACAGTCAGAATTTTGCCGATCTAATGCATCTCAGTTGTCAACATTGATTCATTAATTTTTTTTAAATGGCTTGGTCTCTATATGGAGGCAGTTTCCTTTTCTCTCTTGGTTTTGTGTGGTGGTAACTGCACAAGGTAAAAGTGAGATCTGAGAGAGAATTACTCATTTGGGATACCACTCAAAACTAAAAAAATTGAATCCTAATGGAAAACATGTTCAAAATTAGCACCTTCAGCTGCAGAACACACTTGAAGACATCAATAGAAGTTTTGTACCACTGCCTTCAGTGCTTACTGCAGAATGATTGGAACTGTCCAGAGAATTGTTCCGTTGAGTTGTGCAATGTCTTCTGGCTTTGTCTTGAAGGTTTAATTCTTGATGTATCTCCATAGGTAAAATCTGTTTTTTGTTTTTGTTTGAAAGGAATACTCCTCATTATATAATAAGTTATGGCAATAAAAAATGGTAAACATTTATGTGAAACACCCTGTAGTTGTATTATATAATTGTGATCTGAGCTGTAATTATTCCCTGGGAGATGAATGTTCACTGTTGCCTAGAATATGGGAAATCAATAAGTGTGGATGTGTTATAATCCATTGTATATTATAAACAAACTTTGAAACTTCCAGGAACAAAAATGCCCAAACTTATCTCGTCCCCCATATTTCTACTTGAGAGATACTTCTCCCTTTGTTTTTTGCTGCCTCCTCTTGAAATTAAGGGATTAATTTGAGCATTACTCTCATCATTACATATAGGGTCTAGAAAATTTTCTGATGTTTCAACTTAAACTTAGGGAGTTGGTTTTCACACAGTTGTAAGATGCAAGGATGCCATAAGGCAAAATGAAAATTGTATTTGCTTCCTCATTTTTCATTTCTCCCAGATTCATACTGGCATTCAGATAACAAGCCTAGTTGCTTTGCATCTATGAACTGAATGCACCATCCCCGTAAGACCCATCATAGGAGGTGATAAGCAACTCACAAGTCTACTCAGCAGTGGTAATTAGTGCAGTGCCTTAGTGCAGTGTTTTGAAATTAAACAGAACCAGCAGGTTTGTTTCCATTGTCAATATGCCACATCTCATGGAACTTCATGATGATTTAGTCCTGCATGTGACTCAGGACAGGTTATACTTGGAACCTTTGAAGTCACCAAGGGAGCTGCTTGTTATTGACCGTATGACTCATGAGAAATATATTGAAGTCAATAATGGCCAGATCCCAGTAAGCTCAACACGTCGTTCTGTGTATGGAGTTATTGGAACAATCAAGTTGCTTGCAGGACCATATCTGATTGTCATAACAGCAAGGACCAGGATTGGTGAAATCAATGGCAGCACCATATACCGCATGGATGGATTTGACCTTGTGCCCTATTCAAGGACTTTGTTACATGTCACCCAACGTCAGACAGAAGACAACCGGGAATACTTGTCAATGATTCAGTCTGTCTTGGATACTCCAGCATTCTATTTTTCATATAGCTTTGATATAAGTCATACTCTGCAGAGGCTATGCCACACAAGTCCAGACTTCATCCAGTTGCCTTTTCATGAAAGAGGAGACCAGAGGTTCATATGGAATTTGTATCTCATGCAGGATTTTGCCAATCAACCTGAGTTGCATAGATATTGCCTGCCTATCATACATGGCTTTGTGGCAATACAAATAGCAGCTATACACGGGAAGGTCTTCAGCCTTGTGATTATCTCTCGACGCAGTGTGTTTCGAGCAGGCACTCGCTTCCTTGTCAGAGGTGTGGACAGTGAGGGCCATGTGGCAAATTATGTAGAAACAGAGCAAATTGTTGAATACTATGGAGAGCGAGCTTCATGGGTGCAAACACGAGGTTCTATCCCTGTCTATTGGTCTCAGTATCCCAACCTCCGGTACAAACCAAAGCCAACTCTGACTCCAAATGCAAATCATACCAATGCATTCACCAACCACTTCCAGACTGAGATATTCAGCTATGGCAGCCAGGTACTGGTGAATCTTGTAGATCAGAAAGGTTCAGAAAAAAAATTGGAGGAAATCTACGCCACCATGGTTAAAAATGCAAATCAACCTAATGTTAGGTATGAAGCTTTTGATTTTCACAAGGAATGTGCTAAGATGAGATGGGATCGCTTGAGCATCCTTATTGACAAACTGGCAAGTGTTCAAGATGATATGGGTTTCTTCCTCATGACACAAGATGGAAAAGTTGTTCAGTCGCAGACAGGTGTCTTCCGAACCAACTGTATTGACAATCTTGATAGAACAAATGTTGTCCAGAATTTGCTTGCACGTCGCATCCTGGAAAATATCCTCAGGAGGTTCAAGATTCTTGGAATGAATGAGAAGCTACAATACCAGGTTGGGTTTGAGCAGTTATACAAGGCAATGTGGGCAGATAATGCTGATTTCCTGAGTGTCCAATACACAGGCACTGGAGCTCTCAAAACAGATTTCACTCGAACTGGAAAGCGTACCATCATTGGGATGTTGAAAGATGGGTATAACTCTGCAATAAGGTACTATAAGAACAACTTCTCTGATGGTTTCAGGCAAGATGCAATTGATTTGTTCCTTGGTAAATATGTTGTCAATGAAGAGGAGGACATTTCTGTGAAGTGTCCCCTCAGAACCAAAATGGAGACTAAGTTTGTCTTCTTGCCTCTGATTATGCTTGTAGCTTTGGCAATGTTCTTCCTAACCTATTTATATGCTCATGAACTCACTACTGAAACTGTGATGTACCTTCTATTCTGGGCTGTCATGGTGACCTTCACATTCTCTGTCATCATGTACTATGGCACTGAGTTTGTGAACCACCCAAGGTTATGCCAGATCCCCAAGCAGAAGAAAGAATGAATTTCACCATATGAACTTGCTATCCAAGTTTGATGGGAGCAGTACATCACCAGTATTGGCATTAAAGAGTGCAGTTTTATCATCTTGATTTTCTCCCATTCCTGTGCTCACTTATTGCATCCTGAGCTATTTCCAGCATTGGCCTCTCATTTCAATTCCAATTGGAATCTGTGTTGATTGTGACAATGAGGGAACAAGCCAAAGTTGGAAATCTGTTTTTGTTTGGTTTTCAGCAAGAAAGTGATCCTTCTTGTGATACAATTTTTTTTTAGGAATGCCCTTGTGATCTAGATTTGAGTGCTATTATCCTGTGGGTCACCATAATGAAGGGATAGAAATAATGGGCTTTGCCATTGATGAAATTCTGCATTAGGCCTAGGTAGAATAATCAACTTTATTTTTCATATAGCAATAAGCTATTAGTTGAAGGTGAGGGTGTTTTCAGCACTGTATCTGATGGTAAAGAGATCATTTGGAGGCAAGGGAAGATACATTCCTAAGTACCAAAAAGCTGGAGCATTATATGGATACTATGTTTAGTCATTTTTTATAAAGTGCAATTATTATCTTCTAATACATTTTTTTTCATGTCACATCTGGTAGATTCATGGATTATCATGCTTTTTCTGGTCTTGAATGGTTAAACTTATTCTATGGCCTGATCATGTATTCCATGATTTGTACTGCCGTATGAAGAATAGATATCTATTTGAGTTGTGTGTCATTGCCATTGTTTTTTATTGCTTTTTAAATTTACTTGTATATTGTCATATTGCATTCTTATTAACTAGTAGACTGAGAAAGAATATGGCATCTAAATGAGCATGCTACAACTGTGCATTCCATCTGTCTTTATGGCTTTGCCCTGATATATTTTACCATGTATGAACACTGTCATCCTAACAGCTACATGGATCGTCTTTTGCTGGAGCAATTTTTGCAGCTAAAGTACAAATACTTGAGAAGATATTTCTTTTTGTATTGCCAGGCACTAATATTCTTCATGAAAAGTAAAGATTAAGAGTTTTAGTCACCACTGCCTGTAACTTGCATAGCTTCAGAGAATAACTTGAATGATTGCCAGTATGAAGAAATAGTACTGTTGTTTTTAAGTGGAATGTTGAGATGTGCCACTACTGAGATCAACTTTACATTCTCTTGCTTTGAAAGAATCAATGAGAATTTTCATGATACAACATGCTTCCACATGCTTTTTATTTTCTGAATCTACTTCTTATCCATGAATAGATTCCTTTCAATTTTTCACTGATATAAAATGAACTGCCTCACATGTTCTTAAAACTCATTATCTGTTCATTAATTTGCCTCCAATATGTGTACTTAAGACTTCAGAGATTTCAAGTGAAATCTTGGAGGCACAAAAATGGCTTATTATAAAGGGATGTATCCCACTTGGAAAGATCTTGTATGGCAGTTATATTTAGATACATGTGCCACATATTAATTTTTATTTATTTCAATAAAGGCTTAGCCTTTTCAAGAGCTTAATAAAACATAGGCTTATGGGGACCAAGTAAAAGGTATATTCCATCCTTAATTTTAATATCGAGATGGTGTTGGTGTGCATACACAACACCATATCCTTTGTGTATTCACTTGTGCCAATATATGTTGGAATCAATTGAGATGCATTCCTGTGAGCTCATGAGAATGTAAAAATGTCTGTTTTATGAGTTTCTTAACCCCTTGAACACATGACGCACCTGTATGCGTTGTGGGGGAACCGTGCAACTGATTCACATGATGCTCACTGGTTGCTCACAGTGAGTGCCCACAGTGGGGGGAGAAGTATCACAAGAGGAAGTCAAGTCAGAGGTAATAGCATTAAGTAGAGAAATTTAGCAGAAACAAAATATTATTTTATTTAATACAAAATTCTGGAGCATGACTGCAGGTAATTGTCTAATACCTGGTGTGTTTAAGGGGTTAAACGACTAGAACATGTAATGTCTTATAAATACTGGTCAAATCTTGTTACAATTAAAATTTCATTCTAACAAGATATACAAAGTACATTACTATGGGCCATCAGCTGGGTCTTAAAAATATTTTAGTTGCAATGGAATCCATTGTAATGAGATTTGACTTGTATATGTTGTGAATCTCATATGCTTTTTCCATTTTTAATCATCAGGAATTTTGATGGAAGAATACTAGTTTCAATCATCTTATACTTCTAGATTTATTCAGGACATCGATAAATGTATTACTGTATAAATTGTTTGCATGAAAAAGTGTAGTAAATTTCTTTACACTAATTATTACCCTCATGAAAAAGTCCCACTTTGGGTTAGACTTCTGTCCAAGAAAGAAATTCCCCACTGAAGAGGTTAATGTATTTAATGGGGTTTAATGGGGTAAATTCCCTTCCATTGATGCTGGAATATGACATGTTTTTGTAAAATTGCTTTTAATTTAATTACTTCTCATCTCTGTTTTGGCTTTTGAGACCTACATGTCTCAAGGATTGCATTTCATTGGAAGGCAAGCTTGTGGGTCATTAATAAATTACGTGTACTTGTGACTGGATTGGGGTTGAAATTCCAGCTGGAAAGTAGAATTTAATTGCAGTAACCCTACTTTTGGCTTCAAGTCATAGGAGAGTTTCACCTTGTGCTCTTAGTTAACAGAACTTGGAGAGGATGACAAGTCTGCCCTCAGAGGGAGTTATTGGAACTAATCCCTTATCCAGGAAACTTAGCAAGATCCTGGATACAAGATTAGAAAATGACAAGGTGATTATCTTTCTTATTAGCTTGTAATTTTAAATAGTAGAAAAGAGAAATTAGAGATGACTCATATATCAAAATTAATTTTCTTTTCAGGATATGATGAGTGCCCTGAAGGAATTGTCCTCATTCTTCCCTGAGAACAATTTGAGAACCAGGAGGAACCTTCGTGGGGAGATTGAAAGGAGAAGCCTTAAGATCAATGAGGTGAGTTGTGAACTATGGACATAGTTCACTCTGTAAACTCATTCAGTGGCCTGCATGGAAACTGTCTTGCTTGATGATACGTTAGGTGCTTTGTCTCTATCCCCTATCATGTTCTGCAGGATTTCCTATCAGCTTTTGAGGAGGTTAAGATTGCTGTTGATACCCTCTATGAGGAGGTGTTAGATACAAACAAGTTATGCCAGTCCATGAATGAAAAGCTAAGTGAAACAAAAACCAACATGAGCCATCTCATTGAGCAGACATCACAGTTGCAAAATGAAAGGTGAATTTCATGTTCATTGTTGTATTGTCGTAACATCTGAGTAAAGTGGGTTGAAAGGTTATCTGTTTTCTTTTTTTCATAGCAAAAAGCTTGATATCCAGCAAAAGATTGTAACTGCCTTCTTGAAGAAATTCCAGTTGTCACCAGAAGAGTTGGCTTGCCTGAGAGGAAGAAGCCATTCTGGTGGATCAGAAAGTGCCCAAATCACAGCTGGGATTTTCTCAGCTCTGGATCATGTCAAAGAAATTCATCAGAACAGCCAGATGCTTTTTCGAACTGGGCAGGAGAGAGCAGCTCTGGAAATAATGGAACACATGGCTCATCTTCAGGTGTGTGAAACATCTCATTGCCTCTGTAAAAACTCCTCAAATATGGTTGCATTTAGATGTCCATGAATGCCCATGTGCCTCTGTGCCATATACAGTTCTTGAACAGTATTTTCCCCATGTTTTCAAATTGTTAGTGTACTTAGGAGAATATCACATGAGACTCAATATTCTTATATGATAAACTCTGTAGGAAACAGCACTAGAGCGTCTCTATCGATGGGCCCAGCAGCAGTGTCGCAGTAGAAATGGGGTAAATGTGAATGGGGAAATCAACCCTCTCCTCATCAAGGCCATGGCATGTTTGCAAGAGCGACCAGTCCTCTTTGAGTAAATTCTCCCACCATCTTACTTCTTTTTCATATCTGTTCATCTCCAGCATCTCACCTTTTACTTTTCCATATAGGTATGTCTTGGAAGAATACTGCATCTGCCAGAGGTCAGATATAGTGAGGAATTTCATTGACACATTGACTTCTGGTGGTGGAGAAGGGATAGGAAATTTGCGACCCATTGAAATGCATGCTCATGACCCACCTCGCTATGTAGGAGGAATGTTGGCCTGGCTTCATCAAGCTGTTCCATCAGAAAAAGAAGCTCTTGAAATCCTTCTGTCTCAATGTCAGCAAATTGGTAAGCAGGTTTTACTACTTGCCTTGTTTCTACAAATGATGAAATTCAGCTTTGGCCCTTGCATGTAGAGCTGTCACAATGCATCAATGTCACTATCAATCATTGTAAGAATTGTTAATTTTATCAGCTCTTATGGAGGTCCTGACATGATTGAAAGTGGCAAGAAACAATGTGAGGTAACTCCTCTGATTTTGAGGAGAGATGACAGAAGACAGGCTTCTTTCCCCCAATTGACCTGGATTAGAGATGCAGGAAATGCCCCCCTCAACAGCATTTAGGAATAAATTATATTCCCTGATGCATCAATGCACTAGTTCTGGTTAATGCATTAATGTTTTCAAAACTGTCATCATGACAGCCCTACTAATATGAGCTAGAAGCTGAAATTCAAGAATTTTAGTACTTTCTGCTCAGTGGACACAGGAGATCTGTTTGACATGGCAAGACATCCTTAACCACTAAGTGGGAAGGTTCATCTATGTCTAGTATAACTATTTCTAATAATTTTCTACTATTGCACTTATTCTGCCTCAAACAGGGTTTCCCAGAAAGTAGGCAAGCTGGTCACCCTGGCACAGTTTGGTTCTGTAGCTGGCTTCCACTATGGCCAACCCTCCACTCATGAGGCTCTGGTTTATTGTTTCTTTTGAATCTATAGAGGAAACTGCTCTCTGACTCATAACTCTACACCACTTTTTTTTTTCCCAGGATAGAAAAACCCTTTCCTCCTCTTTCATAAATAATTATCTACCAACATCCCAAAATTGGGACTGTTGAAAATTTGTGCCCTCATTTTGTAGCAAACACTGTAAAAAGACGTAATCATGGCAACACCCATTTCTGTAGACTGTTTCTCTTGCACCTGAGTGAAATCTTGGAAATACTCTTATAAGTGGGGTTTTCATAGGCAATTTCTTGGAATGAATTTTAATTTAGGTGGTCCAGAATAACAAATGAACTACTACACCATGTTTCAACTTGAGGGAGACTTCAAATGTGTAGGATTTTGATTAAAATTGACAGAAATGTTGGAGGATTCATTGTAAGAAACTGTCTCTTACCATTTCTTGATATCTTGCACTGCTCTCCCAAGATATGACTTTAACTGTTACCTGCTTTTGATCTCTATAAAAAAATCTGGAGTTGAACTGCAGAAGTGTTTCAACAATAACTTTCTTCATTATGAATATGGAAACTTCATTCAGGTGTCACTTTAATTGTGAAATTGCTCTTTTCCAAATGGTATAGCTTTATAGAGACACAAAAAATTCTGCATAATTCAAGAGTTTGACAAACTTGATCAAACTTTCTGACAATTTCAAATTCTGATTGAGACATTTGAACAAGTTTGAGAAATTTTCATAATTTTTACTATCATTGATGGAAATACAAATACAATATGAAACTTTATTTAAATCGTAATAATTAGTTTAAAATAAATATAATTCAAATGCGACTAAATTCTAATATTGATTAAAATAATTATAGTTATTTCATGAAATAAAGTTTTAAAAAAAACATGGGGTTGTGCTATTGGGCATGCAGGTCGTGTTTATGCTAATTTTCAACCTATTATCTAAACTACTACAACATCCCTTCCTTCCCCTGAGCATCTGAATTGCTGTCATAACTTCCTTGCCTGTAGCCTTTCTTTTTTTTGTAAACCTTTTTTGGCCTGAATCACATTTTAGAGGTTTAAAAAGATAGTAAATTTAGTTGCTAAAACATACATACTTTAAAAAATTATTAAAATTAATCTAAAGTTAAAATGGTTTTAAAAATTATTGTGACTCATTTTTCTTATAACATCCAAATTCTTATTTTCCATAATATGTTTCTTAATGTTTCCATGTTCTGTCATGCAAAAAGCTAGGAAATAATATTTTCTAAAAATTACTCACTCTACAATTCCAAATTGTCAAATTTTTTTTTCATGAAATTTCAGAGGTCTTATCATTGAGAAAACAGAAATGGAAAGTTTAAGTAATGACACCTGTTTTTACTCTTTTGCCACATGAAAATGGGGGAGAGTTAATTATTTTGAGTTCATAGCTTAAATCCTCATTTTTGATAGACAAGGAGAAGGAAGTTTCGAAGTGGCTGTCGAAAATCTGTGAAGGTGTTTGCCGTCCACTAAGCTCTCGTGTTGAGCAAGTCATTTTATCAGAACCTGGTCCAGTGACATCCTGCAGTCTGGCAACAATGTTGAAATTTTATCAAGACACCCTACTACAGGTTAGCATTTATTATTGAGTGTTGTTTGAATCAGTGATTACTATGGAAATTTTGAGAACTGCATCTTTGTTTGCAGATAATTGGAGAGAATAATGGGTTGTCTGCAACACTGAAGGAATTGCAACAGCTGAGTCATCGAACATTCATATCAGCCTTGCAAAACCATGCAGCCCGGCTTGCAGATTCCATCAGCAGTGATGCAAACCACTTGCGGTCTGGGAATCTCTCCCCTCCTCAAGCCTTAAATACAGCAATGCAACTCATCAGAGATGTCCTTCAGGCTGGCTCAATGCTTGATCAGAAACAGCGGGAACTCCCAAAAGTATTTAGTAATTTAGTAAACATGATTCCAACTAGGGTTCTGACATTTCCTAATCATCATAATCATGTCATACAATTTTCAGGTGTTGTCATGTGTGATTGACCCTATTCTACAAGCTTTGAATGAAAGTGCTGCTTGCCTCCCAGCTCTGGAAATGGCAGTTTACTTAACTAATTGCCTGTATCATCTTCATTCAATGCTTTCCCTCTACGAGTTCACCCAGTCCAAACTGGAAATGATCAAAGTAAGTGTTCTTGTCAAGCACTGGATGGAATTATTTGAAGTCATAGTTAGTATGCCAAACCTCATGTTTTGTCTGATCTCTAAGGCTCAAATGGATGCACATGTGGATACATTGATCTCAGAGCAGGCATCCAATCTGGTGCATAAGCTCTCCTTGTCCTCCATATACACAGCCCTTCAGAGACCAAGTGTGGGGAACCTCAGTCAACAGCCAAGCATGGATGTAGCTGCAATACAAACGTTCCTGGTGAGCTTTTTTTTTTTTCTTTCTCCAATCCCCTTAATATTTCTGAAGCTAGATCTTGAATTTTGGGAGTGCTTTATGGAATGATCAAAGATTGAGAAACACAAAGGTGGTGATCTTGCTGATGGATTCCTTTTTAATTTCATTTCCAGAACAAGTTGGATGGATTTCTTGCAAATCCTGATGCCTTACTCCTGCCTCAAATTTCATTGTTGCACAGCCTCATGATCAGGCAGACTGTTCGTCAGAGATGTTCTCATGTCATTGCCACCATATACAGACAACTTTATGATGCTGTCCACAATGCAGAAAATGGTTACAACAACCCTTCTGCAATCATGAATCGAACCCCTGAGCAAATTGAGAGTCTTATAAAATGACCTGGTGGTTCAGGTGTTCATGGGCATAGCAGCAGGCTTTAACTAGGGCTATGTCATATCAGTTCCAAGATAATTGCAAAACACCAAACTCAGAAAGAGGTTGCTGGTTAGGATGGGAAGACTTGTAGCAATGTTCTTGCCTATGCCCTACCTGACAGATATGTAGGAGGGGCCATGAAGGAGAGCATGTAATGTTCTTGTATTGGTTATGATTCAACATGTGTGCATGTGATTTTCATAAGAAAATGCTGGTGCACACATGAAATACTGAGTTTGAGAACTTAATTCCCAGCTGGGGGGCAATAATTCAAGTTACTCCCCACATATGCCAGAACTTATTCTGTAATCAACCTGTTACATAAATCTGGCATTTTACATTTATAGGTGCATTCACCTGTTCATGTGCCTTCCCTCATTGACCAGCAGCCTATTTCTTGGGTTAGTATGGTATGAAAAAATGTGGAAGGGAATATTTATGCAGCACTGAATTCAGTTATTGATGGTGTGATAAAGGCATATTTTCATCATGGTTCCTGATATTGCTTTCCCCTCAACTTGACATGGCTGCAGCTAGGATTGATCTCCTGGTCTATCCTCCTTCCTTGAAGGGCAGATGCACTCAAGTGAGTATGATATACAATATATCCCCCATCAAATTGCATATAAAAGAGGTTTCATCAGGTGCATAATACAGGGTGATTGTAAAGTAACACAAGTGGGAAATATATCAGTGTATTGTTTAACATTTCAAAACTCTTACGGGAAATGTCTCCAACTTTCAAATGGATTTGAAACAAAGATAAAAGATTTAATCAAGCATTAATAAATGGCCAACCATACATAATGTACTGTTATATATTCCACTTTGTGTTTCTCTATGGTCACCCTGTATAATCAAAAGCCTATAACCATAATAGTTGACTTCACAAAAAATAAAAATGCATTGTATATGGGGGTGTTTGTATGAACATGACCATTTTTATGTCTTGTCATCTTACTCCCTTGGTGCTGCAATCTTGAGTTATAAGCTATCTAAGGTCTTGATCTAGGGCAGCAAAGTCTTTCAATAAGCAAGCATTACTATTGGCTGCTAGTGCAGCATTATTAGATTTGCACACCTGAATGAATGCCATCATGAAAAAAATGAGAGGAAATGTAACGTGTATGTGAATGTGCCACTGGGACTTCCATCACCTTTCCAGAAAAGCAAGAATGTTTCTTCCTCTCCCATGCTAAAAATTCCACAATCCAGTAATGCATATGAGGGATTCAATCTCTGTGGCTAAGACCTGTGTTGAATATTGAATGTTGGCATCCTTCCACAGTTCAGATTTTTTTCACAAAGCCATAGGGATATGTGCATTTCTGACTTAGATCACAGATACATGCATGACCTTTGGAAGGCAGAAATCTATATTTTACAAATGCATAATCTGGTCCCGCTGAGGCTGGAACTGCATTGAGTGATGGCATCCAGTATCCTGCCAAAATTTCCATTTATTTTCCAAGAAACCTGTTCTTGGCCTTCTTTAAAAATATAAAAAGGAAAAAAGATGATTTGGTTGTTCATCTTTGCCCCAAGTACTTGTTTCAATGCTCAGAAAATGTTGGAAATGAGACCTTTAGTGGATCTCGAAAAAAGCATATGACCATCTACTTCAAGAGAGGCTGTGGGGAGTACTGCAGGAGTATGGAGTTACCTGGCAGCTACTGCAAGCAGTTTAATCATTGTACAGGAATTGCAGGAGCTGCGTTTGAATGAACAGGATGAGTTCAGACTCACTGCCAGAACATGTGGACTGGCGTCAGGGTTGTGTTCTCTCTCCTTTCCTGTTTCTTGTGTACATGGATTGGATTTGTAGGCATAGCCTGGGCCTCAAGGGAGTCGGCATCTGTGGTATCGGAGTTAAGATACTGCTTTGCTGATATTTTTTTGGCCCAGTCTCGACAGGAGTTTCAGAGCATCCTCAACTGGTTCGACTCAGAATGTACTGTGGTGGAATGAAATTGAGCATCCCCAAATATTTGGTTATGGTCCTTTCAAGAAGTCCTGTACAGTGTGCCTTACATGTTAGGAGGCCCCCACTGGAACAGGTGGAGAAGTTTAAGTACCTTTGGGTTTGGTTCTTGAGTGATGGTAGTTATGGAAATGAGATAGTAGCTGCATCTCCAGGGCTTCTGCAGTTTTGCAGAATCTAGAGGACTTTGATAGCCAAATATGGAATTTAAAAGACAAAACCTACGATTTTTAAGAGTGTTTACCTCAACGCCCTCACCTATGGTCATGAACTTCAGGTAATGACTGGAAGGATCATGTCATGGATGCTACCTCCATGAGGTTCTACATCTCCTGCATGCCTCCCAAGAGAATCCCAAAAAGAGTTCTCCTATCTGAAGTGACAGGCTAAAGATCAGTCTGTAGACCTCGCACAAGGTGGATGGAGTAGATCGCAAAGGGCTCAGTGTACCACCTGCCAGGCTTGAGTATGTTGTCCAGGATCATGAACACTGGAAGGTGCTCCTGGGCCTGCTGGAGCCACAATCCCATTAAGTTTGGATAAACGGTTTTAGAAATATATGTATACACAGTAACAGGTAATAGGTTTTATAACAGGTAAAACATTAATTACTTTTGAAAACTGAATGAATTTGTTTAAATGAAACTTGAGTTGTTTCTCTTATTTTATCCTAAGTTAGAACACTTAGAAAGAGCAGATTCTTTGCAAAAAATAGTGGTTTTCACTTGTCCTTGAAATGCCATTACTCCCCCCCCCCCCAATAGACAAAGCCTCATTGCCAGGAGATGGAAGGAGTAGCAGAATCAGAATCAGGCCATAAATGATCCAAGGGCTTGGGAATATATGTATGCTTTGTTTTCCTTTGCAGAACTCTGCCTCAGTTGCAAAAATAAATCCCATGGGAAAAGGGTTTTTACAGGAATTTGTTGTTTCCTGATTTGGAGGAGACATTCCATTTTGAACTTTTGGAATGGGTGGGACATGAAAGGGAACCATGAAGGTGATCTTCCTGTTGAGTCTGTCTGCAACTGCCCTGCTAGGCAGTCTAACTTGGGGAGCAAGGAAGAAGCCATTGCATATTGCAGGAATATTTCCAATAAATGGCACCTCAGGTGGTTGGCAGGGTGGTCAGGTGAGGAATCTGAATACTTTCTGCTCTGCATGTATTTATAGTTGCATATGCTACAGTATAGCATGTACATTTTCACCTATGTGAATGCTAACTGCTTGAAAGCTAACATCAATGTCAGAAATTCAGCTCCGAATCCAAATTGTCCTGCTTATAAAATTGGAATGCATAAGTCCCAATAGGGACTATGGAAGAAAGATGTGGGAACTTGGAGTTATGAAGAGCTGTAGAGGGACTACAAAGTTCTTGCCTGTCAAACCAAGTTGAAAAACCTAAGGAGATGGATTGATAAGCAAATTTTTAGAGAAAGGACAACATTTTGAGTTGCAATTTAGCATCTGCTCTGACTTTGAACAGAAAAGAAGAATATCTTGCAGAAAAAAGAATTTCTGAGCTAGTACAAAAATTCAAGGATGATGAAGTTTTGCATGACTTATGAGTAGGACCCATATTTACCTCTTGCAGGCTTGCCAACCAGCTGCCATGTTGGCATTGGAAGATATCAACAAGCAAGAAGATCTCCTGCCTGGTTATGAAGTGAAGCTGACATGGAATGATAGTCAAGTAAGTTGAATTCATACCATTGTCTTCTTTCTGCTGAAGGGTGTTGTTTCATAAAATGTTCCTCCTCTTTCTTTTGGGTAGCTGCTAGGATAATTTGCCACATCTAGATGAAGTGCCTCTAACTCTTGAGGGTATTGTTAGGTATCCTCACCTTTCCCTAATTCCCAGCATATAGACAGTGGGCCAGACCTGGAACACCTCGTCTTGTGATCTGAACACTTGTGTCAGATTCATTGACCATGTCTTTACAAGTCAATGCAATTATTTGTGAATTTATAGTGGTGTTAGGTGGAAGAAGAAGTGCTGAGGAAGGAAAGACTGGCTAGTATTGTAGTATTAAGAAAATAGAACTTCCTAGATTTTAGGTAGTTCCTTGCCTAGAAAGGTTTAAACTCTTTGAAAAGGTTAGGTTCGTTTTGCACAAAAGGAAGCCCTAGATATTTCTAAGGAGAAAGGTCTAGACTTTCTTGTACCCTTGCCCAGTCTGCTTCTTGACATCCTAGCTGAAGCTAGGAAAGTCATGTATCAATAAATTAATCCAGTTGATACCTTCTCGTTTCAAAGCTTTTTATTACTAACCCTCTGGACTACCTGCCTAACATGGGCCAAACTTTATTGTGGTTTCTGGCTGAGGTTTCTGCAACTGCCAAATTAGGCCTGATCAATATTGTTCATCCTGGGTCTTTAAGTTTGATGCAGTTTTCAGTGTCTCATGAGGTTTTCACCAGAAGTTTCAGGAAACCTGTAAAGGGTGCTCCAAAAGTTCAAGGAACTTCCAGTTCTGATACATACTGTTTTCTTTTCACAGGTTGTAACAGATATCTAGAAAATTGACAAACAAAGTTTTATTATATTTGGTGGCAGTTGACAATATTTTTGGAATTTTTTATTTTTGCTGTCTAAGGAAACTTTGCAGAAACATGAAAAAAATTGAGACATGGACAGTGATTACTGGTACTTTTCTTTTCCTAGAAAGGACAGTCTCCTCTTTGACAGACTAAGCTCTGTTCCCTCAGCCATTCTACTCCTTTGTGTCAAAATTCCCAGCACTAGCATCCTAACAATTATTTGTGACTATAGTTTATCCTTTAACTTGACTTCAAACAAAAGGTCAATGGAGAAATAGTCTAGGGATGCAACTGACAGCTATTATAACCCAATCAAGTACAGCCTGGCATTCCTTAATGTATTCTTGCTACTTCACTTAGGGTGGCATCTGGGTTTGAATTTTATATTTTAGACATGAAATGTGATTCAATTATTGCATCTGTCACATGGCTGCCTTTTAACAGCTTTGCCTTTGGTTAGACCTAGGCTGGTATCCAAATTTGAAGTGTCCTAATAATGAATTTTTCAGTGTGACCCTGGTCTTGGAGCATCTGTGATGTATGACTTGCTGTACAACCCTCCAACAAAGCTCTTACTCCTCGGTGGATGCAGTACAGTTTGCACTACAGTTGCAGAAGCAGCCAAAATGTGGAATCTCCTTGTGGTCAGTTTATTTCTTGGACCCTGAAGGTTCTGAAATCCTCAGACTCCTAGTGACAGATTCTAATACCATTTTGTTGCAGCTGTCCTATGGTGCCAGTTCCCCAGCCTTGTCAGATCGAACAAGATTTCCAACCTTCTTCAGAACTCACCCCTCTGCCACTGTGCATAATCCAGTAAGACTAAAGCTGTTTAAGAAGTTCGGTTGGAAAAAGATTGCCATCATCCAAGAGGCAGAGGAAGTCTTCGTTTCTGTGAGTGTAGGCTCTTGGTGTCAATTTGACTTGTGGTAGATCATGTGGCCACAATGCAGTATTTGATTTGCCTTTGGAGAGGAGATAAGAATTCCATACTATATGCATTTTACAGACTGTGGATGACTTGGAGGTCAAATGTAGTGAAGCAGGGATAGAGATCTTGACCAGACAGTCATTTGTGACTGATCCCACTGATGCTGTCTTGAATCTGAAGAGGCAAGATGCCAGGATTATAATTGGCCTCTTCTATGTTGTGGCAGCTCGCAGGGTTCTATGTGAGATCTATAAGAAACGACTGTATGGGAAGTCTCATGTCTGGTTTCTCATTGGTGTGTCACCTCTTTCACATTCAAATTATTGCTTGGAGGCATAACTCAGGTTCCTTTATCTGGTATTGGTTTATTGGTCTCTGAATGATAGGTTGGTATGAGGACAACTGGTATACTCTGAATTTGGAGGAAGAAGCCCTTGAATGCACAGTGGAACAAATGAGATTGGCTGCTGAGGGGCATCTCACCACAGAAGCTATTATGTGGTACAGGTACCCCAATAATACCAAGACCAAATCTGGGATGGTATGTTTGCTTCATTTTCAGCTATGACCAGGATTCCGTTTTCTGTTGACATCTTTGCTGGCATTTGTGGGTTTTCCCTCTGCAGACATCACAAGACTTTGCTCAGAGATTGAAAGCACGACTCAGAGATTATGGTTATAGGATTGATCCAGAAGGATACCAAGAAGCTCCATTGGCTTATGATGCTGTATGGGCAGCTGTATTAGGTGAGTTGTGATATAAGTTTGAAGAATGCGGGAGACTACCAAACATCTTAGAGCAGAGCTATTTACTTGCATAAAAACAACCATTCAGGGAAAGTAAGAATATTCATCCAGACGTACTGAGAATAGAAAAATATGTATTAAATTTAACCAGGCCTTATGGTCATCTTACACTTCCTCTTTTATTTATGCAGCACTGAACAAGACCTTGCATCAGCTTCACCTCATGGGGAAGAGCATAGAGGACTTCACATACAACAATGAAGAAATTGCCAAAATAATGTATTCTGCTATGAATTCTACTGAATTCCTTGGTATATCAGTAAGTTTACTTTTCTCTTCAACAGTCTACTGCAATGATTTTTTTTTTAAACAAGATTCCTGGAAATATGCAATGCAGAATGGGCAAATTTATTCATAAATTTACTAAAATATGTTTACCTGAAGGTAACATAGGCAAAATGTGCATATTGTAAGGCATGAAAATAGTAATTCAGTGAGTATGCAAGCTGGCCAAGAACATATTTATTATTTCTTTTAGTCCTAGATATTTTGACTCTGTTCATGGAATTAACTGGCAACTAACAACTCCTGAAGGTGGAAAAAAGTGCATGCCATCTTGTACTTGGTAGTTGTGGTAGGTTCCAGCTGACCATTTCACAAGAATCCAAGGTAATAGTTCTAAAGGGAAAAGTCTTCTGGCTGTATCCACATTTGTATTTCCTGTATAACTTCTCAAGGGCAAGGTGGCTTTCAGTGCAAAGGGAGATCGTATAGCATGGACTCAAGTGGAGCAGCTCATCAATGGCACATATGTTCTCCTTGGAGAGTATGACACACCAAATGACAACCTCATATGGTTTGATAAGGAGAAATGGATTGGTGAGGCTGATATTCAATATTTTTCCTAATCTTTCAAATCATCTGAATACAAAGACATTAATATGTCCTTCCCTATGAACCAGGTGGGAAACCACCACCGGACCAGATTATTGTGAGGAAAGAACTGAAAACAGTTTCACTGGGTCTCCTCATTACTGTTAGCATCGTGTCACTGCTTGGGATACTGGCTGCAATCACTCTAATGGTCTTCTTATACAACTTTCGCACAAAGAGGTCTGTACCTTAGTTATCGCTTTTTGTAAGAGGCTCCATAGTTATGAAATTTTGGATTTTACTTGATTCTTTACTTTTCAGATTGGTCCGCCAGAGTCAGCCTGTGTGCCACCTGCTGACACTTCTTGGTGTGTGTGCATGCCTGTTGGGAATCTGTCTCCTGGGTTTGGATGGTCGACTTGTTCCTCCACATCTTCTCTCGTTGGTCTGCAAAGCTAGAGCTTGGCTTCTTTCCATTGGTTTCTCTCTTGCATATGGTGCAATGTTTGCCAAGATCTGGAGTGTCCATCTTTTGGCTACAAAAGCCAAAGCACAAGGAACTAAGGTCTGTCTTTTTTCTTCTTTTTTTTTTAATCAAGTAAAGAGTACAGTAGTCATTTTATATGACATTCTTTTATTTTTCTCTTCATGAACTAGCCCCAATCAGGTCCACATCATCCATGGATGATGGTTGTGTTCTTCTTGGTGGTGGATGGTGCCATCCTTATTGCATGGGAGGTGGTTGATCCTTTGGAGCGAAAGATGGAATCCTTCCCAGCTGTCAGCTCTCCACAGGAAGATGTTGAAATCAGACCTGAGCTGGAGCATTGTCGATCAGTTAATAACGAAATTTGGCTTGGTAAGGTACCAAGATTTCAATGCTTTCCCTCACTATGATCTTAAGTTTATGCCTTTATTTTTCCTTTCCAGGTATCATGTATGCATACAAGGGTCTCTTGCTGATATTTGGATTGTTCCTATCGTATGAGACCAGGAGTGTGAAACTGAAGATGATCAATGACTCCAGATACGTGGGCATGGCCATCTACAATGTAGTTGTCCTTTGTGTTATAACTGCTCCAGTTTCAGTTGTAATTGCTTCACAGCCAGATGCAAGCTTTGCATTTGTGTCTTCTGCTGTCATCTTCTGCTGCCTCCTCAGCATGGGCCTCATTTTCATACCTAAGGTGTGCTAATGTGTGCATCATTGTCAAAAAAAAGTAAGAACCTATATTGATTTCTCATGGTTGTTTCATTGTAAGATCTTGGAAGTGATGCAGCATCCCCATGGTGGAAGAGATGAGAGTCGACAGAGCAATAGTTCATTCCCTTCCTCAGAGGATCAGCAGAAGCTAGACATGATATGCAAGGAGAATGAAGAACTTCAGAAGCTCATTGCTGAAGTGAGTAGTCTTGTTTCTAATTCTGGGTGGCAGTTGAGAATGAGAATGTTGGGGAGTCTGAATTTGGGGAGACTGGAGTACGATGAAGCACTGAATTTTGTATTGCCTTAAAACTAGATGGAGCTGCTTGTAAATCTACTTGAATATCACCCCTTACATGTTTATGAGGTTTGGTTGCATTTTTGCAGCCAGGGTGAAAACAGGCAGTGAAGTACACAATATGTCTCAGCAAAATTTTTAAAATGTTGAGGTAATTGATCCAGCTCAAATATGTGTTCCTTGAATCATGTAATTCATTTCATGGACTTGATTCATTTCGTGCTTGGGTTCTTTTCTAGATGATTGACTTTTTATATTTTTGTTGGATTGCTTTTGGTGATTCCTTGGCCTAGAGATTGGGTGTATGAGTGTGAGGGGATTACCTGTGTACCTTTATGTATCTTTTTATGATCAAGTTCAAGACACACATACACCTTTATTGGGACCTCTAAGATTGAGCCATACATGTACCCATTCACATACCATTTTTTTCTTACTAAGAGTTGCTGTGAAATACCAATTTTAATTTGCAAAAATTCCATGATCACTATTGACTAACAAGTCACTCTATTGATAATAACAGACCTCTGCAGAAACCTGTCTGGCAGATGGTTAGGTACGGGCTGGACACTTCCACTGAGGCCATCTCAGAGATGGTTAGGTACACAAATGGGTTAAGTGGGTTCTTAGCCTAGCATCTCCCCCTTTTGCGCAGGCACTCAGAAGGGAGAAAATATTTTTTTGCCTGGTCCTAGGAAATGCTTTCAATTTACCCTTGCCAATTTCATTTCAGCCTAGAAACCTAGTTCTGGTAGTCTCACTAAGGGGATTCAGGAGTGGTAACAGTTGATGAGTAGCTAGCTGAGAGTTCTGTAGATAAAGATTAAAGAGTCAATTTAACCTGATATGATGGACTCAAGCAGAACAGAATTTGAATTCCGAAGTACAGCAAGTTACCAGTAAGATGATGATGCAACAGTTTTGTTGACTGGTTTATATAATGAGAGACTACCTTCCTTGTGTGTCCACAGAATGAGGAGAAAATTCACCTTCTGCAACTGAAAATCAAGGAGAAGCAAGCACGAGAGGAAGTGAACAGGGCAACAATGGAATCTGTCTTTGGCAAAGATGGCCATGTCAAGAATGGTAGCATGGCAACTGCTCCTATGCCTGCACTAGCTTCTCCTCCCCATTTTGCTCAGAAAGCTGAAGACCACGTCAAAATATCTCCCCGACAGCAATTATTTTTGAACCTTGGAGATGGAATCCAAGTAGAGCTGCTGAAGCCTACTCATGAAGCCAATGAGTCCTATCTGTAAGGTTCTTTACAATTCTCTGTACACAAAAAGATCATTGCAACTTCCTAGTCAGTACAACTAGTCACAATTGTGTGTATGATTCACTTGTGGAAGTACTGTGAATGTGTGTGGAGATCCTGATTGTATTTGCACTGAAAATATGAAATTGAAGAGTAATACAAAACATATACTAGTCTGGTATCATAGTTGCATGGCTGTCTTGTCTTTTTTTTTTATATGCAAACCTTCTAGTCAAACTAAAGATCACTTCCCTCATTTTTCAAGTTCTGGTTGACAGTGAAATGGCATAGAGCTTTTCTATATGAGCCATAAAAACTTTAATATGTCCCCGCATAGCTAGCAAGTTTTGTTCTTGTATGCTGAAGGCTTGAAAAGTAGAGTTTTTGAAAGTGTTTAGTAACTTTATGGACACCCTATATGTTGTAAGCACTAAGGGAATCCATTTTTTCTCTCCAGAAATAATTGAGACATTATTCTTAAAATTTGTAAATGTATTGATATGTGGACCTTCTCTCCCTTTTAATTTTTATCCTTGGATCCCAGGTTGCAAAGAGAAAATGCACTTTATGAATTAAAAGATAAAACAAGGGTGTCTAAGGGATAAGTGTCTTTTGCCCAAATATTCCACTTCAACCCTTTAACTGGGTGAGACATCTTTAGACGTATGACCTCCCATTGGCTACTGTGTATTTGGTGAAAACTTCCCAGCTAGGGGGTTAAAGGAGGTTATCTTTTCTGAGTGACAGACATATGCTACATAGTTACATACCAGGAGGGAATAGGGCCAAAAAGAAAATGTTTGCATGAAGTCTGGGACAGACGCTAGTGTCTTACTTCCCTGGGACAGAAAATTCAGTAACTTATGCTTATAGTCTTCTCCCTATGCCATTTAAGGGTCTCTATTGTCTCAGAATAAAGCCTAGAAGCAGAAAAAAAGCACACTACTGATGCATTAGATAAGGTACATTGTCTACTTGTGATTTGATGCTGTTGTCCAATTACTGTTCCTCAGGAGGTGAAGCTTATTTCCAGTTCATGATCTTTCCTGTAGCCTTTATTTATTGTCACCATGTACTTGATTTTATGGAGAAACCATTTCATATCTGTGATTGTTTCCTTGTGGCATTATCACATGTGAAGCATGTCTGAAAAGTGTTCCTAAATTTTTTTTATTCCGTCAGAAAAAACTACCCCAGCACAAACTCTGCAGGGATGTAAAGTCATCAAAGGATATGGATACATGGATTACTCACACTTTTGCCACCTGCCAATCATGGTAAAAGAAGTCATACTGTTTGCATATCCATATGCTGACTGACTGCAGAAAAGCAAATTCAGACAGTACTTTCTACTTTATTCTATTGATACCCTTCACTGTCAACACTTGCTCCCACTATGAAAATGTTGGCCTTCAATTGGTCAAGTCACCATGTTTCCTTGTAACTGCAACACCACTTTGCTGAAACTAAACACAGCATTATTCCTGATCACTGTTGAATATTTATTTGCAAACTCTTTTCAGACTTGCCCCATACTACTTGAGAGGCTTCTTCAATTTGGTAGCCTAGGTGTTGTAATCATTCCATGTTGTGCAATCTCATATAAACTGTGATTGAAATATTTTGAATGAAAAATAAGGTGATAGTCTCTCTTGTTTGTTGTGCTATGTTTATGTTTAGATGTTATCGCACAGTGATGTTTCATTTTGGACCAATTAACTATTCCCTGGCCCCAACAATTTGTTCTTCTATAGACACAAGTGCATTGAGTCCTCTAGTCCCACTGCTATTAAACCATTTTAGAACAAGAAATATTCAGTGGAATTCTTTTGAAGTACTGTTGTCATTTCAATAAAGATATTGGAGCTATGTTTGTTCCTGAACTCTGTCCTATGTTTCATCTTTTATCTTAAGATAATCACAGAATACCATGCAGGTGAAGTGTTCGTATGCAGCAGATTCCAGCTTAACAGCTGTATTCACAACTTACTTGGGTTTCCACATTGTCAAATTTTTGCAGGACAAGAAAGTTGAGCAACCATGAAGTTACTTGGTGTTGACAGGCTCAATTACTTTGTGTTGTGAAGTATGCATGATTATGTGCTACTCAAAGAGCTGTAACAAAATTAAGTACTGTTTCGTACAAACTGTCTTTTATAACGAGGAGTTTCGGCTCCTTGGAAATGTCATATTTGGCTACCACGGTCCCTCAGTGTTCTCGGAGAACTTCACAATCGCTGGAAATGCTGTCAATCACTTTTAGTATTGTCCATCACTCGAGGACCGGAGGCTAAGGTACTCCTCCACCTGTTCCAGTAACCCCGTAACATGGACACAGTACGAAACTTCTCAAGAGGACCATATTCTTCCCCTTGGGGGAAGCGGAGTTTCATTCCGGCCTTATTACATTCGGAGTCGAACTGAGTCAGCACGCTCTGAAGCTCCAGTTGAGACAGTACCGAAAGGACACCATCTTCGACAAAGAAATATCTTCACCTCACCCTGGAGGCCCAGGTGGCGCCTAAAGATCCTATCCATATACACGAAAAACAGATCAAGAAAGCGAGCGCAACCCTGGCGAAGCGGTTACACGCCATTTGTGGTCAGTGGCGTAGTGGTGGGGGGGCTTCAGCCGCCTTAAGTTTGGTTCAAACCCATTAACTCCGATCTAAATGCATCCCCCCCCCCGGGCGAGAAGGCCCCCTGAAGGCTCCCCCCACCGTTTCGCTTAGCCCTCCCATTGATGAAATCCTGACTACACCACTGTTCGTGGTCCACAAGCACCTCTGGGGTGTTTCTAAAAAATCTGGTGATCTGTGGTGCTGCGCCCTTCGAAATTGAAAATGAAATCCGTACTTGACTTCTCCGATTGCTCATACTCCCTTTACTAGCACCTAGGCATTACTCTTACTTGGTACGTTGAGGAGAGTGATTCCACGGAAATTGGTGCCCTTCTTGAAAGAAAAATCCACAACGTGCCGTCCTCGATTGCCAAGTAGTTTGATATGCCCTATACAACCACCAGTGCCCATTGCCTTCAGTGCTTCTCCCCAGATTTCGTCCACACAAGGAGACTTTCCATTCTTCAAGCTAGCGATAGATAGCAAAAGGTCTTCCATGTTTGACTATTCTCCGTGCAAGTTGGTTTCTAGTCGGGTACATCTGAGTCCGCCTTAGGTGGGTTTGAGGCTTCAAAATGTTCCTTCCTTCTCCCAAATATTTCCGCTTCGGCAACTGGGGCTTTCTCGTTACAGTTTCCGATGACCCAGTATGTTGCTTAGCCGGAGCCTTGGAATGGTTTGCCAGAACACCTTGTTCGCAGTGCGGTAGTCATTTTCCATTTCTTCGCCGAATTTCTTTCGTGCCTCTTGTTTCGCTTTAGCTACGGTTCGAGCAGTAGTTCTATGCGCCTCTCTGTAGCACGCCCTCATAGTCAGAAAGAAAGTCAGTCGTAAATGTCCAAGACATTTACGCTCTGTATACCCTCTTGAAAGCAGCTGAGCGACACGTCTCTGACGTCCACGAGAGTTTCCATGTGCCACTACGATAGCTTTTTCTTCGCACGTCCCTACTGCAACAGTCGACACAGCAGATCGAAATCTGGTGGGGCAGTTAGGAATAATTTCCTCCTATCACCCTTGCCAATTCGTCACGCGTTTTCGCATCACAGAGTGCTTCCCACCTCACCTGCAAGGCATGCGGATTTCTGTCCGGTTCTGAGGGTTTTGTGGTAATGGTCAGACACAATGGCGTATTTTATGGGGGAAGGGGGGGCTGCCGTCCACGGGACAGAGCTTAGCGCTCCCTTAGACGTAATCATTTTCTCCCTTGGTATCACTCGGGTCGGGTTTGGCGCCCCCATTATGCTGCCCTGCCCCTTCAGCCAAAATATGCCATTGGTCAGGCAACATCCAGCACAGAAGTGTAGCAACTTTCTGACATTCCCGTTCAATGTAGCTTCATCTTTCCCAACTCGCACATTGAAATCCGGCATCAGCAAGACGAGTTCACCCATTGGGCAGTCAAAATAGACGTTGGCAATATTCAGACTCCGGCAGCACTCGGCGAAGACGCCTCTTGTCGAGGATTCAGCAATACATGCAGTCGAATAAGCTAGGGAACGTTTCCTGCTAAAGTGTGTTACTCTGTACTGCTCTTCATGTTGTACTTTCATCAGAATAGTGTTGTATTTGAAAAAATTAGCGCCGAAGGACTTAATGTATTGATAATTACGATTGGTGAACAGGGTTCCTAATCTGAGTTAACCCGTATAGGAATTCCAATCGAGCAGATAGTAGCATGTGTTCAGGAGACTTCTACACGAACTGGTTTTAATGAACCATGATGACCATTGTAGGGGACGCCATGACACCGAAACAACTCCATAAGCGGTTTCAAAAGTTTCCAGACCTGGGTCAACCCAGGTTGGAAACCCAGTCCCAATCTAAAGTCAGTAGTCGAATCTTGCAAGGTGTGTGCTAGGATCGTAATTGTCATCATGTCCTTCAGTGACTGTAAAGAGGTACAAGAGGTTGAGGTAAAACTATAAACTGGTTTTGTCTATAATAGCAAAAATGGCTCTCATGCATTTATGTGTTTAAACTAATGCTGATTCTGTGACTTGTGAGACACAGTTGAAACTTGGACAATCTCACTGCATCTTCCACCCATGAATATGTCAACTATATACCCATGCTATGTCCACTTCTGAGATTTTAGCCATGCAATCCGATGTAAATATTGACATCCCTACTGAAAATCAAAAGTGTTAGAAACTATTCAATGACCACACCGTCCAGTCACCAAACTGGAAACTCAGTAAAATGTCATTTCATCATGAGAGGAACCATAATACAAAGAAAGTCACTCAATATCATAAGGTTAAATCATAATCAGGGTTCCAAAAGCAAAATTCTTCATGTGACATGCACTGTCAAGGGAGTAAAGTCTTGATTGAGTCTTCAGACAAGAGAATTGTAAAATATCAGCCTAGTCACAAAGTAAGAATTCTATTCAGTTGACATTTTGTTCAGCATTGCCTTGATGAATTCATGACCAATAGCTTTTGCCATTGGGGGAGGCACAGCATTCCCAACCTGAAGAACAAATGAAACTTATGATGCCCTAGAATGAAATCCACTTGTTGTCAGAGAGTATGGTGTTAAGATTTGCTCACCTGCCTATGACGGTCAACACTGGAGCCATGGAAGCGGAAATGATCGGGGAAACCCTGGGATCGAGCACATTCCCTAACACTGACCAAACGATGCTGAGATGGATGCAGCACAACTCCTTGCTTCCCCATTGGTTCAGGATTGGTGATAGTAGTGGAGAAATAACCATTCCAAGTAAGCCTTCCAAAAAGACCAGCCCAATGATTATGCCTATTGCCAGTGTGTGGAAGGCACCATGGTATGAGGGTTCCAAATTGTCTCTCATTTGGATCACACTTCCTTCCTGTCACACAAGAACATACTCCCCTCATTGCACCTGTTGATGATCGGCCATTCTTCTTGTCCTCCCAAGCATAAATTCTGAAAATGGAAAATCACTATCAAAAACTCAGCCAGAACCTGCTTCAAATAACCATCAGATGCACAACTAACAGCTTTTTCGTGTAGGTTCCATCACTGAGTCGAACAGAAATGTTTGGTAGATCCCGCCAATCAGATCCAGGTGTAGTTGGAATATGCATGATGCGAGCAACCATAATAGGAGCCATTTCCTTGGTGATGTGATCTTTCACTGTGTCTCCATCACCTCTCATCTACAAAAGGTAGACTGTTAACAAAATGCTCTCAGAGTGGGATAGGAATAAAACTTGCTGGGCATAAGCTGGGTTGCACTTACCAACTGCTGATATGTGGTGAGAGGATCCCTACCATATGGAATGGTATCACGAGATGCACCACTAGAAATCTCAGGGAGATCACTTATTGCATCATACACAGTGACAGTTTGATAAGGTGCACTGGATTGCCACTTCTGCATGGGTTCAAACTGGAGAGAGAAAACATGTGCATATGTGATTCAAAACTAAATGCATCCTGTTTCACTGTCAGCAAGTAATGCATGCAGTGCTTTCATTCCCTCACCTTTGTATCATCAACCAGAACATTCAGCTTGCAAGCCTTCTCTGAGAACACATGAAGAGGTTCGGGGTAATTAGGGAGAACTTCACCAGGTGCTGCTGCTAGGATGATCGCCCTGTGATAAAAAGCATACATTTGACCTTCTGACCAATATACACCAAGATCATACATTTAACAGTAAAAAAAAATCATGGAGTCATTATTTTCACAATATGGAAAGACCCCTCTTGATTTAATTCCATAAAAATTGTAATTTATGAGTTATTCATTGCTTTCTTGGTCCTTCTCCCAAACTTTCAAATTGTGAATAGGCTTCCCTGCTTTCTCAAGGGGTCATATTCAACCTTTTACTGGGAAATGATTCAATCAATTTTATAGATGCTCCTATCATGCTTCTCTTCATTTTTCAATCATTGGCAGCTGCCACTTGGGTAACATTCCAGAAGTAATCCATTTAGACTACTTCTGGATTAAAAAAAAAGATAAATAGAAAAAGAACAGAAACTGGAGGGTCATTTCAGAGTACAACCTGTGCCATGCAAACTTTCCATAATCTGAGGGCTGTTTGCCCATTAGCACTACTTCACGGATTGTATTGTTCTTGTTCTCTTTCATTTTTAAAGAAAACGACATGTGCAAAGTTCAAAACATTGATTGAGCAGCACTTATACAAAAGAAGATTGATGCCTCCTAAGACATCACTTTTTTTTTCTTCACAATTTCTTTGTAGTGATGGAACATTTTTCAGTTGTAAATGATAGGCACCTCCAAATTCAAAATCCAGCTTACCTTCTCCTAGTCTGAGGCACACCATATTGACCAGCTTGAAGAACCCCAAAAGAGCATTGATAGCCCATGGTGACAAGGCATCGCATTGTCAACTTCAGGATCATGCTTTTCTTGAAGCTAATGAAGTTTCGAACATTCTCCAAGATGAAGTAACGAGGTCGGAAATATTCCAAATAACTCAGGTATGTCACGATCAAGGAATTCTGTAAATGATTTTATTTTGTAAAATTGATTTCAAGCACAAAATATCCATTTTACTAATAGGAGTCACCAAAATATAAAAATCAAACACCAACCTTGAATTGAGAAGCCTCCCTTTCATTGAAACGATTCATTCCAGAAAATCCTTGACATGGGGGTCCTCCAACAAGGAGATCCACTTCCCCTTTCTTTGGCAGTTTCTGCTTCTTTGCATTTGTCTCACTCCCCTACACAAATGATAATGACAGAAGAGATGACATTTTTGAAAGGAAGAATCTTCAAATTCATCTGTTCAATAGCTGCAAAATAAATTTCTTTCAGCAACAAATATGCCAAAAACACAAGAAACGTTAAATAAACAGTAAACTTCCACAAAGTATGGGTAGTGGTAGCATGCTGCAAGACTATGAAAGGCATTTCACATTGATTTTCAGCTTAGATCTTCCTTTCCCAGTCAACATTGAATTTATATGATGACTTGAACAGCATTTAAAATACAAGTTGCCTGCCTCAGATTCCTTGCACAGATTCTGAGATGAATGTGGCAAATCCATATATTGCAGGACAAATATTTGCATGGGCATTGCACACCATCTCAAATTAATACAAATGTTGCAAACCCCCCCCCCCCCCCAGTCTGTCGAAGAAAGATTTGGCTGTAAATTTGCCAGTCAGGTCTGAACAGTGGTGGCCAAAATTATTGCATTTCATTGATGTTCACTTTTTCTTTTAAAGTATACACTATAGCATATGATGAAATGTAAATCTGTTATCCATACATTCATTCATTACCATTTTAAAGAGTCATATCTGAAGAATATAAGCCAGTTATCTGTAATTGTGGGCAGCCACTTTGAAAAGTTGTGCATATTTAATGAAGGCTATCATAAGACCACCAAAATACAGTGTGGGCCAAAAAAATTAGGGTTATCTTCATCACTCCACAGCATTGATCTCCAAGAGTTTGCTAAAATTATAATTGTGCCTCCATGAAGAACATTCATTTAGCTTTCAAATGATGTCAACAAAATAAAGATTTGTGGCCTAACTACCAAGCAGTTAGATGAAGAGTAGAAGAGGTGGCACTGGAAAAGGTGGTGCCATACTGTAATTTCAGCCTGTGCATGCAAGAGGTTGCATTCTCACCATAAATGAAAGAATGGATGTCACCTGGAGCACATCCCATGTTGTACTGGTAAGTGCACTTTTTAAGCACTACCTCTGTTATATTGTGTGTAACTTCATCGGAATGACAAATCAGATCTGAAATCTTTTGACATCAGTGGAAAGCTAAATTAATGTTCTTCATGGAGGCACAATTATAATTTTAGCAAACTCTTGGAGACCAGTGCTGTGGAGTGATGAAGATAACCCAACCTTTTCTTGACCCACCCTGTATTATATTGATATGAATATGTACAGGTATTATACATCTGTGTGATGTTTCTGAAAAAAAAAACGAAAAAAATAAATTATTTTCATGCCTCATTTTGAAATGAATATCAAGGCAAACTTTTTAAACAGAAGTACCTAGCAAAAAAAAAACTTAAAAAAACAAGGCCTTAATAACTAGCAATATCAACAAGAATATTAATTCTTGTAATTCATAGAAATGATATATAATCATAAGTGTAATATATCATGCAACATTTGTAAGCACAAAATTACCAATGTAAGAGAAATGTTTAAAATTCAGAGTGATATAATTTTGGCCACCACTGTATATCTTTCTGGCACAGGAATGCAAAATTGGCATTCAACAATTTTTGGGGACAAATGGGAGAACTACTGTTACCTAATTCCAAGATTACCAGGGTAAGTCCCAAACTGCTATGGCAAAAGGAGTCAACTGCCATGGTATATTATATTCCATCACCACTCATGGCTTTCAAAATACAGTAACTGACCAGATCATAAAGCAAATCAGGCAGGGGAGACCAAAACCTTAAACAGTAACACAACCAATGCAATCTTGGTATTTTCTTGATTTTTGAAGCCCTGAGACTAACAACATGACATTTCAGTTGCAAAGGTCAGATCTATAAATAATTTGATAATGGCTCAAAGGCAATTTGAAAGTAATTCTTTCAACAGGTTTCAATGTAAGCTTTGTATTCACTGAACATTGAATATAGAATAAGCTTTGCTGATTCAAGAAATCAGTGGAAACAACTCTTGCAGGCATTGAATTAAACTTTGTTTAAAACAGCATCCTCTGCATATGTATAGTGAACAGTCATGGCAATTGCTACAGTACATACAGACACCATCATTCATTCCCATTATGGAATGCCTCAGTGTGCATAGTGTGCTTTTGGGCCTCTCTGCCCAAAAGCACACTATGATATAGATAGCTTCTACCCACACTTTGAGGTTGACTCAAAATCCTTGAGTCAAGAGTCTGGCTCTGGTATCCATAATTTCTCAACAGTAGTCCTGCCTTTTGTTGTAACAAGGTAGGAAACCTCAATATATTTTCATTTCACTGCTGAAACTGTGTTCTTCTCATTCCTGTATGAAGTCCAGGAGCTGGATGTGAAGACCCTTTTTTATCTCAAGAGTTATGCAGCCTTTCTTTTTCATAATACAAATTCACTTTCCATCCCAGTGGACAGTTTCAAAAAATTAAAACAAATTGTTCCTCAATACTGAACCAGCAGATTGCTAATGAAGACCAAATCTACCTTGATTACCAAGAAGGTGAACAATTTGCACTCTGTAATCTTTAATTACATGTCTCACCTGAAGGATCAGATTGAGTAACTCATTGCAGTCATCTGTAAAAACAGTACTCTTGGGGTTGTTGTACTTAAAGGCATCAGCTGCTTCCTGGAGAATCTCTACAGCCCACAAAGATTCTGCTACTCCTGACTCATGAAGCCCCTCAGAAAGGCCTATAAAAGCAAGGCAAAATCATGACAGAAAGAAGATGCAGTAAGAATCAGAATATCATTATTTACAGCTTCAGACCTCCACAACCAGCAAATATATCCAATGTTCTCAGCTTTTTAGGGACTGTGTCATATGACTTGTATGTCCTTGCTGCAGACTTCCCTTTCACTTTGCCTCCCTGTAATATAAGGAGCCAATATATCAAAAGATAAAAATTCATATGTACCCACTTTATCCAGTAGCCTCACCTTGGAAGGAGCACCAAGACGGATGGCTTGCGATGGAGGGTCATAAAACTCCCCTGTAGTCCCATCGAATCCCTTGGAAACATAGAACCTCAGGGGCCCTTTTTGGCACCATTCATGAGGGCTCATTTCACTGAGATTTGAGTCATGGATCACAAAGCACTTTCCCCTCACACTCTCAAAAGGAACTGTAGCCTCTGCAATAAAGGTACAATTGCTTCACAAGTATTCTTTAAATGACTTTAGATCGTCCACAGAACATACGACTGACCTTCTTCACTCCAGTACAGCCGATACCAGTCATGGAGAGCCATGGAATCTTCATCAACATGAGGAACGTTCTGTGGACGGTAAAACTTACGGAGATGCACAAAAATGTTTCCACTTTTTATCACAAACCTGAGGACTTGAGCCACTCTGAATGGTTCAGGTGTATCATCATTACTGCCCTTCTTCAGCTCTCCAATCTTTCCCTTTCGATAGTGTTCTGGATACATGTCTTCATCCACTGTCTGTCACATAATATATAAAACACACAATGTATGCCACAGTCCCTTAGATGCAAAAGAATCTACAAAAAGAGGTTGAGCACAATAGCCATGCCAGCAATAACTTTCTCAAGAACATCAAGCAGGTTTTCTTTGGGATGCAAGAAGGAAGCCTAGAAGAGGGATTTCCATGTTATGAAAAGCAATAACTGATTGCTATTAAACTCCAATACAGGGGTTTACAAGGTATCATGACAGACAAGTTGAGACTCTTTACCAATTTCTTGGGCTTCTTTGCAGGCTCTTGCTTACACAGCTGGAACTTGAAGGAGAAAGCCTGAGGGTCCAGAAGGAGACAATCATGCTCGTGTATGATCTCTCCCCTCCACAATAATTCAGTGAAGTTCCCCTTGTCTTCATCAAGTTTCAGTAGTGGTTTTGGGATCTCCTGAGTTTGCAACAACTTCTTTTCATTGCATGACCAACAATATGGCTGCTCCTCTTCAAACATGCAGTACTTCAAGGTCTTTCGATTGGGTGGGTCCAGAAAACGTCCTAGCTCTGGAATATATCTGCAGGCACACAGAAGGAACACAGTTGTGACCCGATATGACCCCTGAAGCTTTACAGTTTTATGATTGCAATCACCCTATCTTAAACTTTTGGACATTCACTTTTTTTTCTTTCATCCTTATATTTGACAAATGCAACTTGGGTCACTATCATATTTAAATACAACACAGGGATACTTTTGCTGCCTGTTTGTGGAGTTCGGCGTGTGCCCTGTAGCTCACCAGGTTGCACATCTGGAAAGATGAAATCTATCACTGATGTGTTTCCTTGCAGATATGCAAATCAGTGGGTCTCATAGCATTTGTCGGCCTCTACTTACAGGTGGCAAAATATTCTCCATGTTGCATTTAAATATGAACACCCTGTATATTTTACAGATCCTCCACATACTATAACAATCAAATTTGGTTGAGCCTTCACCTCCATGATGCTAAGTATTGATTTGGTCAAGTAACTACCAGAACAAAAAGTAAATGAAGCCTAACTTTTCCTTTATGCTACAGCTATCATGGCAATGAGCTACACATGAGACCAAACCAAGGTCTACATATGAAGAGAGATAATGAAGCATCCTCTCACAGGGCAAATCACAGGCTATAGACACAAGCTTCTATCAACCTGCTAGGCCGAGTTCATACTCGTGCTGTACAGCATGCTGGATGCTGCAACTGCATACTGTCCAATGCAACAGACCCATGTTCAATTGGATTTTGCCTCTGCTGTACAGCACGAGTATGAACTTGGCCTTAACCAGTTGTCACATGGCTGCAGTCATGAATGACAAGTAGATTCATTTCTAGAACAGAGTCTGTATTATTTACATATGACATACAGTATTGTAGTATAAACTCCTTAATGATGAGGAGCAACATTAATTAAGCAGGAGTTAAATATATCCTGTCTGGCAATATCACAGAGCCAGACGAAGAGGGCATGGTTATTTATCCACAAACCAAGTGTATAGCAGAAGTTTTTGTGACAACACAATTTGATTATGAATAATCAAAATTTGTGTCATAACAACTTCACTTTTTCCATCACTAGAACATCACATCCAGCAATGTAATAACTCTAGGCTAAGTTTAAAATTTGGTAAGTGCCTGCAGGCAAAAATTGAGATGGTCATGATTCATAAAATCAGGGAACCATGCGATGAATGAGTTAACACGTAAAAGCCACTCTAAGGAAGCATGCACCTCTAATTGCATGTCATATATTACACAATAAGGAGGGAGAGGAAAACATGCTAAATATAATAAGTTGCACAAAGACAAAATAAATGTTTTTAAGCTCCAACTTCATCTGAGGGGAGGGATGCTTCCCACCAGAGATGAGGGAATATAGTAAGGGAGACAATGGTGAAACAAGTGAGTTGACTCAGGCAAACATTTGTCATGTGATTCACCTCTGTAAGCACAAATTTTCGTTCAATTCAATTCACTTCAGTTGGTGTGGCTTTTTTAATTTAATCTTCTGACAAAACTCTGCTATTCTTACAGTTTTATGTATGTCTATACCAAACTTCACTCACTGCATGAATCCCCACAGCTAATGAGACCTTCCAGAATAACACGCAATATCAAACAACTTCAGCACTGACTGCTGTAATGCAATGATTCTTATTGGATCTTTTTTTATCAAAAATGTACCATGGTTATGTTCCCCAGAAACTTATGAAACTTTCTTTGAAAGCATTGTGACAAGGCAAGCCTATCAGCCTTATTCAAAAGTTGAATAGTAAATATGGACAAGAACCAGTGCTGGTAGTGTATTGGAGGAAATGCCTTTGCACTGTGGTTGTTTATCATCCAAGCCAGATTGAACAATCAAATATTTCCTTTCTTAAAATTCATTATTTTGACTAGTATTTGGCAAAAGATGATTTAATTAACATGTTATACTATTAATTAATTAATTAACAGGTATTGACAGAGTTTGCTCTAAATTTCTCTGGCCTTTCCCTTGTTTATAATGAGGAAGGGTTAGGTGGAGGAGTCTAGTTATTCTGAAGGGTATGGAGTCTTTGGTCCACTCTCAATTCATGGTTTCTTTAGAACAATCACTTATGGCCATGCAATGGCCAAAGGAAACTACAGAAGGCTGTTAAGAGTATATCAGGGTAAGCAGGAAGTAGTTTTGTGAAATAAGTCATGTGAGGGCAGATATATAGGCTCATATTCATACCTCTTTAGATTAAAATGACCTGGATTTCAGTTGTGGGATCCTCTCCTATGACTTTAGTAACTAGATGCACCCATGGACTGGTTGAGAGGGGCATCAAATCATCTGCCTCCATGAAAAAGAAAGCAAAGCTTGAATCCATGGGGTAGCAAGTAGCATGCAACAGTAGTCAGGTGAACCGTTTGCCAAGTAGGGCATGCAGGTGGTTATATTTAAACTTTACATGTTATTGTCTGAGCTTTTATTATTTAGTCTAGGTAAAGATGTGAGGAATAGACAAGCTGTAAAAAATAAAATTAAAAACAAAGAAAAAGAAAAGAGGGACCAAAGCTTGTGCCATCAACTGGATGCAAAAGGGTTTACAAGAATGGTTAACAGGCTCCCCTACCTGAATCTGCAAGTAAAATTCTGGTCATCATGATGTCCAGATGCCAACAATTGCAGGATGTCATCTGGAATTTCTTTTCCTCCACTCTCTTCCCACATATCCCGATCCACATATACATGTTCCACTTGCACAGGACGACAGATGGAAGAGATGGATATATCCTCACAGTCAGGGATGAGGAATAGTTCATGCTGATAACTTGTTCCCCCCAACACAGTTTCACTTCCTCGGCTGTGCATCAGATAGGGACATTTTGTATATGATTTACCAAGATGAAGGAATTGTTGGATTTGATAAGATGCAACATACCTGTACCAATGGACATGGCACATCATTTCCTCATTCTTGATATTTTCAAAGAGGTGAACTATGCGAGCAATCACCATAGGCAGTGAAGATTCTGATGGAGTCATGGCTACTGCATCACCAGCATTGACCTCATGCCCATTCACTTGCACTTTCCTATCGAGTTTAGATTGCTCATATTGCTCCCATGTGATGGATACCCAGCATGACTTAGTTTCATTAGGCATGACCATATTCTTACGATTCTCCATATTTTCATAAGGAAGAGCATGCACTTAAATTACAGCAGATTTTTTCATTAAATTTAACACAGCAAACACAAAGACTGAGAGATTGTATCATAAAGGAAACACATTTTCAGTCCCTTCCCTCCATCCAATAAGAACTTCAGGTCAACTTCAGGATGTTCTGGCTCGTTAGGTTGATGTTATGCAATATGGGCAAAAGGGTGGATGGATCAAGAATCAAAAGCAATGGTCCCATATTACAGCAGTTTAAAAAAACGAGCCCTACCTATAATAGGTCCGCTTTTCTGCCTTCAGTATGGGCTCACCAATCCACTTTCCTTTGGCACTGGTAATTTGGCGTAAGAAGCGACGCTTGGGCTTCTGTTCAGGTATCTTGGACTCAGATTCAGTAGTAAAGTCATCTGGTGGTAAGTTTTCACTATCTTCTGCATCTGCATTTGGGCATCTAAGTAAAGAGATTATCTTCCTTTGAGTTTGGATACAGAACAGACTTTCAAAACAACAGTCAGTAAAGGAGCACAAGGTACTTCCTACATCTTGAATTTAATACATGGCAGTGACTTTCTGATCATGTTCTTTCACTATTTACCGTGTTTCTGTTACTGCTATTGAGGTAACAGTACTAAAAAGAGAAAAAGATGGCTTACTTCCTTAATACACATGCTTGCTTGCTTCTTCCTGTACCACCAAACTTCAGCATGTCCTTGCATGCTTTGCAGCTGCCACAGTCTGGTGCCTGACATTTCTCACACACCCCACACCGAGTTTTCTTCTTGGTCTATATCAAGAGATCATGGAAAAGTTATGAAATTGATAACCAATTAATTACTGTTACTATTCCTAATAGTATATATAAAAATAATCTTGCCTCTAGACTCTTCCACTGTCTTTGCTCACTTCCCTCACAAATCTACAAATGTGAGAAACTAGCACTTGTTTGTAATGATCTAAATGTAAATTTGATTATTAGCACTATAGCAATACCTGTAAGTAGCACCATACATAACCAATGAGTTCGAGAGTACATCAGACAGAGACACTGAGCTCACGCTTAGTATCTTGATCCAGGACTCAATATAGGAGGATGAAGTTCATGTCTGAATGCCACCAGGCTTTACCAACATGTTATATATACTCTAGGGAGACAGCTAATCTCCTATCTGGGAAAACAAGCCAAATTAGGCAAAAAATTGGGCCAGCTCCAAGAGGAACTGATAGAAATGTTGGGACTTTTCAACTGCTCCCTGCTTGATATCACTAACAACTGTTGGAGGCATAGATGATTCAATCAGTCATTGCAATGGTCCTGGCTCCTCCTCAAGTTTCATAACCTTTCCCCACCCTCTCTTCATCCACTGTGTTCAGGAGGTACAAATTCCCTCAAATCAGTAATACAGGGTGGACCACTTAAAAGTAGCCTGCCTCTGGTCCGAGCGTGGCAGAGGTGGTCGCCCCTTGCACACTGTTCTTACCGACTGTCTGTCTGTCTGGCGATGTCTTGTCGACCCATGTGCAGACTTCCAGCTTGATTTTCCCCTGTGTGTGAACACATCGCGTTGAAAAGATGGTGTTTTCCCTGCAGCAGTGAATAGTGATTGTGGAAGGCTATGTGCGAACTGGATCAATTAAGGAAACGCAAGAGGCCTTCACCGACAAGTACCCAGAAACAAAACCACAGGCTAAACGTTGTATTTCTTAACCTGGTTAAGAAATGGTGTCAAACCGGCTCTATCGCAAACGTGAAGAAGCAGAGGAAAAACAATCCACTTGCTCGTTCTTACTGTCGCAGTATTATAGGAGGCGGGCTACTTTTAAGTGGTCCACCCTGTACATTATCAATGCAACAGTTTGGTTAGCTCTGGTCAAAACATTGATGTTTTCAACACGACTATCATCACAACTCTACTAAACACTTACCAACAGGAAATGACTAAGGAAACTGAGGGAATATGATGCTTCCACATTAGACCTGCTAGCATGACTCATTGTCATGCAATTTTTACCTGGATAGGTGTATCTCCATCAATGACCTCAGCAAAGACAGTTTCAAAGACAGCCCGAACAAGAGGAGTTGTGGTTGCTTTAGTGAACTTCTTCTTCTCCCTCACTTGCTTCACCCTTAGTCTTGTCCGACGCCCCCTAAGAGAAACAAGCCTCCACATAGCAGTTTCAAGTGGGATGCTCAATACTTACAAGAACTCAAAATTTCAAAAAACATTCCCATCGATGTAGATACAGCACAAGTTATGCAAATGAGAGCTGAATGGAATGTGATTGTGATGCTACCTGACCAAAGAATTCCAAGAATGACGGATTTCACCTGATGAAAAAAGAGTGCCAAGGTACAGCTTTTATAGATGTATTTGACCAACAAATACATCATGTTCTAATAGGTATCAATTTGAACAAAACTAGAACTAAATTTGCATTCATGAGACAAATATATGCAAATATTTTAAGTTTTCTTTTTAACAATCTGCTAATGAAGAACTTACCTCGGTTGGCCAAAGACATAGCCAGAATATTGGGCCAAATCCTGCATGCATGGTGCTATGAAGAGAGGAGCATCTTCAGAGTCTTCCTCATCCATGCTTTGTACTTGATCAAGAACAAAGGCTGCATGTTCCATGAGGGCATCTGCAGAATATGGAGGGATTCCCGGAGGTCGAGAGGTTGTTTCCAAATACCCCATGAGATCTTCATAGGTGGGCATATTTTCCATATTGTCTGATAGATATTCAATGACTGCCTTTGCAAGGTACATTTTCTGTTGAACTGGGACATAATATGATGCATATTCAGTGGCAGGGTCCATGAGAAAATAATCTGCAAAAGCAGTAGAGAATCCCAGAAGAGCTTTCTCCCCTCCATCGAATCCAGCCAACCACCATTCTGCCAATGGCCCAAACCCTTTTCCTGGGATACCATCTGTAAAAGCAGAATATGTAAGAGTGCAGGATCAAAAGAAGGCTAGCAAAACTATGACAAATAATACAGTGCTACTTAGGAACTCACCCTCTTCTGATGGATCCTCAGCATCAATTGGCTTTAGATATCCTGAAAAATAAAGCTTCTTTCCTTTCTCCAGGAGACCCGTGTCAAAGGGGACCAAGTGTCCTTCTGTGTCATACACCCTGAGGAAAGGCATTACCTAATCCAAGTTGATATTTTCAATTATAAAAGAGATAGATAATACAATAAGTACTCAGATAGACCTGTGCCTATGCTTCTCACTTAGCACAAGAATTAGTAAAAATTAAGATAATTTAAAGTTAATAATCTGAATCAGGTAGTAGTCAAAATAATCTGACATCAATGTTCCCAAGGTATACTAGGTCTATGAAAGAAAGCTTATAACTCACAAGAAGCCAGTGATCTTCACTTGGGGTCTTGAATCATCCTCATGTACACACTCCTCTTCCCCAGTAAAGAGAGATAATGAAGAATCAGTGAGAGCAACAGCTTCCTCAAGTGCTCCTTCTGGTCCACCTTCGTATATCTTCAGATCTTCATATTGCTGTCCACAGACATAACATTTCTTTGGAAGGCATTTTCTGCAATGGATTTGAAAACAATATAAGATTTAATACACTGTATAGTCAACTGCACTCAAATAATTTGTCTCAATCACAAGAACTCACTCAGTGATCACAGTACCAATAACTTCATGCTTGACTTCATCTCCTTCTGGTGCCAGTTTGGGCTTCTTCTTCATGTTCTCCATTAAATCCAGAATGGTGCTCTGCCTGCCTTTTGAAGCAGATTTTCCCTTCTCCATGACTGTGATAGAGATCTCACAATAGCCAAAAGCATTGGCTGGGCTGCCTACCCACTTTCAACAGTGAGCCTATTCAATGAAAAAGAAATAATCCTAGTTATGTCATGAGTCTCCAGGAGACTTCCTCAATATGGCACTGAAGTCACAGTTGTCCCACATGCTGAATATTCTGAGATCTTCTCAAATATTTCACACCCATTTCTCATTGGCAGATAAACAGAGGAAGAAGGTTCACATGATCACAGGTTAGGAAAAGAAGGGCTCACAATGAAGAAAAAGCTCTACTCTAACTTTAGGCAGGGAAAAATTGACTGATGCAAGGGGATCTAGAATAAGGATCCATACAGTAGACCTTGGCATAGCCTGTCTATATGGTAGGTTTGTGATTGATTTAATATCAGTCCTAAAATCAGGTAGGCCAAGCAAAAACTAATCACTTTAACTTTACAACTTTTTGCAGATACTCAAAGTATTTAGTCCAGTGAATGTTATACCTAGACTCTTCAGCTAGGCCAAGAATCTTGCGTTAGCTTCAATTTGCACCTAAACCTGAATTACAGACATGAAAGAGCTCAGTACCATCCTTTCCATCTCGAAACCGACAGTATCGTATCGTGACTCGTACCACTTTACATATGGGCCTAACGTCACTTCCTTCTTCGGTTATCGCCTTACATACAACGTATAAGTATACAAATTTCTATACAGGCCATGCACAATCTTAACGGCAAAAGGAATCAATTAGCAAATCACTGTACATAGGCCTACAGTTAAACACCACAAGTAAGTGTGACTTCTCCTAACAGTACTCAAGGAACAACAAGAACCTATGAAATAAGCCTAGAATAACGTCAATTAGTGAATAAGACTTCACGTTTTGGTACGATTTCACACATTTTCAGACCTAGATAATGGAATTTACAATAGAAAATTACTCCATAGGTACTAAGTCAATTCAAAAATGTACGCCTGCCTGACTGTCATGGTCAAGTCATCACAGACTGAGTGGCGGGAACTTTGCATAGAAGGGGTCTCACGGATGCCAAATGGAGCTCTCTTTCAGAAGCATTCAGCATTCTCTACCACCTATTACCTGAGATAATTTCAGTTTGAAGTACGATTCGGTCAATGTACAGCAAGGTAGGCGTCGACTAAGCGCCTATGATAATTTTCCCTCTTGTATGCCAGTATTTTTTTTAAACAGAAGATAAAAAATATCCATTAAGGTGCCCGGTACACCTCCGCTCTGTCACATTTCGAGTTTTTTCAGAGCAGTTCTTGAGCAGAGAATATATTGAGCTTTTGAGTTCCAGTTCACGAGGCATGAAGCATACGAGAGACAATTTGGAATGTTCCTCCGAATACAGTAGACCACATTCCAAATGCTTCTGTGTTTCTCTTGAAACCTTCGTTTCCTCATATCCCTTCGATATTGCATATTAATTGTCTTTGAGCTTTGATCAATAACATAATCTTGTGATGAGTTCGATAAGATTTTCCAGTCCTCCAAGCACACGTTGAAAAATTTTTTTAAATGCTTCTAATTAACAAAAATAAAACAAAAACAAATATATAAAATTCCACCCTCAGGGCTCCCCCTCACCTTGTATGTTTTACTATTTCATCCAGTGTCCATACAAGCTTACAGGCGTAGTAGTGCAGAATATACAAGGGTTATTGTCACGGCTTGGTCATTCAGATGGCTTCTACTCCAATGAAGTGGTCGGTGTCGGTTCACACATAGATTTTCTGTGACATTCAGATCAGGGCCGGATTAAGAAGTTGCGAGGCCCGGGGCAAGTGAATTCTTGAGACTACCTCCCCATCCCCCGCTACTTTACTCAAATATTTAATGTTAATTTCCTTTGGGGGCCCCCCTGGAAGAGTGGGGCCCGGGGAAACAGCCCCCCCCCCCTTAATCCGGCCCTCAGTGGCGTGGGCAGAAAATCGACAAGGGGGGATTGAGGCCAGGTAGACACCCCAACCCTACGCTTAGTTTCACCACCCGGAATTTACCTTTTTGAAGAAATCATGGTCTGGCATCTTGGGTCTGTGGATGGACATTAGACTTTCCTCGAAGGGGGATAGCTAAAACTGGAATTCCCAAGGAAGGCTGAAATATGCCTGACTGTCACTGACCAGGAAGCCCAAGGTTACTTGTCGATTTTCTGCCCACGCCACTGAGGGCCGGATTAAGGGGGGGGGGGCTGTTTCCCCGGGCCCCACTCTTCCAGGGGGGCCCCCAAAGGAAATTAACATTAAATATTTGAGTAAAGTAGCGGGTAACATCCATTATTGCTTCATACATTTAGTCACGTTTTAGGCGCCCCTGGTGAATTTGTGCCCTGTGCAGAGGCACATGTGGCACATGCCTAATGCCGGCCCTGAGGAAACCAGAAGGTAATTCTTTCTGATGATGGAGGAAGATGCAGTAAGCTTCAGCACTTTCCTGAGGGAAAGTATACTTTCCCTCAGGTCCACCCAGCAGCGGTTTATCGTGGCTCAAGGAGCTTGAGCTCCCCACAAACATTTCTCTCTCCCTATTGAAATTCAGCTGTTTTTTTGGCATCCAGTTGCAGACGCATGGGAGTGATTTGAATCCCTAATTGCAAATCGGGAAGCGAGCAGAGAACAATTGTAAATGGCTTTGTGTCGGCGCCGGAGAGCATCAAGAAACCTGCTGTAGAAACGGTAGACGATAAAGGAGGTGCGAGGATCTTCAAGTGAGAGACGTCAAGAAATCTCAGTCAATTCGCTCGAGAGAAGGTTAACGAGGAAAACCTCATTCAAACATTTAACACGATTAAGGCAATCGATAACTCGGAGCGAAGTAGAATTTTCCTAGTCCATGGAAACAGCAGAACGAAGGCGAACCAGTTCAAGTCGCGTCGGCCTCCAGTGAGACTCGGATTGCGCCATGACGATTTTAGCGGTCGAGCGGCGAACGCGTCACGTGATGATGCCGTGGCTGCCCCTTTCGTGACTAGCTTTAAGAAGTGGTCTGGTCCCTTCGTGGACGTGGCGAAGAAAAGCAGCAATATACTGGAAGTAACTAAGCGGTAAATGGATGCGTTCCCACCAAAAAATACCCATCTTTAAGGGGGCCAAGACCTAACTTATTTCGCATGAACTCGACCTTGACACAGGAAACCGATATGTGCATTCACAGCCCCTCACTCCCCAACCAAAACCTTGAAACTCGAGCTGCAATGTGGGGAGGAATATAGTTAAGTTTCGTTCTGATAGTGCCAAATTAGCACCACTCATTGATGATCGTCTCATCCAAAATGATCAAATGCTGAAATGGAACAATTTTCGCACACATAAGCGCAGAATGGAATGGAGTTCCAGAGCCGAATTCGTCATGCATGTTTTGATTCGTCATGGTAGGACCCGAGATACTTCTGATTCCTCGCACGAATCATCGAGAACCCTTCTTGATTATCCTGAGCGGAGAATCTTTTTCTCGGGATTGAATAGATGAGATGAACGACAGTGCCCAGTTTGTTTTTTATATGAGGGGGATTAGTAATTCACAGAGAGACAGTTTTTAAGTCCGTCCCCCCCCCCCCTTGCAGACGTTGGATTTACNAGGGACAGTTTTTAAGGCCGCCCCCCCCCCCCCCCCCTCCAAGTTTGTAAAAAATAAATTTGCAACTGGTATAATTACATTAGATTGCCACCCAATCTATAAAAAAAATTCGACATTTTCAATCACCCATGTTTCGTGCGTCGTCATTTAATCTCATTTGCAAAGTTTACGATGCTCTAATGCTATCTGGATATGGCTGCCTTCTACTGTATGTGTTCAGGTCTATTCTGCGTGTGTGTTCGTTGTTTCAATTTCCATGCATTAAATTCAAGTTTTCGGGACTCATTTTCAGATTCAAGATATGCGGAAGTGTCGGACGGATGAGCTTATGTTTTGTGGATGGAAGACTCCTTACTTATGCGCCATCCGAGGTGATCCAAAATGGTTGAACTCAGCAAGTTTGGGTAAGACAAGGTTTTTAGCCATGATTTTTACGTATTTTATAATAAAAAAATATCTCCGATTTTACTTGGAACATCACGGTATCAAGAAATCCCCCCAGCTATGTTGAATGAATGTCTTGCAACTATCTCTATGAGTCTATCGCAGGGCAAGACACGGAAATCACTGTGACAAACACGACAACCGCATTCTGGTCAGCATAATGTAACAGCAACCTGTACCTGCCACAACACGTGTAAATAATTTATATAGACACATTTATAAAATATATAATGTCTCAGATCAAGCACGGCAAGAACTGCAACCGAGAAGAAGCCTGGCAAAAGCATAAAAGTGAACAAAGAGCAGAAGGTACCCAAGCAGCATGTTCACGTAAACATGATGTCAATTTTTTGCAAATAATGTAAATTTCTTGCGATTGCTATGAAAATGACGTCACGTTTACGTAAAATTAACGTTCCTATATTTACGTCACCAAAGTGTACGTGTATTTTATATAAACTAGACGTCACTCCATTTGACGTGAAGTACATGATCTCAAGTTTGTGCAAAATTAACGCCACACCATCCATATGAAACTTTAGCTGACCATCCT